ATTGGTGTTGCTAAAGATCACCGCCATGACTAATAACGGGAATTATTGGAACCCTGTGTACCTGTGCAAGAATGAAAACGGAAGTGAGTATCAGATGTATTGTTAATTATTTTCTTCTACAGGTTTTCTTTAATCTCTATTCTTAGTTAAGTACTGTAAATTTCCCCCTTACTTCTCTTCTTTCTTTGATTTGAATGCCTACAAATACAATGTAAGTGGATTGCACAGATTGTCATTTTTAAACAATTGCTATAAATAGGCCAGTTGTCAATAGTGAAATGAATGATTTATATTGTTATTTGAAGGAGAGTGTTACATTTTCACATTTGCTGCAAGAACTGTTATTTCAGTACTTACATTTTTTTTTATGTACCGTAGTTTCACCAACTACAGAGAGATGTTCAATGTCTATCTAACTACATTTTTCAGGGGAGCCGTCTTGGTAGCAATAACTCTATATCAAATTCAAATTGGCTCTACAGTGCACCTTAAGAAATTGATTTTGCAAATGCTGCTGTAGTTTTATACAAATAGGCTTCACTAACCACTGGTTTTCAATGGAATGAGGAAACAAGGTTTCTATTGTTGATGTACTGTGGAATGTAGGATTGTATTGTCCATTTTTGCCCCCCCCCCCTCCCCCCCCCCCCCCAAATAAAAAAATAAGGCCTACATTTTCCTAACTATATCAGGGAATGCTATACGCTTTCTGCACATTTCATGAAAAGAGTTTGGGACTGTATATTTTCAAATTTGTCTCTTTCAACAACTTGTTAATGCTTGATAAATTATATATGATATTGTATTTATGAATAGTCAAACATCATTCAAATACAGAGTGTTCAAAGCAACATTTATCTAATGCTTTGTGCCTGTGGTTTAATGATGTCAGGCAATGTTGACATTTACCACTAACCTCCCTGGAGATACAGGTATTGCTCTTCTCAACAATAAAAACATGTGTATAAAGTTAGAGTAAACATACTGTAGCAGGAACCTTCCTGAACAGAAAAACATCATAATTGGATAATAAATCATTGTTTGGTTTGGTAATGAATAATTTGACTGAGGTTGGAGGATCTTTGAAGGAAGCATTGTACTGTTCCATCTTGATTGTTGGTCATGTTGGATATGGGTGGATTGATTGCTGTAAACCAGTTGAGTCCAGGTAATAGCAATGCCAATGTGTTCCAGGGTGAGGACTCATGTTTCATGTTGATTACATTGGCCTTACAGTCTTACTGCAAGCTGGGTGAGAGATGTCTTTCTTCTGTCGATATTACCATGAAGAGTAGGTCCATTGTATACCGTGCTGGTTGAGAATATGAATAGAAAGCAGGATCCTGTGAAGAAAAAAAGAAAAAAATAATTACCTAGTTTGCAACCTGTTACATTGCAGCCGCTACAGCCTCAATTAGAAATATCATTTACATTCCCCAGAATCCCAGATAATATGAATGATATGCCTAAATGAATATTTACAAAGCCATTAGTTTTCCCTTTGACAGATAATGTGAATGATAGGCCTTAATGAATATTTACAAAGTCATTAGTTTTCCCCTTGTTCAGACAAGTGGGTAAATATTGCTATGGATGTTACACTCTCATACAGAGACACAAAGCAACATTTATGTTTGGTTAAATTTCTTTAAATACAATAAAAAAAAACTAGTACAGACTCGCAGGGGTTGCTTGTTTTAATTTGTTTAATTAAAACAAAAATGAAAAGAGAAAGCCTTTTTCCTGCTAAAAAGGAAATATCTCAGTTCATCCCAAGATCGTAGAATAGATCACTGCCTAGTGCTATTTTTCAGAAGTATGTTGGTGGTACATATTCTGTTGGTTTTTTTTCCATTGTTATTATCGGTAGTCCTTTCCATTATTTTAATAGTAATACATATCATATATAAAAATGCTTTTTCGATTAATTTTTAATAATTTTTCAACACAGGCCCTCCGGTAGTTAAAATTTTAAAAGTATTTTCAAGAGATTGTTAGTCTTTAAACATGTCTCTTTTCTAGATTTTCTTAGATGAACAATTCTTTGAAATGTAAAGGTGTTAAACCTCACTCTGTCTGAAATCAGGCTATGGAAATAGAACACTCATATATATGCAGGGTACATGAACGTGATGCATGGATTAGGACTGCTCATGCCAATTCAATTGTTTGCCTGTTGTTGAACAATGAATACATTGCATCAGCTTCAGATCATCATACCAATTCATCTTGGAATTAAAGATGGATGACATCAGCTTTGTGAACAGCTCTAGATGAAAAGTGCATGGAGGCTGGCTGTATAACTATAAAGTAAAATGTGTTTTGTTTGTTAAAGATTTTGTTCAGATAATGACCCCTCCCCCAAACAACAGCACTTCTCAAGACAACTACACTTGGCTTCTTATGGCTTCCCCTCCCCCTTCTCCATCTAGGGGTTGATCACGAGTGCTAGATCTCCAAGGAAGTTAGTCCAATAGTACAGGAATTTTTTGTTCCTGCAAGTTTGTTTTCAGTTTTCCATCTGAGCTCAATTTACGTTTCCTTTAGAGCGTTTAAAATCACTTGCTGCTTTTAAGTTAAAGATATTGTTTTGTTTTGTTTTGTGTTCGAGTGTTTCAATACAAAATTAATTTGTGTTGTTGTTTTTCTTTCTTTTGCGGCTTTATAAATCTGTACATGTCATGTGCGTATAAATAATGTAATCAAGGAGACAGTCATTCAGATTTTTGAAATACCTGTTATAAGCAATGCCACATGGAGTACCTTTGATCAGGGGACACGCAAATCTTCACCTGCCTACATCATACATGTGATGTACAGTAGATCATCTCATGAGGAGAAAGCAAGGATTCCTCAATCATGTTTATGAAGTGGTGTGCACATGCAGTCCAACATACGCTTGACTGCTGCTGGCTGCTGTCACACAGGGACATGGTATTGAGGTCACAGATATCTGTTACAAATGAAGTGTGTTTGAGATGGCTCTATAGGCGTGTCCTCACTATCTCGAGATTGCCAAATATCCAGCTATTTGAACTATCCCGATCGAAACTATCCAGCTAATTTGCGTTTTCATTGGACCGAAGTAGAAAATTAGCTGGATAGTTGGTCCGAATAATATCCCAAGATATCTCGGTCTAGTTTGCAAAATATCCCACTATCTCCCAACTAGCGGGATAGTTTGCGACTGTCTTCATTAGACAGAAGTACGGAGTCAAATATCCCGATCCCATCATGCACAACGATTTCCGGCGCACATGCGATCTATACCGCTCAGCGCGCTAGTACAACTAGTAAACACGGAAAACCGGAAATCCCGCTAGTTGGATAGTTTCCATCGGGATAGTTCAATTAGCTGGATATTTGGCAATCTCGAGATAGTGAAGACGGGCCTATTATTGCTAGTGTTTGGCTAGCCTGCTACATGTACTGTACACACACCCCCTTGGCCTGTATAAATGGTGTACTTAGCCCAAGGGCAAGGCTTATTAATTGATATTCAACACAAGTGCAAGGTCATTGCATTGCATCAGATGATGCAAAGTATATACATGTACATGTATGATCACATTTCCTTGATGTATACATTAACCATAATCTGTTGTTTTGTTGTCATGTCCATATTGTCTTGACCATATTGTCTTGACCATATTGGTTTGACCATATTGGTCTGGAGATCACAAGGGGTCTATTGCATAGTTATTGATTTTAAAAGAATTTGGATTCTGACCTGACTTGCATGAATAAAGTGTAGAAGGAAAGGAAGAAATAAACAAGATGAACATACGGTAGAAAGAAAACATGCAAAATCAGTTCTCGTACTTGGTTTTTCAGAACATTAATACTTGATGTTATAGGTTGTGACATATTTTCAAATACAATGACTCTTAGGCCTATTTTTTTTTTAAAGCCTTTTTTGATAATAAGTGACCTATCTTTTACCAAGGTTAAAACATACCTGCCAAACCCTCCCGAATAATCTGGAATATCCTGTTTTTTTGGATTTTTAGGACCCCAAAATGCGTGATATTCCGGATTTTCAAAATTTCGATTTTTTTTTTTTGTTTTGTTTTTTGTTGTTTTGTTTTTGGTGTTGCTTTAGCCAAATTAAGCTTGTTTTATCATTTGCTGCGATGTGAGAGTTCACGTATTGCGTGCGTTGAAGGGCTGCATGATTGAGCAGCGAATTTGTATTCGCTTTTTTGCACAGATTTACCGCGTATTGCCAGTTACACTGCCGCTGCATGTGCGAACGCCTGTTAAGGGTACAGATTTCTTATTTTCGAAGACATACCGTGCTAAAAATTCTTAATTCTCATTTTCAAATGTTGGCAGGTATGTTAAAATATATGTTCTCCCCTTGAATATACAATACATGTACATGTAGCAACCAGCCAATAATGTGGTGAAACAAAAACTTGCCACTGTTTATATACCTTTGAGGCATAAACCACAATATGATCACATTTCATGTATTGAGTATTTCTTCCCATGAAATGACTTAAGTTATTAAGCATTAAAACTGGAACCACCCTCCCTGTAAAACAGAAGAGCAATGTTCTAGATGGCTCTTGGCCAAAATTTGAATAAAAATACTCATTATTTTGCCAGAGAAATTCTATGCTCCTCCAGATTGTAGGGTTTTCATGTAGCAAACAAGTAGCATACAGTGTACATTTACTCTATGAACATGGTTTAAAGCTTGAACCTGGAAGTTAAAATTATGTTACAACAAAGAAGATTAGATTTCACCGGATACAACATTGTTTTAAGGATGTATGTTCAAGGTAATCAAGGGAATATTTTGAGAATGGAGGTACATGTAGCTCACTTGCTTGTACAATTACCAACCACCTAGTCACCTGCATAAACTATTGTATATAAGGTGGACTGTTACACACACTAAATGTTCTATAAAGAAATTTGAGATATGAAACCCTGGTGTCTTGAAAGTTGATTGTAATTTCTAAAAAATTCCTTTCTGTTTCTTTCTTCTTTAGCTCACATGCCAAGCCTGCACAAACCCCATGCTGTGATAGTAATGGTCGGGTTGCCTGCAAGAGGGAAGACGTATATCGCCAAGAAACTTGCCCGATATCTGAATTGGATTGGTATCAATACAAAAGGTCAGTGAAAAAGACATACAGGAATCACATTAGTTTAACATAATGATAAGAAGTACCTCTACATTGCCAACCTTTCAAATCAAGCATTTCTGTATTGCTATTTCATCTACCTTCAACTATAATCTTATTGTGCATATTGCACAGTTGGGGGAAGTTATGTTGACTAAAAATAATCCTACCAATTCACCCAATGCATTTTTAATAGGTCAACATTTGAAGAGAAAATGAGGCAAATTCATATAGCCATTGGCATTTTACATGACTACCTGCTTTTGGTATTTGAAAAGGGAGATTTATTGTTATCCTTCTGAAAAGGTTGGCAAAACGGTAGAGTAGATGACTTCCCCTAATCAAAATGTATCCTGCCTTGTATACATGTTGATGGCTATTTTGTTCACGCTATACTGGCTTGGTTCATAAATTACAGTGCCAGTCTCTATTGTTGATGTGAAATTCATCAGTGTTTGATTGGTGCTGGAGGTAATGGGTATTGGCGGCTCTCGTGCCTACGTGCTATTTTTGCGCCCATCAGTGATTAGGCAGGGGAGGGTGTTTGAATATATTGTGACCTCAGAGATAAAATCACAGAAGGTTTTTAGACAGACATCTCAATTACAAGCATTCAAATCAAAGGGTGAACAATTAATTAAAGGCGATTTAACCTTTTGATAAGTTCATTTGTATAAAAGTAGAAAAGTAAGAGAAAAAGGAAGGCGAAAGTTTGAAAAAAATCAGACCCATGATAAATTAATAGAGTTTTTAATGTTTGAAGTTTGAGATCACTAAGTCTATGCAAATCTGACAATTATGTCAGTGGATTGTGAAGTCATGGACAATTCTTTTGTTTGTTTAATGTGTACACAAATATCTTTAATTTCTCTTCTTCTCCCAAGTACATTCTCCCATGGGGCACTGCAAAAAAGCTAGCACTTTGTTGGGTCCTTTAAAAAGAAAAGACCCTCCTGATTCATACATTTTTGACCAATTGACATTTTAGTCATTTGGTGTGTTGAAACAAATAAAATGAGAAGTTGTCCGGCACAATGACATGACCGGCTAAGCCAATATGAAGTGCCCATACGTATAGTGATTACATCTTTTTAAAACTCATCACTTTGGTGTTGTTTATTCAATTTTCTTCAAACTTTCACCAGCCCGCTTCTTTGATTTTCCTGCTTTCTTGTATAGTAATTGTCTAATAAGGTTGGATTTTCTTTTAAATACTCAATCGCATACAGAGCTGCTGGGTTGCTCTTGAAGTGAAGTGACCTCTTTGTGTGTGCTATATTTGCCTAGGAGGCTGTTGAAAATAAAATACCAAAGGAGGTCAATTGTCTAGAAACTGACCTTCCCAAGATGAGGGTCATATCTACATGTAGATGAACTTATGAGCAAATTACAATATACACATTGTATGGATGTTTGTTACCTTTTTCAATTCCAGTTCTGATTAATTTATTGATGTTTTGTCCATAATCTTTATCAACTTTTCATTTGCATTTTTATGTCATTCAAATGCCCTGTATAAATAATTGTTTATAATATTCCGCTCAAGCATTGCATCAAGTTAATGACGTGTCCATAAAAGTAACAACTTGAAAAGGGTTTATTTGTTTTATAATTCAGGTGATTTTCTTAGTGGTAATATATGATTTTATTTTTACTAGTGTTCAATGTCGGTGAGTACAGGCGAAAAGCTGTGGGTGGAAAGAGTCCTCACGAGTTCTTTAGGCCAGATAATGATGCGGCCCAACAAGTTCGATTGTAAGTACATATAACCCATAAACCTAGATGTTTGCCACCTTTTAAGGAAAGGGAATAATTCAAGGGTGGTATGGTCAGTTCTTTTTTTTTCAGTGGAGTCTCCATTTTTATTTTCTTGTCTCCAACCATCTCCAGTGTTCAATGTTGGCGAATATCGTCGCAAGGCGGTGTCGGGTGAAATATCCCACGATTTCTTCCGCCATGACAACGCGGAGGCTTATAAGATTCGGTTGTAAGTATTCACTCTGGCTAATGGCAATGTTGGTGGGGGTCTTTTTTGTGCATATTCTTGGACTCTTTAGATTGACAACACTAAGGTCTCCAGTATATGTGCACGTACTTTCTTCTAAATGTAATGTACCAGCGCTTTCTTCCTACATAAAGGTAGACCCATCATTTCTATACATAGACCATTCTGTGTCTGTCAAGTTTTCAATGTACTGCTAAAATAATAAAAGAACATCCTAAGTACTAATATATAAAATTTCCCATTTTGCTTCTTTTCGACAGATATTTTAGGTACGGTACAATTCTGTAGATAAATCTGCCTCTTTTTTTTTATTAGAATGAATTGCTTTGATTACCACCAACATGGCCATTCTGTGAAATTGAATCAACTGTGTACGGTAGCCCAAAATCCTCTTGTTGCCAGTCTCTCATTGTTCGCTGTATAATTCAGGGTCCCATTTCATATGTACATGCACATTGAGATGTTCTTGCCTATTGCAAGCTACACTGAAAATTGTTTTCAAGTCAGGAGAGCTACAGGATAGAGTGATGAGAATTAAACTGACTTGAAAACTTTGCTTAGTTTTATGAAATAGGGCCCAAAGTCTGTAGTAGTTTTCTTTTTACTAACTCATAAACCTATAATCAAGTCAATGGACATGAATGTTTCATTTCATTATAATGATCTATGTGCATGATAACTATACAATTGCCATTCAAGTTATCTTCGATTGCATTGCACTTTAACTCAAAAGTCAGTTTCTGTAGGAGTGGTCACTCATTAATAGCATGAAAGATGCTTTCTCTGTTACATCTGCAATCTGCTTTTATAATTCCAGAAGTAGCATGATTCAAGGCTAATGTCTGCTGCCCATTTCCCTAATTAGTAATATTCACACTGCTTGCTGTAGTTGGCTCTTGTGTTGTTGTTTTTTTTGTTCTCCAGTTGCTATATTTGTTAATTGTTACATTGCGATGGTGATCCAACATTTGCTAACATACATGTAAAGTTAGGGTTAGAGTTGCAAATGGGTTTTAGGTTAGGTTTAGGAATTTGGTGAGTGGTGATGGACTGCGGAGCAATGGTTACCTGAGCATGTGTCGTACAGCCATTGCTGTTGGTTTGTTGGAAATTTTATTCACATTTTACAAAGCAGCTTTTTAGTAACTAGTGATAAAAGAAGTGCCAGCCATTTAGACACACAGGTCTGAGAGAAGTCACTTATCCTAAGCCTTGAATGACAAATTTTAAATTTTGGATCTTGAATGTCATGTATTAAACTGAAAAGGATAAGTAGAAATATAGCAACTCGAGGCTAAAATTAAAGCCTTCTGACTTATATTTCAAAAATTCACAAAAATTTATTTTGGTTAAGTCACCTTTTGAAGGGCAATTCTGTACAATATTTCTAGTCTGGTATAAATATGACTTTGATCAACATATTTTCTTATTTTTGGAGGAAATAAATGTATAAAAGATATGTCATGTGTCATGTGTGTGATGTTTCTCATGGAATTGCACTGTAAGTGATTTTTTTTCTTTCTAGAAATGGCTGCTACTACTCTACCTTTGAATGTAGGCACCAATTCCTATCTTTTCTATTCTTGATCTAGCCTTTCTTCTAGATTGAAAAGCTTGTTTCTCAAGACATCTTCCTGATAACACACATACGTTTAGTCTTGCTTGTAGATGTTCCTTTCCCTGAATATGTATTTTCAGCCTGAAATGAGACTACAAGTTTGTTCACACCAAAATGCCAAATTAAGTGCATTATCATACTTTCAATGTTTATTTGCTCTATTTTCATTGATTATGTGTTTTAAGTTTTCTTATTATAAGTTCTTATTAGTTCTGTTATTACTTTGACAATTGACTTTTGATATGATAATTCATATTAATTGAGTTTTTACTATATTGTCTGTTATTGTTTGACATTATACACTGGTGTTCATACATGTAATTGATCCATTGAATGTTGTTTTAATTTCAAAGCAACATGATTTGTGTTTCATCTTTTTCGTTGTGTTTGTTAAGTAGTATGTTTGTCTTCAAAATCTCTGTAAAATGTGACTTGGATGTGGGACACGTACACTTCACACATTGAAATTTTGTCAGATGGTCAGTTGAAAAATATCTGGTTTTACAATAGCGATATTTTAATTTAGTTTTGTTATTTTACCAAGTCATTATTCTCACAGTTAACTTTATTATAGTGCCAAATACTTGTGTGTAAAGGTTCCGGTATTCCATTTGGAACATTAACAAGATTGAAGAGTGACATATTTTGCCACTGACACTTTGAAGAAGTCCCGAGAAACAAGATTTAACATATTTTTCATATTGTAAACAAATTCATTTATTTTGTATTTAGTTCTTCATCAATCCATTTGATAACTACTGAACTACCAGTTTCAAAAGCTAGTATCAAATTATATGAAGGTTGGGCTACTACCACATGTACAGTATTCGTATGAGCACAGTAGTATCACCATTGGATATGTGGTACTAGTAATTAACCTAATGGAAAATTGATAAGTGATAGTGTGAGACTGAGTAGTATAATTTCTGTAATAATCACCCTTATAGGAAATTAACCAGCATGTTAAAGTCCTAGACCTAACAGTATATGCACCTTGATACCATGTTTGCAATTCTCATATTCCAGCCTGCATTTCACCCAAGTGTACTGATATGTTAACACTTAAATATACTATTAGCACTGAAATACTTTACCAACTCTACCACATCTCATATTGATTGTTTACATTAAAACCAAATTGGAATGAAATAAAAAATGATAGATTGGTATCTCGGGTAGAGGCATTGCATTATTTGTATGTGGTTGCAACAACAAAAATTACAAATACAAATGAGGCTGCAGACTGTGGAGAGGGTGAGACACTGAGATGCCATATTACATGTATCATCATCATGATAAGAAAAACATTGATTGCTTGTTTGTTTGCAAGGAAAACGTAATGAATTTTCTAAACACCTGTTCTAAGATTTAATGTAGATAACTTATTACCAATACTACATTCATGCTCATTTGTTTGATCCTATTTATAGCCATAATTTTATGTACATGTACACATACATTGGCGTTATTTTATATGTTATTTCCTAGTTGCTGAATTTTTGATCTGCTTGTATAATATTTTTACGAGTGACAGTGGTCCCCCATAGGGCCCTGTTTCAGTGAAGCATGACATTTCTTTAGAATTTCTGTTCATCAAGGTTTATGTACAATTTTTATGTCAACAATTGACAATAACAAAGAGTCCTAACTATTTTGATATGCTGGTATTGTAATATGCAATCAGGGTCAAGGACAATTTTTGGACAAGATGAATACCATGTATACTGTCAAAAACAAAATCTGTTCAAGGCTAGATTTGGGAGGGGGGGGGGGGGGGGGGAGGAAATGTTGATCTAGGTCATCTTGAGTTTTTTGCGGGTGTAAATGAATCTCCAGAGATGTTTTCCACAGGCATTACACTGTTTTGACAAGTACATTGTTTTGATCATGAAAATTTAAACAATATCACAAAATCTTGCTTTACATAGAATAAGAAAAAACAAATACTACTGCCAATATGCATAATAATCTGCATATGTACACAATAGTTCAGCAATCGTAAAGTTTTTAACATATTTCTTTATGAAACTGCTTTAAAACGCACATTGAAACGTCTTGTTTTATATTTGGAAGTTGAGGATGGGGAGAGGGAAATATATAATTGTTATTGACATGTACTGCATCAGACTAGAAATTTGCCTCTTTTGTATAAAGTTTCATGTTCTGTCAATTGAGTTTTATAAAAGTGCTAAGGTGGGGTATTTGTCAAACTTATCTGCAAATTGTAATATCAGATGAATATTTCACTCACTTCTATTTTGATTATCTTGATCTCCTGTACATAATGCATTTCAATTCAATTCAATTCATTTATTTTTCCTCTTTCAATCGTTCATATTTACAATGATGGTACATTTTAATATATTCACATATTTATATACATATAGATCAATTTGCACAATACAATACATAACAAAAATAAACATGAAATTGAAAGGGAAGGAGGGCCGACTAAAAAGCAGAGCTTGTAGGGTGTAAGCCCCCTGTAAAAGTTATTATCATGAATTATTATTTTATGAGAAAAAAACAAAAACAACAATAACAATAACTGATTCAGTAATACAAAAAAAAAATCACTTTTAAACGCAAAACATTGGTAAATACATACATGTTTATAAAAAGAAACAATCAAAGTTGCATAAATTCACACTACAAATTATATTTGATTGGGGAATGCAATAGCCTAGTAACTATTCAGAAGAAAGCTTTTAAGTCTCCATTTGCTAACAAGTACCTATAAATAGGGGACCCGTAAAAGGTGAAAAGTATATTCATATGCCTGATGCATGTGGATTCCAGTTAAAAAAAAGTTAGTGCAGGCCCTTGCATTCAAACAAAAATATCAAGCCAATATTATGGCTAGCAGCCAAGGAAAATGATTTGACACTTAGTAGGTGTACCATATTCTGTCAAAGGAATTAATTCAAGGATCTGGTCACAACAGAGTGGCTAGTTATTTGAGACAACACTTCCTGCATAACTCCTTCTCAACTGGAATTCTCCAGGAAATCCCCGATTGTCCAGGTTTCTCCGGATTTGACTACTGCTGAAAAAGCAAACAAGGAAATGAATTTACCAAAATATCTAGGTAATTTGTGATTTATTCCAAGTTAACAACAATTGTTCAAGTTGTATTGGCAATGATATTTAACAGAGAATTGTATATCTAGCAAAAGTAGACTTTAGCCCTCAATAAGACCGATGTACCTTTGAATGTTGTGTACTGTGCAAATTGGAACAGCATGAAAGTCAACATTCAACCTTTCTGACACCTAACTTGAGAAAATTCTTGAGTGTCCAAACAAAGAGTCAGACACAAAGTATTCTGAAAAAAACCCTTGTGAGGTTTCATAGAATTATCTAGACTGTCAACTCATCTGGCAGTATTATTGCTGTCAATGATTGTAAAAATCTTACTAACAATATCACTTGTATCTTGAAATCATTATTTGGTCAATTTTTGGCCACAACATACTTTTGCACAAATGCAGTAATCTGCCAACATCCTCATTCCATTAAAATCGTAAAACCAGAGGATTAAAAAGGAGTGTCATATTTCTGGAAATTGTTAACAATATTTATTAAATCCGCATTACAAAAGGAAGTTGCATGGAAGTATTCATGCAAGTGCAAAGGTAGTATAGTTTATTGCAAAGGTTTTTCCTTGAAGTAATAGAAGATAAATCTTGTTGTTTGGTACAGTATACATTTTACTATTTACTTACTTACTTAGATCCCCCTCCTTTTCACCGCAAAAAAGTAGATAGGGAAAAGGCATTTTACAAAAGATAGTAAGTAATGCAACAAATGATCAGCTTGCTTCATTCAACATTGCAAAGCATTTGTACACATGCAGATTTTGAAGCTTTTGAAAAAATATAGGGCCTATCTATCGTGGCCATTTCCTTTCATCTGCAGTTAGTGAAAAGATGGAGCTGTTTGACCTATTGCAGGTGTGAAGCAGGTGAATTTTGACCAAGAATTGATAATATTGACAACAGAATTGACACATTCTCATCAAGAAAATGAATGCCATATTTGTTCTATTGAAATATGTATTGATGTAAAGTGTGTCATGAAAGTGGTAGGTCTATTCAATGAATTAGAATTGCTTTGAAAATAGTTTTTTTTTTAAAGGAAATAAATTGGAGAGATTAAAAAACAGTCATTTGAAGCTTCATACACTGATTTTTTTGTTCCAAATGAAGTAGATGAAGTAGTATTTGTGTTGATCATTTTCTTTCTTTTCTTAGACCATGCTTCCAATAGATTTGGTTTTTGTTTGTAGATATTATATGTTTGTAAACAAAGGAGGGATGACATGGGTTTTAATCTAATACAGTTTGAATTGAATTAGATTTGTGAGTGAATTTAATTGAATTAATTCAAGTTCAACAATATGGATGCAACCTAGAAGTGATTATTAAATTCCACTCCCTCAGGTCAGATGCAGTTATGATAATTGACCTCAATAATAATTCAAAAGGAACACCGGCAGGACAACGAAATGAGAAAAATTATGAAATCAAATATCATATGGAAAAAAGCTTTCCAGATTTGTAAGATATATTTTAGCTGAAACATAGTTTCAATGGAATATTAATGAATAGAGGCTTAAACAGAGCTCAAGATCTACTTGACCTGGTTTGCTCAGGGTAATACTTTGTAGATACGTATCTACATCTACATCTCTCTAAAATGGATTCTATATGAAGAGGGAAGTCTAATTTCATTCATATTGCCAGGCTGGTGGAATATGCGATGTACATACCAATTGATTTTGATAACATAGTGGAACTTGTCTTTCAGGTAGTCTGTAGATTTACACCCTATAAATTTTAACTTTAATAGATAACTCTTTGCGCTGGTCTTTTCTGTTCAAATTTTTTTTTTCTTACCAATTTTTATGTAGAGATGACAACCAATCTCATTCCTCTCCATTCTTCATTTTCCTGAAGCATAGCTGCCTGAAATGTCCTCATTTTGAAATTTGGAAGCCAGGCAAATTAGATTTATATCGGGATTTGAAATTAAATTGCTTATATTCTGTATTATTTCATATTTGTGACATTTATCTAAGAGAGTACAGTCACACTCTTCAAGATATAATAGGTAAAGATATATTTTTACCTCTAGGCGATTATATTTCACAATTACTGTTTTGTCTACAGCCTATATCTATGAAATCATGTGTAAACATTTTATATTTGTGTTCGGGAGAACAATGCCAACATATATTTTTTTTAGTACTGCATCAACAGAATTCCACACAAACAGAAATATAGACAAGATATTACTTATCTCTGTTTACAGTTAAACCATGTATGGATTCTGGTATGGACTGCAATAGATGAATGGATATATAGCCATAGAAAGGTCAAGACCTTGCACTAGGTATTGCTAGAAAATGTGTATTTGCTGGCAATGCATCTGTTTGCACCCTTCTGAAGGGGCACATGGTAATTTGTTTTCCCATTGGCTTGCAGCTAGCATCTCAAATCAAATCTTTGGGAAATAATCAAGTATTGATTTCTGACATTGCAAAGGTGGACTAGTATATGCTGCAAGATATGATTAGTGCATGCCATGTTGACAATACATGTAACTCCTTGACACATAATTAACAGAAAAGCTTAATTGATATTAGATCAGTCGCTGATGTAGACCTAACCCTCAACCACATAAGTTTGAAATATTCAGGAGAACAGACCTAATTGATGTTATTACTAATTGGGCCTTTAACAACCAATAGTAGGAGTGTGGTCTGAAAAGAGTGTTTTTATCTTGCTAATTGAATAATTGATGGATTTTTTAATAGATGAAATCTGGGCTGTACCATAAAAAGAGTTGCAATTTATGCGAGTGATCCACAAATTTTAATATTATTGGATAATGCTTTGATTTTGTTTTGATCAAGGACTTAATTTATTGACTTTTGAATGATCTCATTCCCATAGGCTTTGATACATGAGCCAACTTGAAGGCGTAGGCAATGGGTTCAGTGGCAACCCTTTATTGTTTAATAGATTATTGAGACCCTGTATTCCCAGAATCAAAACATTGAAAAACAATCTTTTTACGTCCTGTGTCACCCAGATATTTTGTAACCCCTGTGGAGGTATAAGGCCTGTCTTCATCAGCTCGAGTTTGCCAAATAACCCGCTATTTTCAGACTCGCGATATTATCCAGAAGCTCAACATTGCGTTCTCACCTGACCGATATGCTCAGCAAAAACTAGCAAACTAGCAAACTAGCAAACTAGCCCGCTATTTCTAAAATAGCAGGATATTTTGTAAACAAGACCAATATTTCTTGGGATATTGTCTCGACCAAATACCATGCTAATTGCAACTGCGGGCTAATTTGCGATCAGGATAGTTAAAATAGTGGGTTGTTTTGCAAACTCGAGCTGATGAAGGCAGGCCTATTGTGTCTGTATTTTGCGCATGAGCTTGATGATGGAATGGGATGATATATTGATGTGCCTTGTGTCTGCTCTCTTTCTCTCCTTGTCTCTAGGCAATGTGCCAAGGAAGCCCTGGAAGATATGGCAAACTGGTTAGACGAGGACGGAGAAGTAGCGGTAAGCTAGTAGGCATCTATCCATGGCACATAAAATGCCCCATTCACACTTGTAGTTTAACCTTAGGAATATGATTAGGATGTTATGTCAATTGGCTGACTGGTTAGAAGAGGATGAGTAAGTACTAAGTAGCAGTATTAAAGTAGACATCTATCTATCTGTAACTTATCACAGGAACATTCACACTTGTTATTTAACTGTAGGTAAATAATAAGAATGGTATGGACAATTGGTAAAATTAGATTGTGAAGTAGTGGTAAGTAGACATCTATCAATGGCTCATTAAAGCCCCTTTTCATACTTGTGATTTAGCCAGAAGTATATATGACAAATTGGGCAACTGGTAAGAAGAAGAATTCTGAAGAAACAGCTCATTGATTACCCCATTTATGTTGTAATTTAATCATAGGTATAACAAATCTTAAGGAAAATTTGTTGATATGGTTTAGGAAGTTGATTATACTTATGATTGGACTAACTCTACTGTCTACAGAGTTTTTCCTTCTTTTCTTGAGGATAATGCAATTTGTCGAAAAGAGATATATGTTCAGGGTGCTACGTACCCGTAATGATTTTGAATGTTCAGTCAAATTTGTCAAAACAAAGCCGCTTGTCAGTAACAAAATAAATAACCTTCATGATAGTTTTTAACTAGGATTTCCTTTCACCTTGTTCAAAAACCACACAGAAGGTTAACTTTGTATTTGTTATCGTAGGATAAAACTTAATTTCCCAATTTTTTTGTAATCAGAAGTGCAAAGTCATCCCTCCGATGACCTTTGTTGTAGATAATGAACAGGTAATTTGAATTTGAAAGCAGCTTACTTATAATATAAATAAAATTATTGATACTAGGTTCATATATACTAATGATTTTGTTCTTATCTAAACAAATTTTCAACCAGAAATTGCATTGTCATTCTGAAATATGTACATAAACATGAACATGTATGTAAATATGTTTTTGATGTGCTATCCTTGCAGGTTTTTGATGCAACTAACACCACACGAGACAGACGACAAACTATCCTAGAATTCTTGGGAGAGAGACATATCAAGGTAAACATCAATTATATTAAACAAATAAAGTTATCAATTGAGTCATTTGTGGAACTCTTTTACATACATGACACAGCATAATTGATGTCATTACAGAATTGGCATTATATTTTTGTTTAATGTGAATAATTTGTTTGTCAGCGAAAGTGCAATTAGCAGTGTGGTTTAAAGTAAAACCATGATACGTTGGCTGTCGTAAAATCTTTTGTATTTAATCTAAAAGTCCATCTGGATCATGATAATAACCCTCCCCCTCCCCTTCCTTTCCCCAGGGACAACAATTACAAAGTATCCCTAGAGCTAATCTTAAGGACAATCTATTTTCAACCCCTTTTTTATTCAGAATTCAAGCTGGATTTGTTAATGTAAGAGGTGATATCTAATTTGGATTATTAATGTTTTTAGTCTTTCCAGTCTTTCTTTGTTCAAATATCTTTTATCCGACATATGCTCTGCTGCAATATTGCTATGGGCTGTATTTTGTCAAAAATAAAAGGTTAGGGTTGCAAGTGGGTTTCAAGTTGGGTGTAGGTTAATATTTTTAAGGTTTAATAGGCATAGAGACAGGTAAGTGTTTGGTCCAGGGTTGAAGTAAAGAATACAGTTTGTTTACGCTAATGTCCGCAGAGGAGTTGGTGCATGTATAGTACGACCATGATGCTTGAGCACTTTAATGGCAGACATGCTAACGCTGGGTAATAATAAAAGAGTGTCAGGAGTGGCGATGTGCCAGACATGAATGCTATACAAGACTCCACCATTATTATCATTATTATTAATATTATGAAATTAGTTAATCAAATTTTTATTGAATGTTTTTATCTTTTTAGTGTTTCTTTGTGGAATCAGTGTGCGATGATCCAGAGACAATCCAGTCCAACATCAGGGTAAATTGAACACATTCTCTTCACCGTACTTTCTTCAATAAATAAATTAATGTACGTTTGCCACTCTCCACACAGGTGAGGTAAATGGGTACCTGGTAGGAAGCCTAGGCTTGGCTGCCTGGTTAGTACTAAGCACAGTAGGTTATATAAGTGTAGTAGCTGTACTTTAAAAAAAATAATCAATTTTAGGATTGTATTACCATATAAAACACAAAACAATCTGATTTAGTCTGACCGTCATATTGCTCTTAATTGCAAACCTTTTTTTGTTGTTGCAAATAAAATACTGAACCCCCCCCCCCCTTTAAAATTGGAAACATGTGGTTTATTTAACTAACTGTTTACTTTTCAGTCAGCATGGATATGTTTCAGTTTATATGAAACCAAACAGAGCTTCAATACTATGTTTACATCCTTGTAATAATATAAATGTTATCACTTGTTTCACTTCCGGTTTGCATTGACCAATTTCTATAACTTGAAACTGAGTATGCAAAATTGTAGAGGATTTTTGTTTGTCATTGCTATTTGCTAAGAGGTAAAACATTTAAAGATGACTCCGTCTTATTTGCAATGAGTCAAAATATAACACATATTCAAGATTCATTTTTAAAGAGAGGCCTATCATACTAACCTGATATGGAATAACTAAGATTTCTGTGAACTTCTATTTTCTTTATTTGGTAGGAGGTGAAACTAAACAGTCCTGACTACTATGACATCGACAAAGAGAGAGCAATCAGAGATTTCTTACAGAGGATAGAACACTACAAGGAGACATACCAATCACTTTCTGATGACCATGATAGGTAAAACATATCATATTTATGTATTGGCTTTGCGTCGTATTATGAATGCTACAGCTGTAGACTTTATCGTGAGGATGGAGTAGTGCGAGGAAACATACAACACTCTCTCACATTTATATGTGGAGATACTTATTTGAAGAAAAACTATGAACTTGTTTTGCAAATCATAATACACTCATCGATTTCAGAGAATGTATGAAATTCAGAACTATTGTGTTTTCTTCTCATTTGGTCATGTGAAAGCCTATTTTAATAATCAAATTATGATTTATTTCCTTTTTGTTTTTTCATCCGTAGAAATCTGTCCTATATCAAGATCATCAATGTTGGGGATCGTTTCCTGGTTAATAAAGTCAGTGGTAAGTTTCTCTTGACAATCACACAATAGAAACGATGAGTACCCGCTCAAAAATGTGTATGGTAAAAAGAGAATTGCCCTGAAGGCCATATTGTACTTTATTCCCCCCCCCAGGCTTTTGGAGCCTTTAAAGGTGATTTGCTCACAGCTCACTAATGTCTTTTCTTGCTTAATGAACTCTATCAGTGAATGTTGAGTTTAAGTATAGGTATTAAGGCCCAAGGCTCATTACCTAATGCATCTCAATTACTGAAACTTCTTAGGGAAGGGTAAATTGGAAGGGTAATTAAGTGATAGAATTCATTTGGGATTGGAAGACAAAAATACTTGGTAATTAGCATTTATATGTGCTGATTGATATCTCCCACTCATCGATGTTAGAAACCTTTATCTAAATTGCACTTATCTGCTACAGTGAACCAATTCATTCAGTTCAGAGACCCTGTATTTCACAATATCACTTGATTTTTCGAAAAGATTTCCCCTTTTCTATCACTCAACATTGCTTTGAGAAATGTTTAAGTGGATCTCATGCTTCAAGTGAGCTAGTGCTGAGCTATTGTACTTTCATTCAAGATTGAATAGGAATGCATGAATGAGTTTTCATTGTTCACTACCTTGTATACGTTTTTGGCCTAGTTTTTAATCATTGTGCTGTATGTAGATCATATTGTACAAGTGATGCACATGATGCATACGTGTATTGCATCAACTTGGTGTCAAAAATACTTCCCTATTCGCAGGAGCTTTTTCAGAATTCTTGCAAAATACTTTTTGAAAAGCCAAAATATGCAGAAATGATTGTATTTCTAATTGAAAATATTATTTTTCCATTCTGTATTATTGATTTGTCTTTAATAAATAATGGTTTTATTTTTTAATTGTCAAAATGGCCCTTCCAGAGGTGCTAACCAGTACGATTTAATTGTATTTAGTACGATAGTACGATATCACCTCTTAAAATACAATTTTTCACCAAATTTTTTTAATACCTATTAAAACCACGGAATCGCATAGAAACATGTACAAGTAACCCCTGCAACCCCTACAAAAAGTTTGCTTTACAATTTTCTTTTAAAATTTTGATGAAAGTGCAAACATTTTACTCGACCGTACGTACCAGTATCACATTTTTCTGAAATTTTACTGGCCCGGGGCCGACCGGCCATTAGGTAGTGTCGAGTTTTTGTGAAAATCTGATTTTTCTCTCAGTCTGTTTTTTTGTGTCAAGAGGTTGGCATCTCTGTATATAGATGAACATGTACAATTGAATATGTTTTAAAAAAACTAATTACAGCAAAAATATGGTCTTTACGGTATACATTTGCGCTGCGTTACGACATCAATAGGTTTTTTATAGGTGAAAGGAAGGCCGGTTGAAAAATACTAATTTTGATGGTAAAATACTAATTTTGATGGTAAAATACTAATTTTGGAGGTGCTGAGTACTAATTTGTACTTCCAAAGGTTGGCAGCTCTGCCCTTCTGTGTGCAACATGATATTGTAATTATAAATGATTTTGCGCAATTTTATATGAAAACTGCTCTTCCGAATACTTTTTAATATCATGTAGTAGTCATTTCAGAAATTGTATTCTGAAAGTATGATTTTTTTTCTCTCAGACAAGAGTATGATTTTACTATGTGTCGATACATTTGTGTGTAATTTTCATCTTGCTTTTTTGCTGGCAGGTCATATACAAAGCAGAGTAGTCTACTACCTCATGAATATTCATATCATCCCACGGACCATCTACCTGACAAGGGTGAGTTTATTTCAACTTCTATGTTTTTTATGATTTTGACATGGATTATTACATATAACAGGTGTATGTAATTGTAGTAAGTTCTTTTTCAAATGTGAATGAAGATAGCTAGAAAGTAACATATAATTTTTCCCCTTTATTAATAATAATAATAATAATAATAATACATGAGATTTATATAGCGCCATTATCCATTTTGATTAAATGCTCAAGGCGCTTCAAAATATAAGGGAACACATTACATCATGACAAAGAATCGTGTACATTTACATAAGAAAGAAAATGCAAAAATGAAAGAATGAAAGAATGAATGTCTGTCTTCAAAACGCAAAATTAAACAAATGGGATTTAAGGTTGCTCTTAAAAGATGTTGAAGAGTCGGAGTTCTTCAGCTCCTGTGGAAGTGAATTCCACAGGGCTGGTCCGGCATGAGCAAAAGCTCGTTCCCCCCAAGATTTCTTTGAAAGCGGTATGTGTAGAAGACCAGAGTTGGAAGATCGGAGGGTACGTGTGGGTTGGTAGAGGTGAACTAAAGACTGGTTGTATTCAGGAGCTGTTCTGTTCATGATTTGATGAACTAAAAGGAGGATTTTGAAAATTATACGTTCTTTTACAGGCAACCAATGGAGATTTTGTAAGATAGGTGTAATGTGACTATGTTTGCTTGACAGAGAAATGATGCGTGCAGCTGCGTTTTGTAGTTTTTGTAACTGTGCAATTTGAGAATTTGGTAAATTATAGAGTAAACTGTTGCCGAAATCCAAACGTGAAGAAATAAGTGAGTGAACAAGTTTCTCTGTTGCCGAACGAGTCAGATATTTCCGTATGAAGCCAATATTGCGCAATTGATAGCGAACTGATCTGGAAATGCTTGTGATTTGTTTAGACATAGACATTTGAGAATCAAGAATGACGCCAAGATCGCGACATGAATTTGATAAGGGAATGGTGTTACCGGAAATAGAAATTGAGTCTATATTTAATTTATTCAACTGAGATTTTGAGCCGAAAAGAATGAATTCGCATTTACTATGATTTAATAGCAGAGAATGTGACTTCATCCAGGCGTCAATATCAGCGATGCAATTTTCCAAATTTTGCAAGGTTTGGGAAGCTCGAATTTGATGCGGCGGAAAAGAAACAAAAACTTGTATGTCATCTGCATATAAATGATAACGAACAGAATGACGTTGAAAAACATTTCTGAGACCGGTTAAATATATTGAAAATAAGGTGGGCCCGCCCACAGAGCCTTGGGGTACTCCACAGCCAAGTGGCCTGGGGGAGGATGTGAAACCATTTAAAAGGACAGACTGTGAATGGCATGAAAGATAGGATTCAAACCATTCAAGAGCCTGGTCCTGGATACCCAGACTTGTTAGAGTATTTACAAGTATTTTGTGGTCTACGGTGTCGAAGGCTGAGGACAGATCTAAAAGGACCATGGCAGTGACGGATCCGGAGTCCATTTCTCGTAAGATTGAGCTTGAAACATTGATGAGAAGGGTCTCAACACTATGATGAGGGCGGTAAGCCGACTGTAAAGGGTCGAATAAATTGTGTTCCAGCAAATAATCTGAGAGTCTAGAGAACACGACTCTCTCTAGAATTTTGAACAAAAATGGCAGATTACACACAGGACGGTAATTTTTCAGGGATTCATTGTCCAAAGAGGGTTTCTTCAACAAAGGGCGTATAAGTGCTGTTTTTAAGACTGAGGGTACAGTGGCTTGATTCATACTAAGATTAACAATGTGAGATATAATCGGGGCAAATATTGGAGCGCAATCTTTTAAAAGAATGGTAGGAACTGGATCTAATGGACAAGATTTAGGGGGCAATTTACGAAGAAGGGAAAGAATTTCATCTGCGGTGGTATGTTGAAAGGTCCTTAGTGTGGAAGAGGTGACAGGTTCCAGTGGTAAAACATTTGGATTAAGACTATCTCGGATTTTTTAAACTTTTAAACAGAAGAATTGAATAAACGTTTCAGCCATGGAATTGCCATCAACATATGACGGCAATGGAGAAGACTGTTTTCGGTTCAAGAGTCGATTGGCGACATTGTAGAGTTTCTTGTGATCATCGCCGCAGTCCTCGATGAGTCTGGTGTGGTATGAACGTTTCGCCTTGGAGACAAGGTAGCTCACCCGGTCTCTCTGAGCACAAAACATCTCTCGGTCAATCTGGAGCTTTCCATTGTCCCGCCATTTCCTCTCAAGTCTCCGCCGCTCTTTCTTCGCTTCGGTGATGTCATGGTTATACCAAGGACTGTCTTGATGAGCTCTTACTTTCCGAGTCTTGGCTGGAGCATGGGAGTTCAGTAACCTGCAGAGTTCTGAGTTGTAGCGGATAACGGCAGCATCGACGCTCTCTGTTGCTGAAGACATGATGCTACTGTTAGTAACATCGTTGGCGAAATCAGTCCTGTTGATGCCCTTGATATTACGAGAGGAAAAAGTTGCATTTTTCCGCTGGGGCTTGTCGAAACGTAGCAAACAGGTAACAGCAGAATGATCAGAGATACCGGGTATTACTTGTAGGCGAGAGTACAACAGTCTATCGGAGTTCCTGACCTGATCATTAATCTCATGAGAATAAGACCTTTAAAAAACAAAAAATCCTGCAAGTTTCTATCTGATGTCACCCTCTTCTTCTATGAAGAAATTAGGGTTCCAGTTTTAATTCATTGTTGCTACATATTTGCATCATAATGTCAAGGGTTTAGAGCAGTGTTGGCATTAAATTTTGTATTTAAAAAGATTTAAAAAAATATATTTTCAAATGGGAGGTTGCAGGGTCAAAAACCAAATGAATGAGCCAGCACCACCCTTTAACATATAGATAAGCTACTAATGAACAGTTACCCAGTCTTTCCTGTAGGAATCCAAGCTATAAGTCCCCTGGTTGTTTATTTCCATCAATCAATCAATACCTTTCGCTCTTTGCAGCACGGAGAGAGCATGCACAACCAGAACGGTCGGATCGGAGGCGACGCCAACCTGTCTGAGAGGGGTTGGTCCTACTCCAGGTCTCTAGGAGAGTACATGTCAACACAGAACCTGCAGGATCTCAAGGTCTGGACAAGCCGTCTCAAGAGGACAGTCCAGACGGCATCCAGCATCGACGTCGCTATCGAGCAGTGGAAGAGTCTGGATGAGCTTGATGCGGTAAAAAATCTAAAGGATTATATACAATTTATTCTTTGATTTTTTTTTTTCTTCCAAATTCTGAGCCCTTCACACACTATTTATTAATAATCTTCACGCAAATAGACAAATCAGATATATGTGCATGTTTAAACACATTGAAAATAGCTCAATAGTGATTTCTTTAATAATTTTGTCTTTCTTAAATAGCCCTGGCCCTATTATTACACATCCTTCTTGATGAAGAAGCAATTTTCATCCAAAATTTGTCAAAAATTAATGGGGAAATGGTGCGGTGGTAGTCAGTTAAACCCTTCTCATGACAATGGATTCACTCTGTGATATTACTAGTAATGATTTAATTAAACCTGCTACAGAATGTCATCCACATTTTAGCAAAATCTAAAATTAGCGAAAATCTAAAAACAGAAGACGTTTGGACAATAAGAGTAATGAGCATTTACTCAAGAACAGCTGTCCATGTTTACATTCTAAAAAGTACTTCAGTGTTTGTAAAATTTTCTCTGTATTTTCTGTCTGTGTCCAGGGTGTGTGTGATGGTCTGACGTATGAAGAGATCCAGAAGGGACATCCAGAGGAATTTGCTTTGAGAGATCAAGACAAATTCCACTACAGGTACCCTATGGGAGAGGTAAGCTTTTATCTACATCTGCATTCAGAAAGTAAAAATCTGCTTTATAATTGCCAAAAGAAAAAGAAAAAACAAAAATTAAATGAGCTAGTATATAATGTGTGCCTCAGCTCAAGGTATTTCAAGAATTTTAAAGACGCATAGGATTAGGCTCTCATGGGGAAAATTCAACAACATTTGAGTGTTTATCAAATAAAAGTTGCTGTCAATCACAAGGATTAGCTTTCCATGTTATGACCAACAGGCCTTATGTAATACTCTGCATTTTTCATCCATTACCACTTGTAAAGTCATTATCTTACTTTTTTCCTCACCGAAGACTCTCCAAGCGAGGGGGTACTTCTTGTCCACACATTAATAATGGTATTTCACCAAGTCTGGTGTTGGCAAATAATGGCCTTCTGCACATGGTACCTGACGACCCTCTCCCTTTAATATACCGGTGTACTTCCCCTGGGTTTAGAGAGATACCTGTAAGTAAAATGCATTGTAGAGGGATTTGTTACACCCAAGACATTATGATTGAAAGTACATGTAAGTTGGATAAATCCCTTTATACCTGCAGTGCTTTTGCAAGCATGTATTCATAAGTGTCATAATCCATGCAGTTTGCTGATCATCTTTTAATCTATTTATTCTGTTTGCAGTCTTACCAAGATCTAGTGGCCAGGCTAGAGCCGGTGATCATGGTGAGTTGAGACATTGTAATACTTGAACAATATCTTCCACATGAAGTATGGAGTGATATGGATTCTTTTTAATGGATATGTGCATTACTTAATGAGCAGAATGTATGAATGGAAAGGTGTTGAAGCTTATTTATATAAATGATATCGATTTGAAAATCCATTTTAATCAACAATTAAATTTCATAAAATCATTATTTTTAATTAAGTGAATAATTTGATTTAAGTCAAGCTGTATCAAGAAATATCATTGCAGCCAAATGGCTGAATAACAATATTTTACAAGTTAAAAACTTGCAAAAAGAATTAAATAAAAAAATAAAATGCAGTATGAATTTGACATAGATTTTTAAGAGGCTAAGATTCAAACAATAATATTATTCTCATATATTGTGATACATATTGATCTCAATCGCCAATCATAAAGTTATATGTTTATTTTCTTGATGATGTAACTTTTTAGGAGTTGGAGAGACAGAAGAATGTCCTAGTGATCTGTCATCAAGGAGTCATGAGATGTCTTCTAGCGTACTTCCTTGACAAGAACTCAGGTAATATCCCAAAATCATTCTCTCTTACGTCTTACTGTAGAATTGAAGCGATCGTGGCAGTTCCATTATGACCCAAATTAATTACAGCAAAGGCATTCACAATATTAAAGTCAAGTTGAATAATGAATATCTCCCAAATTTTGACTTCTCTGACCATTTTCAAGTGGAGATATACATTTCATTTGCTTTTGCTTTTAGCAGTTGGGTAAAATTGTGTATATATCAAGATTTTTTTTTTTTTTTTTTTTTTTTTTTTTTTTTTTTTGGGGGGGGGGGGGTAAAACAAGATGGTAGTGTAAATTCCTGCCAAGGTTTTGGGAATTTGAATGAAAATGGTAGGAGAAAGTATTGGGGGGGGGGGGGCAGGGATTTACTTCTTTTTTAGAAGTAATATAGACTGAATGCATACAATGTTTATTTCCAGAATTATAAAGTAATCAAATAGTTTCAAAGAGCCATCCATGTAGTGTTTGTCTAACCTAAGATTTTGATACTTTTCTCTTCCAGATGAACTTCCATATTTGAAATGTCCACTGCACACTGTCATCAAACTCACTCCTGTAGCCTATGGTAAGTGCATGAGATAATGTAGTAACCTCTTGATATCATAAAGGGTGCGACATTGAATATTACAACTAATAGATGACATTAGATTACAGCTAGTGATGAGTTCTTCTTGCCTATGTAGGAACTGCTTTTGTATAGAGAGGTGGTGATTAGTACTTTAAAATGAAGAACAGCTTTTATTGCACACTTTGTACCCATCTGGCTTTAATTATACAAATAATGTTTATTTCATCTTTTTGTTCATTCTTGCTAGTACTGGAATGGATGCAAGAGAAAGGGCTTCCGGGCTTTTAATCTGTGCTATTCTTTGAGAATGAAGAAAGCAGGAACAAACAAAACTCCTGCATTCTACAATATGCTACTGAACAACGAAAATATCCAATATAAAAAATTTGCAATTAAAGTAGTAGACACCTTTTTTCACGTACAAATGTGGTTGTTGTATTATAATTGGCTTAATCACTGTAACAAAGAAATCCTGATGGAATATTGAGTATGGTTTGTTTTTCATCTTTTCAGGTTGTCGAGTAGAAACAGTGACGTTAAACATCCCAGCTGTAGATACACACAGACCAAGACCTGACGTAAGTGAATCACAATGAATGAATCCCAAATATGTTGTTACCTTTTATTACAGGTCTCTATTTCCCCCAGAAATTGAGCTAAGAGGCTTTTATAGAGATGATCCAACATTGCTTTGGTCACTGTTGCCATTGGATTTATTATGTCGAAGATAGTGAGGTTAGGGTTTGTGATTGGGTTTAAGGTTTTAGGTTAGGGTTAGGTATAGTTTGGCTCAGTGTTGAAGTTAGGAATTTGGTTTTGTGTGAACTATTTAAATTTGGTTTCGGGAAAACTAACCCTAACACAAACCCTATTCTTAACCCTAACCCTATATTTGTTAACGATATATAAACCACCTAGCAATTGTTGTCGGAGCTAATGTTGGGTCACCATAGAACAAATGTATGGTTCTGTTCTTGATTGCATGCCGAGTTACCATGACACATGCATGTGCATGGCTTGTTATCTTGATGTCATTGTCAAATGACTTGGGTTTGTTGTATTGTTTGTAAACATGGAAGATTTCTTTGAATAGGTTCATCGCACTTGTAGAATGGACTGGAAATCATTTTTTCTGATGACACAAATGATTTCACATAAAATGCTTGCAAAGAAATATATTCATAATTTAGCTATGTCGCCATTTTGAATGAGGATAAAATGTTCAAGGTCACACGTGGCATGAGGATGTCAATGAACTCCGAAGGCCAAACGTGGAATCAGACCTGAAATCGTTGATGCCTCTTTTCGATGGCAATGGCTGGTAGCTGATAAAGAAAAGAGATTTCCAAGCCAAGTTCCTTCTAGAAATTATGGAAGCTGTGGTGCTACCAGCAAACTGGCAATCGTGGAAGATGGTATAGTGTATTGTTATGAATGAAGAATGGTGGTGTTCTGTAGGCAGTTTTGATCTCCTGTCAAAATATTTTATATCAAGTTCTTGGGTTGACCTTTAGTCCTTTAATTATAACCTCAAAATGACCTCAGAATCGAGATGCACCAAAATGATTCTGTGAGAAAGAATCGCACCAGCCAAACTTGAGATAATTCACCATTTCCTCTTTTTTTTCTCCCCCATCGCAAACAGAATACCCTGCCCATTCCAAAGGCGGTTCCAGAAACAGAAACAGAAAATCAGTGACCCACGAAGGCTTCCTCAAATAGGCAACAGGAGATCAAAACACCCTTATAAGGGGTTGGGTGTTCTCTCTACACGATGCTACCTATCGGTCTAAACTACAGCTCTGGGCTGCCCATTTTAGGTTGCTCTTTCTTCATCATAGACCACATAAAGGCTAGAAAATAGGACTCCCTCAAGAAAGATCAAATAAAAAATTGAAAACTTCTTTTGCTAATAAATTTTAGATTCTTTCAAGTTTCTAAATTTGATGCAGATTATTTAGGACCTTCTTTCATTCCAACCAATGTTTTTATTTACCTCTGCTAGTGACAAATTCCCTTGCTCCATTCATATTGATTATTGTAGAATAAATACAAATAATGGCACTTTATTAAGACATGTGGATTTATACATTGTGAACAAAGTTTGTATTGTGTGCACATGGCATGAACATGACTCCATTCCTTAAAAAAATATCACATGTTATGTAACATGTCCCCCCCCCCCCCCCCCTCCCTCCCTCTGCCTAGTCATGCAACTGATATAATGTTGATGTGTTCTATTTAGACGGTTACAACCCATTTCACAGTCATAATTGTATTTGGTAAATTGTATGCATTTAAGGACCCCATGGAAAAGCAGCTATTCTTTGTCATTACAGCTAAAAATGGGCTCCTCACCATATTTGAAACTTAAATTCCATGATGTATGTTTTATGTAATTATGGAAATAAAATCAAACCATCAATGCATTCAATGGTAGATAAACGATCAACATTAGACCCATTTAATTCACAGCCCAAACACTATTTGGAAAAATCTTTGAATTTTTTTACTGCTATTTACACTACTCGGAAAAAAGAAGGAAAGGGTTGGTGTTTCCAGCGTTTAATTTAAAAAAAAAATGAGAGGTGGCTCTTTTGGTTTATTTCTTTTTGTATTTTCCATTAGCTGCTTAGCAACATCCGGTGATACATTGGAATGAGAAAAAATTGATAACTTTTGCTTATAGTGTAAATGAATATATTGATATAAATATAGAAAAATTAGGCATTGTCTGTTTGGATCCAGAAGGGCATTAACTCTGTGTCAATGTATATGATTTAATGTCCTTGTGGCTCCAATTATATGACTTATAAAATAGTAGGAGGCCATATTGTGTATGAACTCTGAGCAGGTTTTGATAGGATTTCAAATTACTGATAGCTTGATGTTCTGATGTGCTATGACACGTAGAGGTTGAATTTAAAAGTCGATCATGACATAGAAGGATTTTTAGTTGCTAAAATATTATTTGAAGATCAATTTGTAAATCTAGTGTATGAGAACCCATTTCCAATAAGTGTAGATATAATGAAAAGTGCAATTAATTGAGGCTTCATGTGTTCTTTGATGTGAGTACTCTGGGAGATTCATTAGTGTTCTCCTCATCTTATATCGAATCTGTACTGAAGACCTTATGCTTCATAGATTTATTGTTTATTTCAACTTTTAGTTCACTGTACATTCTTGCAATTTGGTGTTATGTTGTAGGTCAACGTACAAAGATTATCATAAAACAGGAAGAAAAAAAAAGTGAAGACTATCAAACGAATTGTTTACTATGACCATTTCTGTAGCAAAATAACTTCATTGAATTGCATAAAATCATTATTGTAATTCAGTCATTGTGAGTTATAAACCTTTTACAATTGTAAACCATTTACAAATTTTGAAGAAGTTTTTGGTTTTCCTTTGTAATGTAGAGATGTTTGAATAATTTCTTAGTTATCACTTTTCCTTAATCATCAAAGCTAAGATGAAGATCTACTCAATGCAATGTTGAATGAACTATCATCTATTTAGAAGCAGAAGGGTGTTATCAAGTGATATGAGTTAATGCCCTTCTATCTCTCAGTAGAGAATACAAACATGCAACATTGTGAAGAAAGCAAAATGTGTTGTCTTTTTTAGATAGTTTCAAATTCTCTTTGTTTTGTTGAAGTGGCAGATGTGTATCTCAGGGATCTGAAACCTTCTCTGTATTCTTTACCATTATAGACAGCGCAAATATTTATTAGTACAATCGTTACAAATTATTTTTAATTTTTATATTTAATGACCTTTCAATTTCTTTTACCATACTCTTCCCCAAAAATCCTCATATGTCAAAATTGAAAATTTCAGCCTTGTGGATGAAATTTATCCCACAGACATTAGTTGTTGCTATGTTGGGCATGATTTGGACAAGTTTTCTGATTGTCAAGAACAACTTCTTTGTACAAGTATGCATAAAATATGAATAAATTCTTTAAGATTCCTATTGTAATTATATTAATTGCCATGAGAATCTTTCAAGAATACTTTATCAGCAGAGAGCCAAAGGATGTTTCGTAGAGCTAAGGACCTTCTAGCTCTCTGCAGCTGATTTAAAACCCTAAGGTGCTAAGGTGGTTGGGATTATAATAAATTCTGTCTCTTGAGAAAAGAAATGAAGTTTTCTTTGAAGAGTTTATAATGATTAGATTTATGAGATTTTTAATTTTGTCTTGTCATGACATATTTCAGTATATTATGTCTTAAATTTTCATTGATTTTGTGCTGCTGAAAATTCACCCGCTAGAGAGAATTCTGAGATAATAATAATCGAGTTTGTTAACCCTCAATCTTCACTTTATTAGAACCACAGTGTAGTATTTATAGTCTATGCATTTAGCAAATATCAAATAGCCCTTGGAAGTGAAGATTAGTAATAATTTGAGTGTATTTATCAAATGTGAATACATTAGTATTTTATTGCTGCTTTTTTGTAAAGAGAGGTGTCGGGTGTGTGATATTTTTTTCTCTGGTTTGGGTGCAAACTTTGAATAAATGACAACATGAAAGTAATCACATGACTGACTGTAGTGTCTTTATTTCACTTTCTATGTAATAATGTATCATGACCCAAATTGCCATAACCCTAATGTGGTGCCTCCAAACTACCTTCTTGATATATGCCTTCATATTCAATATTTTTGTTTGACCAGTGTAGCCTCATGAGTAGTTCAAACATTCATTTCATTAAAGGGAAATCCAACCCAAATAGACAACTACGGTACTCTAAAAGAAAGCAGAAAAATCAGAGAAGCAAACTGATGAAAGTTTCAATTAAATCTGACTAAATATAAGAAAGTAATGAATTTTTGAAAGTTATAATCACTATAAGTATGGGCACTCCAAATTGGCTGAAGCGGTAATATCAATGTGGTGTAGTGTCGGACTACTTTCCTATCTGTTCCAACCTATAAAATGACAACAAATTTTAATTTTTGAACATTCATGGCTAAGGAGGGTCTATTTTTTTTAGAGGACCTATAATAATAAGCCATCTATAATATATTTGAGTAGTGCCCCGAGGGAGAAGGAACTTAGGAGAAAAACAGAAATTAGTGATATTTTTGTACACGGCAAATGGAAAAGTTATCCACATCCTATTTCACAATTCACTGACCAATCTTCCAATTTTAGATTCGCATAGACTTGGTGATCTCATATTTCAAACATTCATAACTTGCTTACTATTGGCCCGATTCATTTCAAACTTTTTCCATTCTTTTTCTGTTATATTTCTGCATTAATACAAATTTAATTATTACAAGGGTTGGATTGACCTTTAACTAAAATTTTATGATAGAGGCTACTACAAAAATGATATACCACTCTGGTAATCAGCTGTGATGGTTGAATCATGAGAAAGCCTACCGCAATGTCAAATTCAAATACATTATAAAGTTTACTTAACCTACATGTATGTAATACTTGCATCAATGCAATAAACTATGAAGAATTTTACTGTAGGGTGTGTGGATCATATCGTAAGCATAGATTTGAATTGAAATTGGGTGTAGAATAAATACATTCAAAAGCTTCAGGGGTCATATTCTGAAACCAATGTAATAATTTATTTTAAGGAAAATTATTTTAATTGTCACAACAAGCACTTACCATTGGTGCTTGCACAGATTTTTGTTAAGCTCTGTGCCACTGCAATCGGCTTTGTGCAGACATTAATCAATGACTTGTCCTTATTTGATTTGTTATGACAACTAACATCGTTTTACCAACATAAAAGATTGTTATTATTATCATTACTATTATAACATCCTTTTCAGAATACCACCCCTGGTCAAAAGGTATTATACTCAAATTACAGAGGAACAGATCAGAAATAATTTATGGTTATGAAAAGGAAGTAAAATGGTTTGACAATCCCAATACTAGCAGTACATTCAATTTACATTGGTATCATTGGGGGTAAATACTATTTCCATGCACTTTTATACCTGATCAGCTGTGTCATGAAAAAAACATTACATTTACATTAAATATTATTAAAGAGCAATCAAACTCTTGTAATTAGGTCAGTTGTATGAAAGCAGAAAAATAAGATAAACATAAATGGCAAAAGTTTGAAATAAATCAGACTAATGATAAGAAATTTATGTATGTTTGAAATATGAAATCACTAAATCTATACAGATCTCAAATTGGCATCTGATCGGTGGATTGTAATTAAGTCACAGATAACTCCTGTTTGTAAAAAAAACATGAACATTTTATTTTAGATCATTACATCAAACTATTTTAGAGCAACTACTAGAATGTAGTTTCTGATATCGTTTGACCTGAAAGATTGGAGATTGTTATCATGCAACAATGATTTAAAATATAAAAAATTGAGACTGCAAAAAGATTGACTTTTGGGATCCATGTATTTCCAAACTTATATTTAACAGTGTTGAATCAAGCAACATATCGTTTATTTCTTGAACCACTGTCATTTCTGTGTTTTTTTTCTCCACAGGAATGTAACACGAATAGGAGCACGAATGATGCGCTGTCGACCGTTCCTCCCGTAACAGAATTCACCGAAGGCCTCAGTGAAAACGATGTGTATGTCGACGCCAAATCCAACTATTACAACACTTGGTCTGGACTTGCTGGATGGCTCAGCTAGAGGGGCACTCTGATGCAAACCTCTTTGAGTGTGTGTACCCTTGTTTCCCACTCAAGGCCATTCAATATCATATAACTATCTTGAAATGAGGACTGTGTGAATTTTGGTGGTCTATTTAATAACTACTAACTACAGCATGGATTAAGTTGTGCAATTCAAGCACATTTATAAGAATTGTTTATATCTGAGTAAATTGAAGTAGTACCTGAATCGCCAGAAGGGAGTTAAGTCATATACTTTAACACAGACCTAACAAGCTTATGCAATGCCATAAATCTGTCATTAAAATATAATCTATAGAACTCAATCAGTTGGGAGTGTAGGAAGAAAGTAAAATGGAATCTCAAAATACATCTTAAATTTCTAATGTCTGCACAAGATGATCATGTTTAATGATGTACACTCACAAAGAAGAAAGTGGACACTTATGATTAAAATTGTCAAATAAATATTTTATATAAATTAAGTTCTTCATATATCGAGATAAACAAAGATTAATTCTCTTTCAATATAAATGAAATGCAATTGGAATCATACATTCATGCATGATTGCGCATACCTGTAGCAATTTAACAATAAATGAGTTTCTGAAAGAGAATTTCAAAAATGGGGCATCTGGCCATTCAAATGATATGAGCATTTTCATCAGTCTAATTGAAAATTTTTAAAGACTAAAAGAGAGGCATCTTGATCATGCCTTTCAAAACCATGCAGTCCTGAGACTACCATCCAGAGCTCATTCTTTGTTTTCATTGTTGAACAAGACCATCTTATAGATGCACATTTGAATGGCTACTTGCTCTATTTTGTTGCAATTTTCTTCATCAGACCTAACGGTTATGTTCAAAAATTGATCTTAATTGATGTTGGTAGAGCTATTTGTTGACTGTTTATATGTAAATTTTGAACAATCAAGGGTGTCCACTGTTTTTTGTTGCTGAGTCTATTTCACACATTCTTGTTTTCTTCAAATTTATCTTTGTTGAAGCAAAGCTTCCTTATTCTTTCTAAATGCATGCTGAAAATACTTCAGATAAGATTGTTACATCATGATGCCGTGTAATTTATTTGCATGTATTTCTTTGTATGTTTGTGTACTTTGCAGAGGGGGAGAAATGGGATGTAGTAAAAACTTGGTCAATAGAAACTATCAAGAAATTTGGAATCATGCACATAGTACAATTCTGAAAATAGAAGTCACAATATGTATTTTATTTATATATATTTCTGTATGTTTTATCTGAAATTCATCTTCTTGTAATGCAAATGAAATTTTGTACCTCAGATCTCTTTTTTTATGTTTGTATATCAAGCAATGTAGTCTAGTTTGATATTCAATTTGAAATATTTTATGTCTTGCAAAATAACCATTATTCCTTTCTAACAGTTTTAGCACTTCTTCCATTTTTGTATTGCTTAGATGAAGTAGAATCATTTAGCTGAATCTGTTCTATAAAACGCATGCCAGTTTGTCTCGACCGTCGATATGGACAAATGTTTTGACAAATATTGGATGCAAGGTTAAATTAATTTGTCTTCTATATTATACAGATCGAAACAATTTTCAGTGCACTACAAGCCTGATTGATTCATGCTAGTCCAAACATCAATATCATGAGCATTTTCTTATCACGCAGTTCTGGCAACACTGATTAATTTTTTGCTGCAATCTATACATTTTTTTGCACTTTACCACCTCATGTGGCAACAAGATTTTTTTAATACTGTCATTCTTGGCCCACCTTGCAAATTGCTTTTTCTACCATCTTTCTTCATCTTCCATTTATCATCAAACGGCTAGATACTTTTACTCTTAAAATCGTGTACATTACCTTGAATTGTGTTTACTTAATTTGTCTTTTGTACTGAATTTGAGTGGAGCGACATAATTTTGTTCTTTGCATGAGGGTGTTTGTTTCAAGTATTTACATTTTTTAATTTTGTAGGCACATACATATAAATATCTAGGATTTTCAAGGGTGATTACATTTTCAAAAGGGTATATTCTTATTTATCATATCTTCAGCAATAAAACTTGTATTTTGTAATAGATATATTCATAAGTATTTTTGATAATACGGCTCAGATATAAGGGTTTAAAACAAATATGTTCACATGTTAACTAATTGTTTCTTGAAAGAAAAAAAGAAATTAAAGAAAAATTGTGAAGGTGGTAACTTTTTTTTATCAGTCTTATTTCATTGAGGTCAAGGTAATTCTTCAAATTTCATATTCCTTGCTAAAATATGAGTGATTAATTTTTTAATACAGAGAAATCAATAAGTTGCACAGATTGATTCATATTGGATTTAAGAGATTGTTATGTTGAATACGTTTAACGTAGAACATTATGAAGATAACAAAAAGTACCGGTATGTGTTTTCTCGGTAACTGCCATTGGATGTTTTTTGTTTGTTCCTAGATATACAATGATTTGATAAATATATTTGTATATATCTCTTTCATCAACTTGCCATCTGCAATGAGAGTGCATGTATGTAAATATTAAAGCAATGTTTTATGTCTACATATGAAGAGCAGTACACATCTCAGCTTGATAAACAGTTGTGTACTTAAAACAATGCAAGAGTTTAAGTACTTTCCTTTTCATTAAAATGGTTAATAAAAGAAAGTTTACAATTTAAAGAAAACCTGAAATATTTCAGGCTTACAGATTACAGATATTCTGCCTCTAAATCAAACTTGTTCATGAAAGGGAAGCTTCAGTACTGAATATGGATTGTTATGCTTCTAAATTGAGCTTTCAATCTTCACACTTTGATGAAAGCTCAATTATGATACTGAGAAGTAATTTTGTGTAAACTTTACATATGATTGTGCTTCTAAATTGAGCTTTCAATCTTCACACTTTGATGAAAGCTCAATTATGATACTAAGAAGTAATTTTGTGTAAACTTTATATATGATTGATAAAAACACAGCATCTCAACCTCTTAATGACTTTTTTTTTCTCCTGAAAGAAGCTTTTCTGTGTATTTTGGACATTTAAAAAAAAAATCTTCTTTTTTTCCTCCATTATATTGAAGTAAGCTCAAATTAATACAGTTTTCTGTGAAGGAAACTTCTGTGCTGGGTCAATATGTAGAATGATAATGTATACAGGGTAATTTTTGTACTTTACATGACTTTGTATAAAGCTTTAATAAAGAATACCAGTACGGATGTAATATCAAGAGTTTTATGATTGCATGTCAAGTTGCATTCGGTCAAAATATACCGGGGAATGAGTTGCTTGATGCTTTAATAGTAAAAGCTTGTTTATCGATAGCATTTTATGGTAATATGTATTAATGTAGATCTACATAGCCACGTTTTAGAGCAAAAGGGACCTTAAAAATTATAAAGTACAGGTTTAATGGCCCTTTGGCTCTCCCGGTCATGTAACTATGTACAAATGTTGTGTAATATGAAATCTCTTCCTTTTGTAGAATTTTATAAGTGATGCATTATTATACTCTTTTAGTGGTAGTGTTGTGCAATTCTTTTGAAATCATTGCAATAATTTGTAGGCTCTTTTGGTTGTATTTTTGTCATGCCTGTTGTTGACATGATTTGACATGTAGTACTTTCTTATATTCTTTGCCTCCTAGTACTGGGGCATGATATTACCAAATAGGGTAGAAAGCTAAATAATTCACATCTTACTGAAGGCTTCATATGTTTTTAAAGAAAAAAAAAACTTGAATATTCCATGCCACTGTTTAGTCCTTGTTCACTGTAAAATAATAATATTTCAAGAGGGATAAGAAAACGAATTAAATGTGATGGGGCTAACAAATTACACATATTTTATATTTTGATATATGTTCCAACTTTAAATTTATAGAGGTTGAAATATAAAATTTGATAGGTGAGAGAAAATTAGTTCCCAATATTAGTATATTTTGAGACATGCAACATTAGGAAGGACAAATTTAAATCATTGTTTTTAGAAGTTTAGTGTTGTTTGTTAAAGGACTTTAAATTACTACTCCAGACTACTTTTGCACTTTTTCCCATGAAGCTCAGAATAAATGTTTCTCAATTCTTTTCATGATATGATTATGACAATATGATATATTCTTGGTATATCATAATTATATAGTGTTAATACTAAGTTTTTTAAGTGCTGAACTATAGTGATTAAAATGTATATCTTCACAGAACTTTATTGAGCAATAAAGATTGATCAGTTATAGTTCAGAGAAATATAAACTTTATCTGTCAAGAACATATTATCACAATCATTTCATGAAAAGAGGTGCCATCATGTTATTCCAACTTTGTGGGCAACGGTGTAGTTCCACAAACTGTCAGTAGCCCTAAAACTGAAATGAGAAAACATACTATGTGTTTATTTTGTCTTGTATTGTGCTTTCTTCCTGCCAAGAGAAAATTGGCAGTATCTTTGTGCCACTTTCATACTTTTGCCATGTGCATAATTAGTGGGGGTGTCATAGCTTGTGGATAATTGACCAGACTAGGAAGCATGTATACTACATGATCCAAATTCCTGCCATGGCAACGCTGGCCTTTGGCAAGACATTAATCTGCAGGTGAAGTAAATTGGAAGAAATTCTTCCGATGCATGAGCACTGTGACATTGTAGCATGGCTAAAGCTGAGGTAATATGACCATGTTAATACAATTGTCAGACATCAGATTCAAGAGCTCTTCCTTCATGCCATTGGTTGCTTCTCTCCTTTTTTTGGGGGGGGGGGAGACTCTAATAGCACATGGCAGAAGTATGAAAGCAATGAAAAGATTGTTGGATTGATTACATTTTGTACACTGTACTGCATGAATTATGTATATATTAAAATAAGATGTATATTTTGGTATTTGAAACATTTTGTAAACCCATGGGGGACTATAATATAGATTTGTTTATTGATCATAGTTTATTTCACATTTGATGTTGTATACTGTTTGTTTTGATGGATGATATAAGGCTACTAATTCTATGAGAATGCACCTAGTGCAAGATTTGTATTAAAAATGAGATTAACCAACTACAATTTAATTGTCTATTTGGATTCTTTATGTATCTGGCACATCCATCTGCATGTATAACTCACTAATTGTCTTTTCCCCTTTATTTCTCTTTCTTTCTCTCCCCCCCCCCCCTTCCCCTCTCTCTCTCTCCAATTCTCTATCCATTTTACTTTCTCTATTATCTATTTTTCTGTTTGTCTTTCGATCAGTCTCTCCCTTTCATATTGCAACATTCTATTACACACCTGTAAACGATCCCTGTAAAACACATTTAGTTGACAGAAAGAATGCTTTAAGCAAAGTTTTTAAATAATTCTGATTTATACATCACTTCCAAATTTTTCAAATATTAGGACATTCATAAAATTTGCATAACTTCATATATATATTTCATAACTAGAAAAACAAACGGCTTGAACTGTAGGAATCTCCCTTTTAAGAGAGTGACATATGAAAATGAATATGATACGTTTTCATAAATGTGAATCCCCCATTCACTCTGAATTCTGATTTACAAGTTCCTAGGGTAAAAAGATTGTTTTAATGTCCTTTCAATCTTTTCAATCCTTTCAATTTTCAATCCACATTTGCCACTCTCCACCCAGGTGTAGTGAATAGGTAGCTGCTAGGAAGAAATTTCTTGAATGCTCGAGCGCCTTGTCATGGTTGCTCAGCCAAAGCCTGAGCAATAATATGATTGCAGGGCCCTCAGGGAGAACAGTACTGATGAGGCTACCCTTTGTAAACAAAACATATCTAATAACATCATCACCACCACTACCACCATCATCATCATCATCAATTTCCATAAAACTGCTGCCACACATAAACTTCTTAAAGTTTCATAAACTTTTTGGACTGTTTTTAGCGTATATTTTCAATTTTTACCTTAAAAAGACCATACATGTAGTTGAATGTATTGAATCAATATTAAGTAAATTGCACAAGTATTTATAGTATTACAGCATAACTGTGAATTAAAATATATTCCACAAGCTACATGTATATCATAAACAAAGTATATAAAAGTATCCAAAAATTACGCAGAGGTGTTGTGGATAAGTCACTTGACAGCGGGATCACAAGGTATGGGTTCAAATCCCTGCCATTTATAATAGCACTAACCTCACTTTCATCCTGTTGACGTGAATGGGTACCCGGCTGAACAAATTCCTCAACCATATCTTGGCAGCTCAGATAAAGCCATGGATAGCAGTATGATATTTTGCATCACACTAGACTTATTTATATAGCACCTTCACTATATAAATAAATCTATTTTTATCATTGATTATTTCAGAATGTAAATATTGAAAGCAACATAATCTCCACCAACTATTAGGTATTGGTTATGGTTGTAACATGGAATAAAACAATTTGTAATTGAATTTCAAACACACAATTAAACAAATACATTCTCTAACTTACGATTAGCTCTTTGCAATCATGGAAGACAAAATATATTCTGACTAAAATTCAATCTTCAAATAAGATTAGATAGATTTGAATCAGAAGAAAATCTATTGCAGTAATTTTATACACAAAATCTAAACAATGACTCAAATGAATATTTTTTCTATCTTCACAAATAGTCTGTGCCATGAATGATGTGCACAAAACAACTGGAAGTAATAAGACACATATGTTTTCATAGATAAAACATATTCTCTCAAACTAATCAAAATATACACATAAGTTTCCATTTTTATTGCAAAATAGAATTCTATCTATTACGATGTGCGATTTAAAAATCTGGCACTAAAATTAGAACATGAAATGTACTTCATGTTTTTTCATTTTACTTGGTACTCTCTTCAGAAAGTAAACTGTGTTATTTCTTTTATATGGCAAGCTCCTCAAAAAGTAATTCTAACATAATGGGAAAACCATCGCTTCTATGGTTCAAAATCATAATTTTATAAATAAAAACAATATAATACTTGCTGGCTTTGAGGAACCCACTGACAGTGGGAACAGCACAGTCCCTGAATAAAACATATAAGGCTGGCAAGTGAAAGCTCACCAAGAACAGGTAATTATTCTATTGATGGTGAACACTCATTTTCAAGTTACATCACAGATCAGATTAACCTCTTAAGTGATTTATGAAAAACGATTACAGAATACAGTAGCCAAACAGTTTAATCATTAAATTTGATCCCCCCCCCTAAAAAATAAACATTAACAAAAAAAATGCAACAGTTAGTACTGGTACTGCCAACATTTATGAAGTACAGGTTCTCATATGAAAGACACATGCAGATATCAAGATATCATAGGCTATTAAGCCATTGTCTACTGGAACCAGGTGATTCCTGTACTAAAGAATGAGACAGTTCAGTAGTCAACAGGTTATAAATCACACACAGATTTAAATGCACTTTTAGATATTGAAAGATGGTAAAATATTTTGGTTACAGCACAGGACCTCTCCTGAGGTGAATTAATGATGTGCACTACCGGTATTAGTTAATCTAGCTAACCACTCTACCCCTAACAATGGTAAATAATTTCTACATAAATTATGAGTTGTTGAATCGTAAATCAATCCCGCCACCCATCCTCTCCAAGCGCTATAGTTCTCCTTAGAACTATAAGCTTAGCAACATAACCAACAGTCTTTTTCAAGACTACACCAACAGTCCTTTTCAGGACTACACACCCTCAAGAAAGATTAGCGAGAGTCCATTTCAGGACTCCTCAATCCTCCCTCTCTCTCACATGGTGCATCCGCAAGCCTACTGTATAAATCAATCTGTACTCAGATATTTAAAAAAGAAAAACAAGAAATAAGATTGTCATTTGACATGGTATAAGAGAATTCTACCATTTCTTATGTTTATATAAGTACATTTTAAAAACTTTTTTCAATTAGGAAATTACCATTGTTAAGTACTTTTAAATCAAAGCTAAACCCCAATTTTTATTCAACTTTAAAAGAATATATTCGCATAGTGTCTGCGCTAATAGGTTAATATCATTATTATTGGTGTCATTCAAAAGAAGAGAAATCGAGCTTTCCTATTATGACAAATTAACGAAATAATAATATTATGCAATTCTCAAGTAATGTAACAGCAAACTTGGGTTTCCTTTTTTCATGGACACTTTGTATATAAGCCATGATGGGGTCAACTTGGTCTCAGTTGGTCACATCATGGCGTATATATCCTTTTGTTTTATGCTTCACAACAAAGTAATATTTGCTATATTTTGCACAACTCGAACATGAGTGGCCAGAGTCTCCTCATCGATCACTCCACTGTTTATTTAGCTGATTTTATATAAAGCCCTCAAAAAAGGTTTGGAAACTCAAGTATGATTAATTATATCTCTCTTCTCGTGGTATTCATCGCTTTGTTTAAAATCATTAGAAGGTGAGTTTGCTCCTCTTGATGATACCACATTTGTTATTATTTCGCCGTGATGGAATATGGAGCACATCAGAATATATATATATATATAAGTACATAATTGTAATTCCTGTGATTCATAATTCTTGTGAGTGACCATGTGGCAAGCTGACGGCCATCTCATCAGCGTTCTGCATCACATGATAGAAGAAATTGACGACCTTCTCGTAGTTGCTGACCGATATTCTCTCGTTGACGCCATGGAAACGCTTGAGGTCCTCCGTACCCATGGCAATGGTTGGGGTGAAGCGGTAGATGTTCTTTGTCAGGTTCCAGTAATACCTCGTGTCTGTGTTGCCGATCATTACACCTGGCAGATTTAAAGCAAGGAAGAACATTAAAGTGTACCGATCACCAAAACAGGTTTATATATTCTCAGTATAAAACTCACACAGAATAGGAAGCGAAAATGGCCTATTGCTTCCAAACATTTCCTTTCATAGTCTGATCACCTGACCAGTCCTCCTCTGTATTTACATGACAAAGAACCTAATGAAAACTCACCGGGCGCTACCAGGACTGAGGGAAAGACTTGTCTCATGCTGTGAGAGATGACCTGATAACCATGAGCGTCCCGATCATACGGTGAGATGAAGGATGCTTCCAAGCCTTCTTCAACCTTGATCTTCACTCTGTCATCATTGATGATGCTATGATCATGGTCCACAACCTAATCAGAATAATAATGAAAATGATAATAGTAGTAATATTAAAGGCATCGTTTAACAATGTTAAATCTGAGATGCAGGACCCTACTTGTTATCAGTGTCTGATATATGGTGTAATATTGAAGCCCTAAAACAAAATTGTGCTTCAAAATGATCAAAAAGTGCCTCAAAAAAGCTAAAAATCTTTGACAGACCGGTTTTACCATACTCGTTTTTCCCAATAGACTGTAGTATGAAAATCGTTAGGAAAACGCAAAATTTGGTTTCGATTTCCAATCATAAATATCTTGATAATCAGACAGGCGATCAGCTTGAAAAAGTAATGGGATTCCTGACTGACCTAAAGGTTTATAATTATCATTGCAGCATGAGCTAAATCCAGGATTTTGTTTCAGAATCTGAGACAAAGTTACCGGATCCCTTTAATAGGGGCTTCTTGTATAGCGCTCATGTCTGTCGCACTTCACTCTCCTGGCACGTCTCAATTATTACCCTTACTTTAAGCATGGCTGCCATTATGGTGCTTCGGTATTTCAAGGAATTAAAGGTACTATGTCCCATTTGCAGGCCAAAAAAATGAAAAAGTTAAATTCCAACTGCATTTGAAAGATAATACTAATTTAGAACTTCCCTAAAAAAGGTAGGGCTTGAAAATGTCTTCAAGTGGGAAAATAACGACTATTAGTTGTCAAATCGACTTTAGGGCTATAGAGCCCAAAAGTAATAGTCTTGATTTTCAGACAATTGTACCGAATGGTCATACGTTTTATGCTGTGCAAAGATTCAATCAGTTTAATCTTGGCCATCACGAGAAGTGGGTTAATGATGTAGACAAATGCTCATGTACCATTTACAACTCTTTTCATGTATGTTATTACCAAAGACGAAAAAAGCCAGTCAGTCACTCAATAGTGTCTGACAGTGAACTCTAGCAAGTAAACAGGTTTCCTTGCATAATTTGAATATGAAGACACTGCTAATGTTTAAATTTCACAGATAGGACATACATGACATATTCATAATTCCTGCAAAGTTCTACAGAATTTGAGGATGGCTGCAAAAGGGACATAGTACCTTTAATACCTGCCAGGTACCCAATTACTCTACCTGGTTGGATGGGCTGTATGCACTAGACCACAACATCTCTACATCATAGGAGGAACTATAGTGCAAAGTCATGTATAGAGTTATAGCGAAATCCATATCTACAGACTACCGAATGGAGAAAAGAACCACAATCTTCAAAGCTGTGGTCTCTGCAGATTACTTCAATACAGGTTTTATTCTGAGAAACATTGTTCAAGTGAAATCGATTCATAATGGGTATTCATATAAACCTACAGGAGCCTTTAGTAAGGAAGAGTATTACAAAGATGTCTGGTCTTGATTTACCTGTTGTAAGGTCTGTGCTGGGTGTACCCTGTGGTTGACTATAGCCCAGGCATTTGGAGGAAGAACGTTGGTCTAGAGGAAAGTCACCGTTTAGAAATGGGTTAAGTAATTTACTAAATTGTCGGCTGGCAGGCATAAGGGCATAAACTTTGTGTTATTGAATACTAGATTTACGCAGTCTCACCCTTTAAACAAACAATACACATATGATAGCAATAATAACACTAATAATAACCCTGTAATAATAATACTGTAGTTCCATTTGTATAGCACTTGAAATTCTAAGTGCTTTTACATGCAATAATTGTTACCCTGGCCATGTTCTTTACTTCTCTTGGGAGTATTCCAGCCAGGTGCAATTTCATAGATGCACACATTCTAAATCCAACCACATTAATGTTGGCATCCTACCAGGTTACCATTTAACACCTGGGTGGAGAGTGGCAAATGTATATTAATGTACTTGGTTGATTTAACCCATAGTGTATTAACAGGTGATTCAAATCATTCCAGGAAGCAGGATGCAGGAAAAAACAATTACAAATTTCAATACTTGGCACTTCAGTAAATTCTTTAAAACAATTACTTAAATTTTAATTGGTATATTTTTTCTACTACATGTAGTTAATTTTAGAATATGTATATTGTAAATTAATGTTTTAATTCTAGGAAAAACCATCTTGAATATTATTTCACCGTGTAACAAATATGCCTCGCGTATCGTTACTTTACATAGGGCCCCCAAGTATAACGGTAGTTCATCTACTGATGGGGCTACCCTGTTGAAATAGTACTAAATAAATAAACCAATAAATCAATAAGAAGTAAGAGGCTCATACCTTAAAACCACCATGAATCATAGTAATAGCAGTTGTGGTTCTGGCAAAAGCATTGGTACTGGGTCCCAACTTGGTCAATACCCTAGCAAAAAGCACATTGAAAAATAATTTTAAAAATTGCTGAATACTCAGTATATTGTGTGCATGAGTGAATCGGTACTAAGGACACTTATAAGAACTGTATTTTCACTTCAACCATCCCTCGCAAAACGAGGACATCCTTGGTTCGAGAACCCTGTGAATTGTTTAAAATTTGAGGCCCTTTCGGTTCATTTATTTAGGTCCTCTATTCACATGGTACAAGTTGGTCCTGTGTTATGCAGTAAAATTTTGAATATTATCTTTGGGATCTTATATTCCTACAAACATGTGTGCCTTGAATATGCAATAACATACTGATGTGAATATACGAGTCCTAATTGATTTACACCAGAAACGTGTATGTGCATTGTGCAACATAAGGCCTGGTGTCTGCTGCTAACCACAGGCATCCCAGTCTACAAAACCATATGGCACAAATTTATCATACCGTATTTGCCGGCGATAAGGCCGCAGTGTTTTTGGAAGAAAAAATATCAAAAAGTAGGGGTGCGGTTATTACGCTACAACAACAAAATTGCAGCAGTCAAAACAGCACGTCCATTTGAACATATGGGACTAAGATGACTAGACAACGGTACAGGACAATTCTAGAATAACTCCAAACAACTTACCGACAAATTTATGATGCATAGTTGACATGAATTTGTTTTTTCTAATAAAATCTGCCGATAGACCTAGATATAAGTCCGTACCATTGCATCGCCAAAAAGTAAAAGAAGGGACAGGCCGTTACTATACTTACGGAGCTAGCTGCCGCACAACGCAACTGCGCAGGTCGAAAACGCAATTCCGGATTACACCGCGCATCGTGGTAGGGGTATTGTAGGATACCAAATCTGCGTGTGATACAGTACTAGCTTAAAAGTTGATGAAGATCTGCTAAATTAAGATCATTTTTGAGGTAAACTTTTTGTAAATTTATAAGAATATTGATGAATTTGGAAGAAAAAAAAAAGTGTTCTACAACAAAATTATGATTTATTTTTAATTTTTTTCCCTCTACGAAATGTCAAAGTTGGGGTGCAGCCTATGCAGTGCTGCGGTCTTATCGCCAGCAAATACGGTATATCATTTTATCACCTCATATTTCGTAAGAGGCATATACACTGTATATTGTGGATGAATTTACTCATCAAGAGGATTTCAACATACTTCATAAGCCATCACCTTGAGGTCCATTTTAGTTTATTTTGTTCTATCACTCGGAAATAGGTACTTTCTAATTACCAGATACTGTTCATTTATGCATAAACATATATTGATTAGGATGTATTAACTCAAGGTTATTTTTTTAAAGATGTAAACTTACCATCCAAAGAGAGGCCTAAAAAACCACATATTGGTAATGATGAAACGAAGAGGAAATTTGGCCTGTAAAAGAAACAGATAGGTGAAAGAAAAGTAATGATTTATAATATAGTATTAATGACTGCTTTGAGAGAAATAGTTGTTTTATTACGCTCAAGGGAAGGTTAGAATTGTGCTATTCCCCGAGGCTTGCCGAGGGGAATAGCCCAATTGTAACCTTCCCGAGAGCGTATGAAAACAACTATTTCTCGAATATTAAAGCAGTCATTAATACTTTTATATGCCGAAAAAAAATAGACTAAAAAATAAAAAATAATTTTTTTTTTTTTTTTTTGTCGAAGGTGAGAGTCGAACCCTTGCGTACAATGAGTGATGAATATTACACCAACGCCTTACACCACTCGGCCATCGCGCGCTGTTCACATGCGTGGCAGTTTTGTACAATATATACATTAAAATGGATTGAAACCGGCTTCGGCGTGATGAATGCTTCGCAAAAGCACCCTTCTTTTACTTTTGCAATGCATATTGGCACGAACTTAGATCAAGATCTATCGGCAGATGTTGTTTTTTTGTTTTTGGAAGTTTATTTTCGTCTTCATGTCAACAATGCAAGATAAAATTGTCGGTAAGATCGATCGAGATTCAATTGTATTGAAATTACCGACCAATCCTTCGCACACATACGGTATCCTCGATCGCTCAAACCATTTTTTAACATGTAAACCTATGGGGTAACCATGGAGGCTGACCTATTTTTTTAATAACCATGGTTATTAAAAATATTAAATGTTTTATGCATGGTTACCGGGAATTTTACAGGAACAGTTGAAGTTTATGAATGCAATTCGACCAATCAGATGGCTGGATTTCTTAAGTGAGGTATATAAACAAATTTATCAAACATCCATCCAGGTAGTAGCATTTATCTAAATCAATCCTCTGACTGCCTCAATGTAAAAAGTTAATGATAATAAGAGTATCTTTACAAGCTTAATTAGAAATATTGCAGCACCTATTATCAATTTATAATGACAAGAATTAAAAGTAAATCGAAAAAGATAACAAATACAAATCTGCAAAGTTAGAAAATATAACAAAAGGTTAAAATAATATGTTGCATAATTAAGTGAAAACCGGTTGCAGACTTCTGACCACCAAAAAAAATGTCTACAACCAATTTTAAAGAATTTATAGTGGGCGTTCAGTTGCAAATTGGAGAGGATCTCGCAAGATACGTCACAGTGTTGCTAATTCATTTTTCACTGATGACAAGTTCTATATTTCATGTGAAGCAGCTGCTTGTAATGTCAGAAGCGGCGCTTTATCGATAGGGTTTGGATTTGGCCGCTTGAGGGTGTAGTGAATTTTGTGTGCTACTATTTCTCCACGTCATGAGAAAGTTTGCTGCCCAGAGATGCCTATGTTTTCGTTTGATTTGTGATACAAGTCCAATGATGTACCAGGGTAAGTAGAAATTATTGTGTTATCTTAAATTTTATGAGTTATATTGTCTTTATAGCCAGATAGCTTGATGAAATATAAAGTTTATGACACTAATATGACGTGATGAAATAATGACATGAATGAGTTGTTCAGGTGAAAGATTGCACACGTGTACAGTGTATAATTATAGTGCACGGTCGCGCATGATAATGTACATGACCTTCAGGAGTGTCAGAGCCACTGTCGGTGAGTCATTGTTGCATGTATCTAGGCAGATTTAGAGTGAAGAAGGCATTGTTTGTTTTTCCTTTAGTATGATGACAGATGGCCATTAGGATTGTCAGGGTACATTTAATTTGATACATGATATGTTACTTTCAAGTCAGTTTCTGCAAGATGACTTATTATTGTTTGTCTTTATTAAATTGCAGATTGAACCCTGCCTGCTTACAGTTCAGTGTAACCAATATATAGCGGTGCATGGTTTCTTTTCTTGGGTCTTGGGCCTCTGGGTTGTCACGTCAAATTAAATTCCAAAATTCATAACTTTCTTGTTTTTAATCAGACATTGCTTAAAATTTCTCCCACTTTTCTGCTTTTATCTAACCAATTATTATCAGGGTGGACTTCTCCTTTAAAAACTTCCAAAAACCTCTTTGCAACCTTTAAATGCATCGGTTAACAATGTTAAATCTGAGATGCACAGCCATACATGTTATCAGTGTCTGTGATATGGTGTAATATTGAAGCCCTTAAAAAAATTGCGCTTCAAAATGATCAAGATGTGCATCAAAAAAGTAAAAATCTTTGAGTGACCGTCTTTACCTTACTCCTTTTCCCCAATGGACTGTAGTGTTATGAAAATGCAAAATTTGGTTTCGATTTCTAATCATAAATATCTTGATAATCAGACAGGTGATCGGCTTGTAACAGTCATGTGATTCTTGACTGACCTAAAGGTTTATAATTTTCATTGCAAAATCCAGGATTTTGTTTCAGAATCTGAGACAATTAAAGCTACCTGATCCCTGTCTGGAGGAAAGACTACGCTCTATACCCATGTTCTTCCACAGGAATAAGATGATGGGGTCTTAGTTTTGAAGATTTTTTTTTTTTTTAAATAACCGGGTCTGGAAGAAAAACTAGGCTCTAAACCCATGCTTTATTACCGGGTCTTAGTTTGGAAGATGGTGGGGTCTTAGTTTAAAAGTTTTATTATTTTTTTTTTACTTATGAATAACTGGGTCTGGAGGAAAGACTACGCTCGATTCTCATGTTATTCCACAGGAAAAGGATTATGGGGTCTTAGTTTTGAAGATTTTTTAAATTTTTGAAATAACCCGGTCTGGAGTAAAGACTGCGCGCTATACCTATGCTTTATTACCGGGTCTTAATTTGGAAGATGGAGGGGTCTTAGTTTAAAAGGTTTTTTTTTTTTTTTTTTTTTTTTTTAACTTTTGAATAACTGGGTCTGCAGGAAAGACTACGCTCAATACTCGTGTTCGTACAACTTGCTAGGCGCCTAGGCCGTCTCTTTCCAAATTTATTTATTAATTTATTGAATTTTCTCTATAAAAAAAAAGGAATAAAAAGAAAATAAGCATCAGGAAAGGGGATGGAAAGAGAAAGAATCCTAAAAATAGTCATTTACGACATGAAATGTACATATGTATATAGACCCTACCGGTATATAAATAATTCATAAAATAGTGTGTGGCAAAAATAGTCAAGTGTGACTGATTGCCAAACAAAATCAAATCAAGAAGAAGAAGAAGTTCTTCCACAGGAATAAGATGATGGGGTCTCAGTTTTGAAGATTTTTGTTGTTGTTGAAATAACCGGGTCTAGAAGAAAAACTACACTGTACGCTCTAAACCCATGCTTTATTACCGGGTCGTAGTTTAGATGTTGGGGTCTTAGTTAAAAAGTTTTTTTTTTTTTTTTTTTTTTTTTTTACTTTTGAATAACCGCGTCTGGAAGAAAGACTACGCTCGATTCTCATGTTATTCAATTTATCCAAATCTATATATCAAAAAAAGTAAATCTAATTTTAAAGGAATAAAAATCCTAAGAGAAGAGGCGTAAATGTTCACTTCTGAATGACAAACGCCTATAAACTAAAACAACAACAACAGTTAGTCCACAGGAAAAGGATTATGGGGTCTTAGTTTTAAAGATTTTTGAAATTTTTGAAATAACCGGGTCTGGAGTAAAGACTGCGAGCTGTACCCATGCTTTATTACAGGGTTTTAGTTTTGAACAAATTCGACAAACTATCCCTTCAAATTTATTACATTTGTGGGTAAAGTCATTATTACATTTGTGGGTGATTCAAAATTATTACATTTGTAGGTGAAATTATTACATTTGTGGGTAAAGTGTTATTACATTTGTGGGTGTTATTACGTTTGTGGGTAAAGTGTTATTAGATTTGTGGGCGTTATTACATTTGTGGGTGTAACAATCCCCTTAACAACTAACTCCCAACCAATATTTTCTGGATTCCACTGGTCATAGCTCTACTTTGATTTAGGCTTAAAATAGCAGTACAGGTATATTTTGTAGTTTTAGTATTTTATAGAAAATGAATACAGAGTGAGCCCAAAATGGAACTATGAAAGAGAGAGGATTGGGGAGTGAGATCGATGAGTGAGAGACAGATAGAGAGAGACAGGGGAGAAAGACAGACAGATAGACAGAAAGACAGAGAGACAGAAAAACAGAAAGACAGAATGAGAGACAGGGAGAGAGAGAGAGAGCAAGCTCCGAGGATGAACTTGTCCGAGATAGCTATGAGCATCTTACCTCTGAAGCAAGATGTTCAAACATCTGTTGCTCCGGCCCATGACCAAAAAGAATTGGTTGTCTATGATGTTCAAGTCTGTAAAAAAAATAGTTTATCCATATAATGAGAACCATTTCCCAATTTACCATGAAGATGGCTATTGCGATAATGTGCACACAAAATTTGGAATATGCCCTAAAACATTTTATTGTAGACAATATAAAATCATTTTCCAAGCATTTAGCAGGCCCACTCCCCCATGAAGGATTTCACATGTTTGTATTTTTCTGTCCAAATACACGTTATGTGCACATTTTTCTCTTCTTTTGTGTACTGTACTAAGAATATTTATTATTAATTTTGTTCTTGTTCTTGCTGTTATTATTGTTGCTGCTGTTATCATTATTATTAATATTTTTTAAAGATTTATATTATCATCATTATTTGTATTATTAATAGAATTTTACTCTTATTATTATTATCATTATTATTATTATCAATATCATTGTTGTTAATGTTATCATTATGATTTATTGTTGCTTTCTTGTTATAATTACTAATAGCCTCTTGGAAAGGAGGCAGTGTTAATTAAACTATCATTGCAAAATTAATATTATGCTTACCTGCTCAGTGCCCTGGTCAAGATGCCGATATTGGTCTCGGGAGTTGGCATAGATGAATGGCCGGTTGGTAGAGCTTCTACGCTCAGGTTTAATGTCACTATGCCCTTCTCCACCACACAGACGCTGTAAGGATATCAGAATTAATTGTAAAGTTTACTGGTAAGTTCTACATATTAAAATGCTCAGTTACTATTCCTACCTCATATACAAATACAAAAGCAATGATGATCAATTGCTGTGTGTGTGGAAGAACCAATTTTAAACTATTTCTAGGAAATTACATTTTTATGATCATCATCATCATTAGTTGAAAACAAGCATGTCAATGCATCTAATACCCATGGGTTATGCATTCTTTCTCTATAATAGTCTCCAACTTACTGGCATACATTAGTCATACCAACGACACTGACCAAGAACAGATCGAACAACATAATTACATTATCCAGTCCAGAATACTGTAGGCTATTTTCGTAATGTAACCAAATTTCATGCATACGTCTTTGTCAAGTGCCTCGATACAAACTTCATTCACCTGATAAGAATAATTGTACTTCAATAGTCAGAATGCTAACTGCATACATTAGTTGTTGCCAAGTAGGAAAAACGCTATGTATTGCCCTACCTAGCAACACTTAATAAATGCAGTTTGCATTCTGACTATTGAAATACTACTATTCTTATCAGGTGTATAAAATAATTTGTATTGAGACACTTCACAAAGACTTGTGTATTATGTTTGGTTACATTACGAAAATGTCCTATTGCCAAGAGTATTAGTTTGAAGGTGGTTTGGTGGCGAGGCCGAGGTATAAACCCTGAAAAAGATACAATGCTGTATCTTAATACAACAGACAGACTTTATGTCAGTGAGCATAGAGGCATTCGTTGCTTGAATATATTTCTTTCTCAACCCACATGCCATTCATTCACACATACAATGCTTTTTTGTTTTGGCATCAGCATTTTCTGAGCCGATTGATCATGACGTGTGTGATCAATGTAATATTTGTGTGCATCTAAAATAGCCAGCCGGTAATGTATTCACCATGCACAATGTCTGGAGTTCCTGGTTCCAGGAATGTCCTTAATGCACCTGTAAGTCTCTGGGAGCCAGACTTCTCCGCATAAATAATTACTTCATGAGTATACTGGTAGCACTTGAAAAGGACAATTAATGAGCAACCAGATGGTAAATAATGTAAATGTTTATTCATATATATTTGATTGACTGCTGAGAACCGAGAGCAATAGGCCATTTTCGTAATGTAACCAAATTTAATGCAAAAGTGCCTCAATACAAATTATTAATAAGAATAATAGTATATCAGTCGTCAGAATGCAAGCCGCATATATTTAGTGTTGCTAGGTAGGTCAAGCCATGATGTTTGTCCTACCTGACAACAATTTATGTATGCAGTTCAGATTCTGTCTATTGAAATACCGGTACTATTATTCTTATCAGGTGAATGAAATAATTTGTATCGAGGCACTTCAAAAAGACATCAAATTTGGTTAACATTACAAAAATGGCCTATTGAAGCAAATGTTGAAAAACATCATTCAATACCCATCTGGTTCTAAGCAAATGATAGCTAGATACAGTGAGAATACTTACAGGCCAACAGGTTTATCCAGACCTTTGAATATGTTATTCACTATGATGGCTCCTTCATCCAAGATAAAATCAAACATGACACGTCTCTTCACCAACTCTGCGGCTATTTTGCCAGCCCCATTTTTACCGTATACCTAGAAATGTGAAGAAATATAATAGTTTCAGATGTTTCAAAAAACTCATTTGGAGGAAATAGCATATATGGAATTATCTTGAATATGAGGAAATGTACCACATGAAGTGCAACAGCTATAAAAAAAACTCTGGGCTAAAGTCCCACATACTGGTACTTGTAATTAGTTACATGTATGATGTAAGTGACTGGGCTAGCTTATGCATGGTTAAATGCATAACGCAATGTGCAAACTAGATACAGCCCTAGTCAAAATAAAATAGTGTAAAACTAGTTTTAAAATAGTGAAAAACAGCACAGAAAATATGTCTTTTGACTATTTTTAACTCTGAATATATATTTAACATCTGTCTTTTGTTCCAAACCATTAGCCTTTAGATATGTATAATTTCCATTTGTCCATAAGAAAAATATTCTAGAATTCTAGAAAATACCATCAAAATATAGAGAGACAATAGCCCCCCAAAAAACAGAGAGCATATATCACTTTTATCTTTTCTGTTATTGCTTACCTCTTCATCATGGCCGAACGCTAAATACACGGTTCTTTTTGGAATTTGTTTGAGCTTCAGACGGAATTCTAGCGCTTCCATGATTCCCTAGAGTATAAAAGAAAAAGAATTGAGATAGGGAGATAGGCTATATGAAACAATCAAAAGAACAAGAGGATATGAGTGACATATGACCTGTATGTATTTGCATTTAGTGTTAAAGAATAATCTACCACAAATCTAAAAGCAATCAGACGTTAAATTCTTCCTAAGTATACTAGTATATTTTACTAATAAAATGCTTTTTTAATATAAATACCTCTTTTATTGTGGCAAAGCCTATCATTGTAGCCAAAACTGTAGTTGAAGATATCATAATGGCTTACCCAACAACTATCACACAATCAAAAATAAAGTACATATAAAACCATTAAAATGTGTTTGTCAAACAATGGTCCCTGTCTGATAGATATAAAGGCCTACCCATCCACCTCTCTGGCTTTAATGGCCAAATTAGTCCAACTCTTAGTCCTGGATGGTATTTCACAAAACTTGTCATCATGCAGAGACAAATGACAGTTTTCGTTGTAAGCTAGTGAAATCCTTGCTTCTGATTGCATAGTTATCAGCAGACTTAATTGTCACTGATTTTATTTGTCATTTGTCTTTGAAAAAAGGCTTTGTGAAACACCCCCCTGGATCAAATACATACCAGTATACATTTTCTGAAAACAGATAAGGTACACGTCCTTGACATTACCTACCATCAAAGCGTGTTTGTCATCTATAGTCCCTCTCCCATAGATGTACCCATCAACTTCCCTGGCCTCAAAGGGTGGATAGTCCCAGTCTTGGTCCTTAACTGGGACCACATCCTGATGGGCTGCCAGCATGTAGGGCATGAGTGTTGGATCACTACCCTGCACAGTGTAAAGGAGACTGTGGCCGTTGATCACCTCCTTGGTAACAAGGGATGATGAGTGGATGAGAGGAAAACCTGCAAGAGCAAGCAAAGAGCCAAAAGCTTAGTATTTTACCAATTTTAACAATAGCTCCCCCTTTGTGATTCATAGATTGCATAAAACAATCAGTTTGAATGGATCAATTGCTTTCTACTTTAGTATTATCAATAGTAACATTTTACTGACAGGAAACAGATGTTGTTAACTACTAACTACTGTTCATTCATTTCTTCGTCACAAAATCAATTTGTCTGGGACTTTTCATACTCCCTCATCACATACAGTATGAACTGGACTAGATTAACACTAATTATTTTTGTAAACCAGACTGAGCTAGTTTAAGACTAACTTATCTAAATTAAGAACAAATTTTTTTCCCTCCAGAAATGAATGAAGTTTTGCCACTTCATCTAGCTCTACCTCAAACTTGGACCAGGAGACAGACTAGACCAGGTTAAGATTAATCATTTGAACTATACTGGACTAGATTATAACCAGATTATAACCATCTGAACTCACTCTTTTCCAGGAAGAGATGAAGTTTGGCCACTTCGTCCAGCTCTATCTCAAATTTGTACCAGGAGACAGACTAGACCAGGTTAAGACTAATCATTTGGACTACACTGGACTAGATTATAACCATCTTAATAACTCACTCTTTTCCAGGAAGAGATGAAGTTTGGTCACTTCGTCCAGCTCTATCTCAAACCTGGACCAGGAGATGGACTGGATCCTAATGGCCTCCTGGAACCGTCTAATGAGGTCTTTGTCCGCCTGGATGAAGTCTGTGTCCAAGGCCTTGCACTCGGTCACCTCTGGCTGCTTGGACGGGAAGGTTGCTGTTCTGATGAGCATTATGGTAAGTAGTCCTATCAACACCAGTCCTAACACCTTACACACTTGGACTATCAAACCCATGTTGCTGAAGGTGTATCCTGATATAAAATGGTGTCAATGAAACTGATCATTAGTCAAATACAATACTGATTGCAGTGAAACCTGTACAGACCATACACCAGTATGCATAATATATTAACATATCTGAAGACTAGCAGGTATACTGAAATATATCTCTTTAGAAATCGCATTGAAATGGAAAAGTATGACAATTTTTTGTAGTTTGTTCAGATCAACAGGGAGAGGTGTTTGCAAGGTACAGTGAATATCACAGATTTGAAAAATTGTGTTTGACTGCATTACAACTATAAAAAGTCATAATTTTCTTATCCTGTATTGGCTGTTTCTCTCCTTTCATTAAAACTAACTTATATCAGGCTGGATTTCTCTCTTAACATTTTGGCAACAGACATGCACATTACATTTAAAAGGATGCCATAATCATGTTATATAGCAAATAACATCATGTATTTCAATGTACTTGTCATCATATACAATGAATAAAAGAAGGAATAAACACTTCATATGAAAATACACTTACATACATGTACATGTACATACTACCTCACATTACTGATATAGAACACCAATCATTTGGAACTATTAAGGAATGTATACATATGATAATGCCTTTCTATTAATTTACATAAAGTTTCTACATTTTGAAAATTACTTGTCAGAGAATAGTCTACAATACCTAAAGCACAATTATTGAACCAACCGAGTTCACAGGCAACTGAAGAATGGTACATGTATTTGGACATCTAATATCTAACTTAAATAACTGATAATCTAATACTGTTGTCGTTTGCATGGTGTTATATCAATTGGTCAAAGTTCATGAGATTATCTTACCTGAGTAAGTCTTTGAAGTCTACTTTCAGACGTTAACCCATAATCAAAACACAGATTTAATTCTGGCTCACAAGAGGTGATGCAAAATGCATTACTTTGCATTAATTTATTGCTCAGAACCAGTCCATATTTAACGACAAAAAGAATCTATTCATAGAGTTGCATTTCTGAGGTCAGTAAAAAATATCTGGACACTTTTTATCTTTCAACTATTACTTTTAGTGTTGCATTTCTCAGGTAACATATACAAATATAAGCGCCTCCAAAGAACTGATATATTGCCTGCAGCGATGGAATCTTCACATTCATCATAATTCCCTTCAATATCTTTAAAATTGATAAATATCTAGTAGAATAGGCAAAATGATACTGGCTCTTTGTCATCAACAGTAATAATATCATAATTATAGACTTAGATAATATCTCTGTTTAGAGAAAGAAGAACATAGGCATGTATTTTATTAACACAAAGCAATTATGCAATTATGCTCTCCTGCTTTTAAACAGAAAATAATGTTGTTAAAGAAAATTGTAAGTCACATTGAAAAGTATATATTTTAAATATGAGAAAAAGTCTATCATTGCCATATGTCTAATGGGTTTAGATGATTTCTATGAATATAACCAACAAGTTCTCATATTAAATATGATATAAAGTTCTGCGAAGGGAGACAGAAAATTAATGTCTAAATTAACATAAAACAGAATAAAGCCTTAATTGTTGACAAGTTTTAGATTAAAAAGATTTCACCCAAATTTCATAAAAATTAAAACATAACATATTTTGCCCATCATTGAGAGCTACTTCATTAATTAGTTATAACTTGAATAAACCCTATTAAAAATAATGAAACTTAATTGTCAATAGAGTTCTTTATATTCTGTCTTGTGAAAATACACAGATGTAGGCCTACACACATGTAATTAACCGTGTTGACGTGATATGATGGAAAAAATTATGAAGACAAGTTTATGTCTCTACAACAGGCTATATATTGAATATTATGGTAAAATGATCAAAATAAATGACTGCAGTAAAAAACTAAACAAATTATAAGAGTCTGACTTTAGACCACACAACTATATTTACAGGTAGGTCTACATTAGTTTACAAGGCAATTTGAACAAACAAAATATGGTGTGACATTTTTAATGTAAATGTTTTCTAATCAAGTTCATGCAATTTGCACTTGATTGACAACGACTCAAAACCTCCGGTTTTATAGTCACATTAATATTATGACCCAGGACGTGTCCCAGCTAGGTCTTTAAAGGCTAAGTCCACTCCAAAATAATTAGCTTTTAATAGATGCAGAAAAACAAGAGAAACAAAGCAAAACAAATTTGAGTTAAATCGGTAACTATAAGGAAGTTACAAATTTTTGAAAAATTGTGAAAAACTATGGAACAATGAAAATCACTACAAAAATTGCCAATTTGGTTATCAGTTTGTGATGTCAATGTCTTACTATTTATCAATTTACTTTATATATTTCTATCCCATTAATTTCCCTTTATCCCCCAAAACTTGATCTCCCCATGCCTTTGCCCAGGTTATATGATTTGTATCATATTGCATGCACATTTCACAAATCTTTTATAAACTTAGAAGAATTGATACTATTATTCTGAATATTGTGTATTCATAATCATTGATTTGTTTATAAAAAGTTTATCAAAATTCACATTTTTCATGATTTAACTGAAAAAATAATTACTCTATATTTATAGTGCATCCACACAAAAAGATATTACTATATCTTGGATGCTGGTGTGAGAAAATAAGATTTTAAAGGGGGGAAATTGGAAATTCATATTATCAATATAAAGAAAACAATTAGAGGATAGTGAGGCAATGACGTCACAGACGTGAGTGAGTTGCCTTTGACTTGTGATTTTCAAAGTTTTTGATGTCAGTAAAATTCATAACTTTTTTTTAAGTTATCCGATTTTGCTCATAAACTTTTTTTGATTGTTTTGTCCGATTTTTCTGCTTCTATTGGAAGTAACTTATTTTTGGAGTGGACTTGCTCTTTAAGCCTTCAATTATAAAAGGCTTTCATACATGTCGATCTAAATATATAATAAATATATTATAGACCTAGGCTATGGTAAAATTATCAAAATAAGTGATTGCAATAAAAAAAAATAAAAAAAGTAAACAAATCATAAGAGTCGACTCTAGACTGCACGATTGTATTTACAGGTAGGCCCTAGGGGTCTAGGCCTAGATCTATACATTAGTTTACAAGGCAGTTTGTACAAACAAAATATATTAATGGCGCGACATTTTTAATGACTAGACCTAGATCTAGATCTAGACAATGTAAATATTTTCTAATCAAGTTCATGCAATTTGCACTTGATCGACTACGACTCAAATTAAAAAGACAAAACCTCCAATTTTATAGCCACATTAATTTTATGGGGACGTGACTCGGGCCGGGTCTAGCTCAAACTTAAGTTGAATTTGAAAAGCATTTTTATTCTCGGAGGAAGAATTTAATCGGAAGATAACTTTTGTGCTCTCCTAATAAAAAAATAAAGGAAGTGGACTTTATTTCTTTGGCACAGCTTTATCCTTCTAACAGCGGCTTGGAAACAATCTAGTGTTCGTGATCTATTGTTATGAGAATCTATGAATGTGCTGATGATATCACGGTGATCAAGGGGCGGGGTCAAAGACTGCATCGTGCATCTGCCAGGTGGTTGGCTGAATTTTCGACGGCATACATGCATAATAATATGGCGCTGGTATGTACAGCTGGTAATTCTCGCTAGATTGCACGTAACTTCGTAAGCAAACGAATCTGCACGTCTTTACTTATCTCGACTCCCCAGTTTCTACTACATTCAGAAGGAAACTCCGAATCGAACACACCGATTGATTTGAGAAGATAATTACCTAAGAATCCGGTAACGTCACAGGTAAAACTTATACTTATTACAGCTTTGTTGTCGACCTAGTGTTGCTTCAGCCAAGAGTAGATATCGATAGTGCTCCCTCTGTTTTCGGCTGCGACGTCGGGGGCATTTGCTATGGCCAGTCGACAACCCCTGGATGCATGGGCTCTAGTATAGGTGGTATAACGCTTCGGCAGCTGCAGCTCATCAGATTCGCTACCCAAGCAAGCAAGGGGATTTGCGAGAAACGTGTAAACGTGGTCCAAGCGAGTACAAAGTCCCCTGTCCACGCTGTTTGGTGAATCACCATGTGCACGCATTGAGCTAACGCCACAGCACACTCCCCCGGGTTCGTTCATATTGCCATAGGAAATGAGCATTAATTGTTATCAGTAATTAAAGTGTAATTGATATGTATCACTCATGTAAAGGTAAAAATTACAGTGTGTGTATAATATACAAGTATAAGGAAGGTTAAATATGATCTAAATCTAATAAAACGACACATCGATATGTTTGCTGATACCCTCTTTACGAAATGGATGGGTCCACAGACACTTCCGTATTTTTCCATTGCAGTGCTGCGGTGGACGTGGGGACGCGTTCTGCCATGGCTATATACACACATACACGTTTGCCGAGCCTGGCCTACTCGTTACCAGCTGTAATCTGCCGCTGTGTATGCACGGAAGTGGGTTTCTGTGTGACATTTGTGAATGGGATCTGGCATTTAAATTCACAGCGGCATTGCATAAGTTATCATCAGCTGGCTGAGAAAAATCAATTCTATCATTGGAATAGTCTGAAGGAATATCATTAATTGAAGAAAATCAGAATAATTAAGGAAGGATGTTGTCGGCGAGTAGATTTGCAGGGTTATCATGCAGGTTCATGAGAAATTACTCGACATCACGGGTAAGCAAATCATTCATGATTCCAGGCCGGTGTTCCATCTCAATTCATCGTGGTCAAGATGACCGATGGTGATTATGTAATGGTCTGAAATACCTGCTGCCATATTGACAGCCAATTTTTAATAAATATGATATCTGTTGCATGATTATATACTTGGTTACTATCACACAAAACAGTCTGATCTAGATGAGTGACATGACACAAGTCAATCTTGTTTCATTTTCATCCTATCAATCATCTAACACATTGCACAACCATTTGGGAGACTGCTATTTTGTTAATTTTTTTCTATTACCAAGGAAGGACTTTATTTCTTCTTTTTTCCTGGAAAATGATAACATTGGTTACATTACTTTCTGCTGAACAGATCTTAAATTTTATACTAGTCTAGGCCTAGTAGTCTAATTACATGTCGTAATATGTCTTGTAGTTGTAGATTTACCTCCTTCGACTGTCCTCTTTGAAAGTTGACATGTGTCTATTAAATGACATGTGGTCAACTTTGAAAATCTTGGTGGCCATATTTTGATGCCTGGTATTAAAGTTTTTCTGTTCTTTTTCTTCTTTTTTTTTTTGTCCCTTTGTTACATGTAGCTAGATTTACTTGTAGGCGTAATTGTATAAATCTTTGAAGTAATCCGTCCCTCAAATAGATCTATATCAATTGGCCAGGTGCTTTGACTGGAAAGGCAAGGAATTTCAAGTTGCAGAATTTTTTCTTCATAATTTTTTTTAATTATATCATTATTGATTTATTTTAATTGTTCCACCAGATAATGGTTGATGATTGTGACTTTTTGTCAGAAATATCAGTATCATCTGCCTCTGGCTAAATTACATGGGGACTACAAAATAGTACAATCACTACATATATAGCTCATGTAATATACTCTTTTTTTTTAAATCATCATATTACATATATCTTTCTACATTTATTTGGGGTGTTGTCTTCTGTTAAATAATAAATGAAGAAAAGAAAATTTGTAAAAAAATTATAAGAAAAAAATTGAAGATTAAGCAGCTAAACTTGTCCTCTCTCTCTCTTTCTCCATCTCTCTCACACACACTCTCTCTCTACCTCTATCTCTCTCTCTCTCCCTACCTCTCTCTCTCTCTCCCTACCTCTCTCACTCTCTCGCTACTCCTCTCTCACTCTCATACCAGACTCTGCTACAAGACAGAATGAAGATAGCTATTATAGGTCAAAGTCAGTTTGGAGAGGAGGTCTACAAGCTCCTGAGGAAAGACGGTCATGAGATCGTAGGGGTCTTCACAATCCCAGATGTCAAAGGTCGTGCTGATCCTCTAGGTATGGTGACCATTCCATGCTTTTCTTTTCTTTGATCCAACCAGCCTTTGTTGCTATTGTTTGTCCCTGCTTCTATAACGGTCAGCAAGCACGCTTTGTATTGTGTAATAATTATTGGGAGCCACAGAAAGGTTGAATAGCAAGAGCTTACATAACGGTCAAACTCACAATAGACATGGATGGCTACCTTTTTTTACTCAATGACCTATCCATATAACTGTTCATTTCACGTGCTCCAGTAACTTAAGACTTTTAATCTGTTTGTGAATCATTGTGAGGGTACATAACGTTCTATAATCCATGATAACAGTTAACAGTTATATTGCTAATAGTACCCCATGCTGATAATGAATTCAGTTCAACTACTTGTGATGTGCATGGCAAGCTCTCTCCATGCCTTTAAATTTGAAACATTTCATGTGCAAATGTTAATACACTGTCAATGTCTAGTGCACCATTCAGCATTTGAATTCTTTGTTTCATTTTAAATTTAAGCTCCAATAATTTTACATGGGAACAAAGTCCAGTCCCAAAGCATATTTTACCTGTTTTGTTTCAAGAAGATAAAATTAGCTTTTGAGAGTCCATGAAATTAGGGTGATTTAACATTTGCTCTGGACAGTGGACAGTGTACATTTCACAGGTGTACATGATTTGTTAGTATTGCATTGGGGCCCGGCCCCCCCCACTCAGAGGTCGAAATGACCGCATGCGTGTTGCCAAAATGTCCGGTAAAGGGGTACTTTTCGTGCGACAAAGTCCGGCCCGAGAATTGTAAAAAAAGGGGTGTATTTGACTTTTCACCCGGAGATTTCTTTAAAAAGGGGGTGTTTTTCTTTTTTTCTCTTATCTCTTTGGACTCCTGAGAAATTATTCCGAATTTAGGGGGGTACATTGAGCATTTTTCCTGATTTAAGGGGGTCTCCAAGGCAGGAAAAGCCCGCGAAAAGCCCGCGAAAGGGGGGTTCGGAAATGTTGGCAGTCCTCAGATAGGGGGTGCTTTCAAAAAGAGGGTACGAGCATATGCGTACCCTAAATAACACTGAGTGGGGGGGCCGGGCATTGGGGTCAATCAGAGTAGACTGTAATTTTCCTGAGCGGAATTTTCCACCCTTGGTACAGAAGGCTAGTAAATAAAAGTCATTTCCCTGTCTATTATAGTAATGGTTAGGTAATCAATAGGGATCCGGTTCACTTCCCTTTTGTCAGTATTCTGTCAAGCAAAATGTATGAAAGTTATGCCAGTTATTCTATACTACCTGTATATTTAATGTAGACAATGCATGCATACAAAATTAAAAATTTGTTGGTTATGAACATGTAGGTTTTTAGAATGGAGAAGGGGCTGTTGCTAGTTAAACATTGGCATAACATTCCATTGTATATGTTCAACCCCATTCATGGAAACCTTTGATAGATAATGACAAAATTCAAGTGTTTAGGGTTATTGTCCAATTTTATAAATCATGGAAGGTAATACATTAAGTGTTCATAATGCTCTCAATTCTATGATACTTGGTAAAGTGAGGGACAATTAAAGATCAAGTAACTTGGACTTTCACATGTACTGGCCTAACCCTTCTTAAATTCAAATTTGAAGTGATATTGTCGGTTTAATCGCCTGTGCATTACACTATATGAAAAATGCCAATTCGGCACTTCTCGTGGGTTGTCGATACCCACAGTGCCTTTATTAATGTTTGCTTAAAAGTATTATCTCTGTAGTGTTAGTTCAGTTTAACAGACAGCAGGGGCAGCATGGGTTATATGTCCTGATTAAACTTGCCCAATCCGCTATTTAAATACCAGTTTGAACCTGCCAGATAGTAGGCTCATTTACACTGCAGAAAAAAACAGTTTAAAACAACTTTTTTTTCTTTCTTTTTTTTTTTGGGGGGGGGGTAGGATTTACAATGCATGAACATCAACATTTTTGCAGGAGTTAACAAAAAATTTCCAGTGGTGTTTTTGTTGTTGTCATGTTAATGTTTAATTGCCTAGCAAATTATGACAAAATGCTGGAATGTGAGAAAACCCATGTTTTGTTTTGTTTTGCTTGCAGTGTAAATGCCCCTTATATTGAATACCGGTACAGAGAATAATACTAGCATGTGTGGTTTATTATCTACCTGTATGTTTGTTATTTAGAATCATGGTTCTGCTCATTTAATGTGCTCTGCGTTGTGTCATAGTAACAAATCCGAACAAAGTTTTATTGACTTTAAAATTACAGCTAAAACTTTTGCTATTCCATTTCCTAATTTTTAATGTCAGCAATTTTTCCATACAATGGGATTGGAATGTGGAAAGGAAGATTCTTTATACAAAAAGATGGCCTTGTCATTTTGACTTTGCAAACAATAGATCTGTGACATGTGTTGTGAATTTCAGCACACAGCCATTTTTTAAAGTGCATTGTATTTGTATATGATGATACTATGACAGAATTTACATGTGACAGACTTCACAGTTGTGAAAGTGTGCATATTCATTGATGCACCTGGATTGAAAGTCGTCGTACATTTATGCGTACGTTATGCATTCGTGATTACATGGGGTTTATTATAATATGGTAAAAAATTGTTTTTTTCGTCTGTTCTTTAGTCACAGTTCAGGTATGTTTTTGGTTCCAATAAAAAATGGAACATGTTAAATCACAAGTTTTACACAGGTGTATGGAAAAAGGATATGACTATAGAGATAGGATACCAAGCCATTTAGCAGCTGTAATTGTATAAATGAGCTTCATTAACTTGTTGAATTTTTTTTTTTAAGAGTAACCATTGGGGGTGAAAAATTGTTCCTGATCTAGATTAACAAATGAGTACAGTCTGCCCTAGCTATTCCCTCAATATTCATATACCTGTACATGTACAATGTTAAACAAGTTCTAACAAGGGACGTGGTCATTGTGTACAGGTTACTGTGGTATATATTTCAGATTAATCCTAAACCTAACCCTCACTGTGCCCATTAGTCTTTCTAGACAGGTTTTCAGTATTAAAAGGTTTTTGACTGTATCACATTAAATTTTGTAATATTATAATTGATAGTCAAAGAAATTACACATGTCATTTATTTCTGACTATTTTGCAATCAGCTTCTTCCGCGGAGGGAGATGGCACAAAAGTCTTCAAATTCCCTCGCTGGAGGACGAAAGGTCAACCCATCGAGGAGGTCGTGAATGCGTACAAGGAGTGCGGTGCTGAACTCAATGTGCTTCCATTCTGTAGCCAGTTTATTCCTATGAATGTGATTGATGATCCTAAACATGGCTCTATCATCTACCATCCTTCACTTCTTCCAAGGCATAGAGGAGCTTCTGCTATCAATTGGTAAGTGGATTTTAATAATAATAATAATAACATACTATTTAGTTCTTGTATAGCGCATATCACATTATAATGTCTCTATGCACTTCCAAAGAGCTTTGGAAATTATTACTCCGGCTTTAGCACGGCTGCCATTGTGGCGCTTTAGCATTTCAAGGAATTGATTCCTGCCAGGTACCCATTTACTTCACCTTGGTCGAGTGCGGCAAATGTAGATTAAAGGTACTATGTCCCATTTGCAGGCCAAAATAATAAAAAGGTTAAATTCTAACGGCATTTGAAAGATAATACTAATTTAGAACTTCCCTAAAAAGAAGGGGGCTTGAAAATGTCTTGTATAGAGCCAGTAAGTAATAGTCTGATTTTCAGACCATTGTACCGAATGGTTGTACGTTCTATGCTGCGCAAAGATTCAATCGGTTTAATTTTGGCCATTACAAGATGTGGGTTATTAATGTAGACAAATGCTCATGTCATGTACCCTTTACAGCTCATTTTATGTTTGTTATTACCAAAGAAAAAAAAAAGCCAGTCAGTCACTAAATAATGTCCGACAGTGAAGTCTAGCAAGTAAACGAGTTTCCTTGCATAATTTGAATATTAGGACACTGCTAACCTTTAAATTTCACAGATAGGACGTACATGACATATTCATAATTCCTGCAAAGTTCCACAGAATTTGATGTTGGCTGCAGAAGGGACATAGTATCTTTAATGTCTTGCCAAAGGATATAAGTGCCGCGACGGGACTCGAACCGCGGACCTTGTGATCCACAGTCTGGTGACATATCCACTTGACCCAACACCTCTACTTTAGAGACTGTTGTTTTTAAGAAAGAAAGCAAGTGTTTGCCTGGAGATAAGGCAGTAGTTGAGCAAACTATTGAGTATACAGATGTACAGGTTTAAAGTCTTATAAAAGGGTTTTGTAATTTAGGATTAATCCCTTACCAAATGGCACTAGTGTATCAACTTCTTTTCAGACACTACTTTTATTAAATTCTAAAGCAACATATTTGTACTACTACTACAACTACTACGACCTCTGTGACTACTTCTACTAATACTACTACTTCTAATGATAATAAATAATATACTGAAAAGGAAAAAAGTTTTTCAAACCTTTTTTTTTACCTACAATTCATTTACATGTAGGTAGTATAATATACTGCAGGATTTCTTAGTATAGATTTGTGATTGATTATAAGAAATGTTTCGTCACATTCCCCAACCATGCCTAAATCAAGAGAGAAGGAGCAATAAACTGTCAATACCTACTTCAATTGATAACTACCACTACGACACAGATAAATCTGATATCATTGTAAAAACAACTTCATGTTATTCGACTTATGTTTGCATTCATCTGATAAATTAAAATATTTTAATGTTGACTGAACAAAGTTTAGATAGAAAAATGCATTGTAGTCAAACTAGTTGTTACATTTACCATGGATTGTAGGCCTGTACAGTTTTATTTAAAAAGAAACAGTCATACATTCTTTCAAAACGCAGAAATAGTTTAGTTTTGGATTCTCCAAGTAGCACAGTAGTTAATACTCAAGTCAACCCTGAAAGCACTGTCACATTCACCACATGTGATTTATTCAACATCCATTAGTTCTCTACATATGTACATGTACATTGTAGATTCCATAAGTTACTGAGGAGTCAAAGGTTGGTCCTGAAAATGCTGAATCAGATCATTGCAGAGAATATTTGTTGGATATCTGACTTTTGACTTGTTTGAAGACCAAACAATTGAAGTGGCTCATAGTGTTTGGAAAAGTACTGGAACTCTATTTTATATTTAAAGATGTTTTATATACTCTTTTCGGGGTCCTGTGTTTGGACTTTGATCGCGAGTCCTCCAAAAAAATTCCATTGTTGAAATTTTAATATTGAACATATGCACCCGTTGCAAAATTTATTTTATGGTTCGTATCCAGGGCTTAACTTTTACATACACAGGTAGGTCCTGTACCAGGGCTCAAATTAATTTTTTGTCCACGGGGGCTCTTCCCCCCCCCCCCCCAACAAAATAGCCCCCGTGAGCCTTCTCACGGGGGCTTTTTTAGTACTGACGGGGGCTCTTTTTTATACAAATATCCATTGAATTGGTACTTATGATACTCCTCAATTATTTGCTATTTCATCATTATCATTTCAATCAGCATTTTCCCTCTTACAAATTTACAAGCTACATAGCTGTTACTAGTCTGTGTATATAATATATACGCATACAACACTGATCTTTATGATGTCTTTAACGTGACATATCTTCTTCTCCCCTTGCAAACGAGAAAGAAAACAAGGTCATTAAAAGGGATTAAGCGACAAATAATGATTGTGATTCAAATTGATGCGAATATTTGTTTGAATAAGCACTACTATTCACCCGAATCTTCTTTGTAAAAACAACTTTTACAAATCTCAGCCATGCTTACTGAGTTGAGACGTTCCATTCAATGTAAAATACTCATCAAAGAATACACTTCTCCTAATCTGAAAGTGATCTTACAACACAGTGGCAGATATGCATGGCTGAGATTTGTATAAGTCATTTTTACAAAGAAGATTCTGGTGAAAAGCATTGCTTATTCAAAAAAATCCTTGCATCAATTTGAATCACAATGATTATTTGTCGCATGATCCTTTTATTAAATAACCTTGTTTTCTTTTTTGTTTGCAGGGGGAGAAGAAGCTATGACACGTTAAGAAATCATAAAGATCAGTTGTATTATGCGTACATGTATATACATTTATGATACCAGAACAAATGATGATTATCAGAATGTCATTTTGGAATACCTCTATACAAATACCACATTGTCTTTAGCCCGTATCAGTATTAGTATGATCCAATATAAAGCTATTATTCTTTATTTAATTCAGTATAATGCTTTTCCTCAAAAATAGTTTTGCTATTTTTTTAGGGTTGAGACGCTAAGAAATGGTTTCAAATGTACATTACACGAACCCTGCATGAACCATTGCAAAATGATGGTGGTTCTCTCTCTCTCTCTCTCTCTCTCTCTCTCTCTTTATTTTAATCACGCATTATCAACTACATGTAAAGCAGCAACCAAAAACTTAGGGTTATCTGAGATAGGTGAAAGTAAGAGTTAAAAAGAAAGTCATGCTAAAACGGTGCTTCACTCCCCCCCCCCCCCCTCTGAAAAAAAAGAGTAGTCCTCCTCTCCAGCATCCCCTCCCCCCCTCCCCCCCCCCCCCCCCCGCTTTAATATCACATTTTCACTTGGCAGCCCAAGGGGGCCGGAGGGGGTGGGAGGAGGGGGTTAAACCCCCTAACCCCCCCCCCCCCCCCCCCCCGTAGATCTGCCCATGTTACCATATCATTCCACGACATCTTGGTCTTCCTCTTCTTCTCAATAGGGACTTTTAGATTTGCGTGGACGTGCACTGGCAGTCAAATGTGACGTCCTTTTAAGCACTGGCACTGCCTTAAAAGGAGGTCACACGTTGCAGTCCACGTTCTCATAGTGCAAATCTAAAAGTCCCTAATATTGATTTACTGGTCGAGGTTCATTATTTGCTGGTCATTTGAAATCACCAGATTTCAGCGGGCTAACGCTTTCACAACAAAAAACTTCTCCGTGACCATGTTTCTGCCCTTGCGCGATCGCCTCCAGCTCCAGCAGACATGGCGCGGCAGCGTGCACACATACCGCTACTAACGGCGCAGTAGGCCTATAACCACTGCTGACGGCGGCACTGCACTGCGAGCTGAATCGGTAATAATAGGCCTATACTCATAAAACGAGAAATCTTGCACGCTAATCTAAGTTCCATTTCATTGGTTTAAGGTTTGAAAATTGAAACTCAATATTGTGTTAAAGCTATAACAGAAAAGATAATCTTTATTTCATAATTCCACGGGGGCGATTTTTAATTTTGCAATCGCCCCCGTCAGCAACCTGACGGGAGCGATTATGTAGCTCACGGGGGCGAATCGCCCACCGCCCCCGTGTATTTTGAGCGCTGTCTTGTACCCAGGTACCCTCCTCCCCCAAAAAACAAAAACAACTTAAATTAAATCACACAGCACCCTAAAATCTAGTAATAGGGGTCCACTTTACACAGACCCCTGAAAATATCATTCAAGACCCCATGAAGTAATCAAGTTTATGTGAACCAGCATTTTTTTATGACATGTCTGTAGGTTTGATAGGATGAGGGGCATGTGCCAATAGTTTGTTTGAGTAACCTCCATGCGTGTATGCAGAAGGAATCACCTTGAAGACTATGCTTCGTGAGATGTGTCATGTATGACTTTGTGATTAACTTAAAGGGTCTGGTGATGATGTACATGTATAATTATAAATACTTTTTTGTAACATTTAATTTTTTTTAATGATAAGTTGAATGTTCATAGAATCATATGCAACTGAACTGAATAAATACCATGTTACCAACACAAAAATGAAATGTGTTGATTGCTTTGGCTAGAAAATATAAATTAGCTGGGTAATGAAACACAAAATTTTGTACAATTAAAGGTAAGTCCACCCTGATATTACATTGGTTTTAAGAAAAGCACAACAAATGAGAGAAACAGGTCAGTGATAGTTTGAGCAAAATCTGAATAGAAATAAGAAAGTTATGAAGTTGCGATCAATCAAACACGAATTGGGGAGTGATTGTCCAAGGGGGTAATTTTCTGGGGGTGGGGGGTAATTGCCCTAGGGGGTAATTTCCTAGGGAGGACTGTCCTTCGGAAGTAATTGTCCCGCTGGTAATTGGCCGGGAGGGGGGGGGGGTGATTCCCAGGGGGAATTGTCCTAGAACTGTAGTTGACTGATACTGCCTGTAGGAAATATATATTCCAATCACAAATGAGTCAACAAGAGAGGGTACCTGTTGAAAATGACTGGAGCTATAGAATTTTTTGTTTCAGGCATTGTTTTATGATGTGAGAATGCAACTTTGCTAACGAGAATGCATACCATAAATCTGTGTATAAGACGCACCCCTATTTTGGGGGCAAAAAAAAAAGGAAAAATTTAAAGTGTGAATTATGCCCCTCCACCTGACACTGAGCCTGTCAGTGTCTCCCAGCTCAGTCATACAAGGTGTGTTGACCCACCACTCAGAAACTAGAACAACACTACCTGTATGGCCAGATTTCTGTTTGGACTTTGAGGACATTCGCCCGTCTTCTTTAGTTTTAAAAACAACATTGTTACTATTATTTGTGACAAGTTCACAAGCACAATTCGACCTCTTCAACTGAACCTTGCAGTAAAAAAAAAAAGTCCTTCCCTGCGAGGGTTTTTGAAGACGGACCTGGCTTGCTGCCTACAGAGTCTGCAAAAAAAAAGATAGGGGTGCATCTTATACACAGAGATTTATGGTATATTTTTCCCTAAAAAACACATGAAAAAACTTCTTTTACTATCAAACTCTTATTTATTTGCTGTCTTTTAGGACTCTAATGAGTGGTGACAAGCAGGCAGGTTTCACAGTATTCTGGGCTGATGATGGACTTGATACAGGTCCTATTTTACTTCAGAAGTCTGTCGATGTAGACCCAAATGAAACGGTGGATACACTCTACAACAGGTTCCTCTACCCAGAAGGCATCAAAGCTATGGTGAGATATATCATAAATGCTCAAAGTTCAAATCAATTCATTCAATGTAGAAATTTTATGTGTGATCTGCAATTTTCCACCTTGCATTTATACAAGAAATACATAAAGATCACACAAAGAAATGGAAAGTTGTTTTTTTGTTTTTGTTTGTTTATTTTTTTTTATTGTATGGTAAGAATATGCAGTACAAACTTGTTTAAACAAAGCCTACAATTGATTCCCTCAGTGTGAACAAATTGAACTTGCTAATAATAAACCAAGGTGCAATATTTTAACAAATTGAATAGTTACTTCTGATAGTTATATTGTATGAAGGGAGCGGTCAATCAATTACTCCAAAGGAAAAGCTATTCCACTTCAATATATTTTAAAGATTATCTTGAGCCTCTGGTATGGAAATCGATTTTGAAAGAAAACTGATGAGATTTATTCTGGATTGTTTATCCTGCAGTAGATTGCTAGGCATCATCTTTGATAAAAACCACAACTCCCATTTCAACATCATGACCTGTGCCTGGTGTCAGGGTGTCGGGCCTACTTACCGGATTTCCTTATCTTTCTATGCTCATTACTCAGCCACTATACGTGTTCTACCACAATTGTTAGGCACATTTAATTTATTTGTAATCTTGAACATTCGGTGTAAGTTTCATCAGATTCTGTGAGAATTGATTTTGTATATTTACCAGAACTAAAGTTTATCTTTTAAGAAGGAACTATGTGTCATTATTGATGTACATCCTGTATGGTACGTGCATCATCAGCACCCTCGTAGCCCTATTGCTCACACTGTGTGGTGAAAAAAACACCACAAGCTTGGCTCCTTGCCATAAGGAGTCTCCATGCATAATGTCACGCTTAGACGCAGCTATTATTGAAAGCACCGTTTGTGACCTTGTGACCTATTGTGGGTATGGCAAGGGTATGGTGTGGGTATGTTGGGGGTGTGTTCATGCATATTCATGAGCTTGTGACTGTATATGAATACCCAGATGGATCGAGTTGCGTGGCTGGCTGGCTGGCTGGATGCAACTGGTTCATACATGTATCAGTTTGATATGGGAGAGTGATTGTGTGTATTGACGTCAAGAACATTCCAAAGCACAGTGCTCTGGTTGTGTGTTGCTCTACTGCCAGGTCACTGGCATCACACAGTGTGAGTGTGTGTGTATGTATTTATATACAAATAATGTACCCCAAAAAGGGGAGAGGGGCAGGGGTAATGTACATGTATCATCAACAACAACAAAAATATAACTGTAGAGTAAATGTATACATGTATGTACCAGTGTACACATAGGTATGTAATAGTAATACATGTAAGCTGTTCTCACAGCCTTCACCATAACTATGTAGATCTGAAAATACACTCCCAGCTGGCCCTGTTGTTGAAGCAGTGAACAAAGAATGATATATTGATCCACAATGCGGAATGACTGAGATGACCTACATGTGTGTACCCTGGTTCGCACATACATGTAGGTCAGTTGTATTCATAAATAGCCTTTTTCACAGGTTGAACTATGCCTAGTGTTCATGTGCATAAACTATCTCATTTTACGTTCATGTTCATTACAATATGTAGCTTTTCATAATACAAGGTCTTAATAACATACTCCATTGAATCTAAAATAGCCATCGCTTCAGAGATGCATTCCCCGGATCAATTAATCAATATTTTGAAGCAAATTTGCGTAGGACATACCTTCTTTGTGTGTGATTGGGATATTTCTAGAATTTACCTTTTGAGTATATATCACTATGGCATATATGTGTGTGAAGAGTTTAAAAGCACAGAGCTCTGAATGTAAATGCATGCTGAATAAAATTTGTCTGTAACCAGTTTGTCTACTTTTTGATTAATTTAATATCACTTGGCCGGCCCATTATATCCAATTTGTCTATCATTCATATGGTATCATCATTTTGTCAAATTTTCATGTAGTTTAATTACTGTTTTTTGCAGTGGCCAGTAGGGCTACTTTCGTTTCTTCTACTGCTCATTCAGCCTATTATTTGAGCCATTTTTAGCATTTTGTATGGGACCAAAAGAATATTAGACCAAGTAGATAAGAGACTAAATAGGCATTAGACCAATTCATGATTAGACTCGGTGGATAGTGACTGAAACAGACATTAAACCATTTGACAAGTGGACAAAGTGAAAAATGTTCAAAATAATAATATTAATAATAAAAATGGTGTTTGGAAATGGGTTTATACAAATTGCGATAATTCAAGTTTGGGATTGGACCAATTGTTAGTAGACCAAATGGCAATTTACCATATAATTGATTATAACTGTTGTATCTCTTTGGTTTCAGGGAGAAGCAGTGCAACTTATTTATGAAGGCAAGGCTCCTCGTATTGTACAGCCAGAAGAGGGCGCCACATACGACAAGCTCTGGAAAAAGAAAGAAGTCGCTCAGGTAAGAATAATGTTAAACAGCATCATATAACATATTATGATTCATTCAAATACACAATTTTGAATTTTAGAACAATAAAGTCCTCATTAGTTAGCATGGTCTTTGAGGTATGTAACATTTTTATTTGGATGTGAAAGAAGCTGAATTGTTGATTAAGTTTGCTGGAAATTTAATTTAAAAAAAATGCACCCTTGAAACATTTGCCAAAGTTGTGAAGTAGGTGAAAAATGTGTTGTTTGTAATTATAATAATAATAATAATAATATTTGTATTGTAGTGCAGTTAAACCTAAAATTATAGATTTGATATTCATAAATATGGACACGATTTTATTAATGTCACCATGACCATCAACTGGGCCCCTGTTGCATACAACTTGCTTCTGATGGTAACTTTTCTATCAATATTAACTACCATAGCAACATCACCCAACAGCCAATCAAATCAAGGCTTCCATGGAAGTTACCACTCATGGCAAAGTTACCATCAATACCCCTTATGCAACGGGCCCAGATTAGTCCTATACGATTAGGGTACAATTTATCAATGAAGAAGTTCAGACTGTGATATGTACAGTATAAAATTATACAGTTTACTATGCATATATTTTATGGATCCCACGTTTTGATGACTTGACCGACAGTCTGTCAATATCTTGGAATATGTGTAATGTTTATCTTCTTGATTTTTTTGTTGGTGTGATTTAGATCCCATGGGGCCAGTCAGCGGAAACTCTTCACAACTTTGTGCGAGGAAACGACATGATCCCTGGTGCTTGGGCTAGGATAGATGGACAGGTATGGATCAGAAGAAAGAAATGGATCAGAAGAAAGAAATGCCCAGACTAAAATTTCCCAATGCCTCAATCACATATGATGCAATAAACTCACCCCCCCCCCAAAAAAAAAAAAGAAGAGAGAGAGAGGAAGAGGAAAAAATGTATTGCCAAATTGAAAATTGCTTCACTTAGAAATGATGGCTAGTGGGGTTCAAAAATAAAGTAGCTGTGCACAACAAAGGTCCCTTAGGCATTCTCACTATCTTTTTTTTAAAAGACAGTTTACCCTGTTGTGTGAATGAAACCGTAAATATATTTCAGGGGAGTTCTCAGAAAGTGATGTCATGTTTTTTTTGTTGGGGGGGGGGGGGTGGGAGTTGGTATGAATTTTATAATCAAAACTTTCATTTTTTAAATAGATTTTTTTGGTAATTTTAATCGTTTTATAATTTTTTATTACCTTTTAGATTACACAATATATTCTTTGAATGACATTTTCTTTCTTCCTCTTCCTCTCTCTGTATCTCTCTCTCTCTCTCTCTCTACCTCCCTCTTTGTCTCGCTCTCTCCCCTTACAGCAAGTGACGATGTTTGGTTCAACCCTCCTCTCAGGCAGCACACCAAAGGGCACACCTGTTGAAATAGAAGGCTGCGACACACCAGCCATCGTTCATAAAAACGGGTTGGCTCTCTTTGGCAATGACGGCAAAATGGTGAGGAAACAAAATACTCAACGTCCATGTGCAGTTAAACCGTGATGATACAAAGAAGGCTGTACTGAAAAGTGGACACTATTTTATAGTCTTAGTTTATAGTTTTATAGGTTCTCGCCAAGGCATAACATACTTGATGCTTGAAGCATAGGGTCGTACTAAATGTTGGGAAGGGATAAAACCAAGGTTGAATTTCTCAGACAAGGGTATTGCCAAGGGTATTATATGTGAATGTGTGCATTCCTCGTTGGATGTAGCAGAGCAAGTTTATATCTAATGTTCAAGTGCAAAATTCAACCGATGGAAATATGGAAATACATAAAATACAATGAAATATCTTAAATTGATGATCATCTTAATGTGTGACTAATTTATATTCATCATTCAGCTCAATTCAAAAAGTCTTTTGTATGAAGTACGGACAACTTGGAAATTTGTTTATTTGTAAATTTGATATGTGATTGGTGTAATTTCTTGCCCCCTTACAGCTGAATGTGAAGACCCTTCAGTTTGAAGATGGTCGTATGATCCCTGCTGGCAAGTACGGACAGTCTATGGATGCAGAGGAGAAGCTAGAGCTCACACCGGAGGAACAAGAGATGGCTACAACCGTCAAGGTAAACGATGGTGGTGGTGGTGGTGGTGGTGGCGGCGGCGGCGGCGGCGGCGGCGGCAGCGGTGGTGGTCACTGTAATGATAAAGATAATGATGGTGGTGGTGATGGAGGCAGTAGTGATGGTTATTATGAATATTATCATAATGATGAGAAGACACAACTTTCTTTTTCTCTTAGTAGCTAGGTGAATACAAAGAAGCTTCTTCTTGGACTTTTACAGTGTATGTTATGCTTTATCCATTGGTACACTGATTGAGATGACCAAATACCTAATCTGTTAGGGCATACATTGCATTGATTCTATCGTGAAGAATTAGGCCTAGCTAAAATGTGACGCTAAGCATTGGTATACTCTTACCTTGATCATTGAAACGTGAGGAGTCTGTTTAATGTTTATATTTTGTCTGTAGGCTATCTGGGCTGGCATCCTATCAACACCAGACATCTCAGGCGATACAGACTTCTTCAAGATGGGAGCTGGGTCAATGGATGTTGCCAGGTAAGCCAAACCCTTATGGCGATGACAAAACTTGTAATCAATCTTCTTCTTTTGTATGAGGTAGCAGCAAAAATATAGCAGCAATTCCGGGGGGGGGGGGGGGGGGGGGGGGGGGGGGGGGGGGGGGGGGGGGGCCAAGGGTGGAGGGTGCAAACATAAGTAGTCTGGAGCTAACGGCCAACCAAACCATTGGTTTCAATCCCAGCCACAGGGTCAGTGCCCTATGGCAAGACATTAATCAGTGTTTTTTCATTCTCAACCCAATTGTAGTAAAAACGTACCTGGTATGAAGCAGTTCTGTGAGTATTTTCACTGAATTAGGGCAGCTTGGCTAAAGTCAGAGTAATTCTAGTACTTAAGACCTGGGATGGATGTGTATGCCAGACTAATACTAATTATTCAGTTATGCCTAGCTGCACAGAATGTCATTTTTTATGTACTGGATTGTGAATGTTTTATGTGTTTTTCTTTGTTGCATAGGTTGGTGGAAGAGTTGAAACAGAAGTGCAGCGTGGAGCTCAAGAATGAGGACGTATACATGGCTACCACCTATGATGCCTTTGTACAGAAGGTGGCCAGGAAAGGAAGAGGGTTGGATGAACAAGTCTTTGAATTTGATGCAGTAAGTTTATTGTACAGACCAGAGTCCAGCAAAATAATATTTTTATACCCCAATAACATAATTATGGTGAAAAAAGAAGATAATAAACATTGTTATTAAGAATACAAAGTGTCGTTGTACAAAACCAAATCCCTGAAAGTTTTAAAAATCATCTGTATTTAGTAAAGAAAAAACATAATTTTCAATGATAATAAATTGTAACACTTCTGCTCGTACCATGTACAAAAAACTAGATAAGTATGGTGTATACCATACCATTTTTACCACCCACATAAAATAGCTTCTAACTATCTTTTGGTTTGTTTCATTCAAGTTGTACTTTGAAGTTGTTCTGTTAATGCCTGCTTCGGTTTTCCTCTCTTCTAGTTTGAGATGCACGTGAACAACATGGACATCTCGTTTCCCCACCAACTGTTCATTAACAATGAGTTTATGGATTCGGAGAGTGGCAATACCTTCAAGACCATCAACCCCCATGATGAGTCCGTCATCTGTGAGATCGCCAAGGCATCCGTAGCAGATACAGATGTAGCTGTAGCTGCTGCTAAGGTGAGCCCCATGTTATCACTGCAATTTTTGTATAAAGTCAGAACCGTATTTCTAGATTAATTGAAATACAACAGTATTTCAACAGCAATGTTTTTGTGATACTGCTTCTATTATATTCTTCCACACGAAGCATGAAGAACAGAGAGAAAGGTTACAGAATAGTTCTTGTTTTCGAGAACCCACCTGTTCCTGTTAATGCCAAGTACACTAAGTTACTGTGTTTCTGAATAAATGTCTGAGCCCCAAAGTTTCGAAAAGAACAATGTATTTCAGTCCATAGAAGATATTTTTCAGATCGTTAAGATGACTCAACTTTTGCTCCAACAAAATTTTGCTCTTTTCTTTGTTCCATCAAAGAAATAGGAGGATGGTTGCAACTGGGGTTTTTAAGGTTAGCATTGAGGTTGAGAATTCAGAGCATAACAATTTATAGCACACAGAATATTTAATATAGAGCAATGTTGTCAGGATCATGTCGTAGAACTTTTCAATAACCTTTGACCTTAACGTTCTCTACACAGGCAGCTTTCTTTGAGGGAGAATGGGGCAAGATGAACGCCAGAGATAGGGGCAAGATGATGTTCAAGTAAGAGCACTTTTATGTCAAATATTGTTTACATGTATGTTTATTGTTAAAGAACAGAATGGTCATTTTTCTTTGAAGGACAAATTGTTATTGCTTAGAACACACCACTCTTCCAGGTCATTTCACTGAAAGTGTCATACTGTATTGTCAATGAAATCAGTTTCTAGGTTGTATTATGATGATTGTAAGATTTACTGGTGTGAGCCCTTTATTTTTTGCCTGCTTTGTTCTTTTAGCTTCCATTTATGTTGTCTGATTTCTGCTCTCTGTTCATTCTTTTGATTTACTCTGATGAGTGCAAAACAAAAAGCTTTAGTATATGTTTCTTATTGTTGCTATTCTTTGGTTTTATAGTACCGATCATCTCTTTGATATGAGTAAATCCATATCTTTGACGTGTAAGCTAAGAAACTATTTTAATCATGAGAGGTATTGCTTGTCAGGAAAATCAGCACAATAAGCAAGTGCTTATTAAATCCAACTCTTAGCATGTGATTTCTCAAAATCATCTAGAGGAGTTACTTTAAAGAAACTCCCAGAGATTGTGATACACTCTTTTCGAAGTTGATAAGTACCATAACTTCTGGAGTACCTTTACTTTAGCAGTTGTATGATATGTGTCTGTTTCCATTGATGTCATTGATGTCGTTGTTGTTGTTGCTATTATAATTCTTTTCCTAATCTATTGCTATGCTACAGGTTAGCTGACTTGATGGAGGAGCACACTGAAGAGTTAGCCACCATTGAGAGTATAGACTCTGGAGCAGTCTACACCTTGGCACTCAAGACTCATGTTGGCATGTCAATCGATACCTTCAGGTACTTTGCTGGATGGTGCGACAAGATCCAGGTAGGTTCTTACAGGGTCTACAAACCAATGTCACGGTTCTTTATTTTCATTTATTTATGCATGTATGCATGTTCACAATTTCACAATTCATTGGAGTTAACGTCACATGAAAAAGAATATAATATAATAAATCATTTTCAATTTTACAATCCATTTGAATATAACAATTTTTTATCAAAGACAATTTGCAACTATTATACAGTTTAAAGATGAACACACAAAGGTGATGAATTGTTACAACACCTTTCAAATATATAATGTATGACCACAAAAATTCCTATAAGGGATTATGATGTGTAACATCAACCATGCCCTAAGCAGCAATTAAATCATCATCTTGGATTGCTAATCCTGCCCAAGAATTTAGTGTTGAACAACAACATCCGTAGGCTAAGAAAGTCCTCAATTTACTTCCAGAAACAAAAACCAAATGCCTGTACTTTGACATGTATATCCATGGAAAATATTTTATGCCGGATTCATTTTTAAAAAAAAGGCATTTTAAGTCGGAATTTCCCTTTTAAAAGTGCATTCATATTGCAATGATAAGAAATGTTGTGGTCTCAGAGGGGTTGGATTTCAACTTGAGGTGCTTCTTTTATATTTATGACGAAATATTCTTCAGAAATTTATAGAAATAGCCAATAAAGGGTAAAAATGTGTGAGGTGTTTTTTGTAACAATGCCATTTGTGATTGAAATGCTTGATCTTCCCAACAAACCTCCCAAGGATGCTGCAAGACCAGATCACTCAATTTGAACCAAGGGTAAAAAAATCTCTTATCCCTCCCCCATATCAGAGAACCTTGAATACAATCTTATTATTCTGAGTGTATTTTGGTTTGATTTTGTATTCAGGGAGTGACGATTCCAATCAACCATGCCAGACCAAACAGGAATCTTACCTATACCAAGAAGGAACCTCTAGGGTAAGTGATCTATCTTTTTCTTACTTTTTAATTTCTTTATTCAATGTAGGTACACAGATAGTTGGATTCATGAATAATAAGTTTGTGAGAGGATGATTAAAAACAAATGACTTTGGACAATTATATTTCTTGAACGGATCTGTATTATGTTACTCAATATTTGAACCATGTCATGTATTATAACATATTTTAGTTTATTTTCTGTGAAAACTATCACTGTATTTGAAAGTACATTGAAACCTACTTTAGTGACCGCCTGTGTAGAAAGACCTGTATAAGAAAGACTACTTGTAAGGACCACATTTATTGTATACCTTTAACGGTGTTTTATCATTTAAACCTATAGTAAACTAACCTCGTCTGAAAAGTCTGCATTTCTTCTCCCTCTTGAGCAGTATTTGTTTCACTTCATTATAAATGTATATAATCAATCATTGAGCATCCATCCATCTTTGTTTCTAACAGAGTATGTGCTATCATCGTACCCTGGAACTACCCCCTCATGATGTTGGCCTGGAAGATGGCCGCCTGCCTCGCTGCAGGAAACACAGTGGTCCTCAAGCCTGCCCAGGTCACACCCCTTACAGCCCTCAAGTTTGCTGAACTGGTCGTCAAGGCTGGATTCCCTCCTGGTGTCATAAACATCCTACCAGGCTCAGGTGAGGAAGAAAGATCTCATATTTATATTTTATTTATTATCAAGATATTGAAATGCATCTGTGGTTTGAGTTTATTACCAGATTTACAAGAAAATACAAAAGAATGAATTTAACAGGTAAGCGCTTAAGAAGCCACCATTATTTGTATTATTATTATTGAAACACAATGCCAAAACACTATATAAATGGAAGGATTTGGAAAATAGTAACAAATTTACTTAATTTCTTTTTTCTTTTTTGAACACATATTGTAAAACCAGAAACTTTTGTGATATGAAACTTTTATGTTTTGCAAATCAGAGTGATTTTCATAGCAAGAAACTTGTGCTATTTGTAAAGACTTTAGTGTTGTGTCAAGTGTATTTCATGAACCACCCACAAAATTTGTGAATATTTCATACACTTAAGTAACTGGTATTACAGTGCAGTGAAAAGCGTTGCACTTATAGATGGGTATATTTGATACATGAATTATATTTAGAATGTCAAGAGCAACCATTTCCAATGTACATCCCCAACTATTCTTCTATATAGGAATAAGAAAGTAAGCGAGTTATCTTATCTTCTTGACCTGAACTTGGCCTTCTCATCAACGTTACATGCATATCACCTTCCCTCCTGGCAATTGTCTTTGATATCTGTATTGTTGCACAGCATCTCTCTTACTGGCACCTGCCAGGGGGACATGGCAGTCTTGAGATTATGGCTGTTGTGTTTGGGAAAGAGAGTAGATAAATCAGCTTGATAGCTCGAGTCTAATTAAGCAATAAACTGACCAAATCTTGTCTTTCTTGCTTAAACAGCAGCTAATATGTATTTTACTGTGTTGTATATTGTCATGCGCATTGCAAACTGTGTCCTCTTTGATTCTAAAAAAAAGAAAAAGGAGCAATGCAGCTTATGTAGAGCAGTCTCCATTATTTTGTTCTTTAGAATTTGGTTTTAAATGCATTGATTATATTTCTATGGATTGATTTAAGCATAATTCTGGTATTTATAGCTTTACCCTGAAAGAGATTAAAAACTAAATATGTGTTAAATCTAATAATTTTGTCACTCAAAGCCTGAAACCGTATGTAGTGAGGGGACGGACTCATAAAATTCTTAGGTTGATAAAGGTGTTTTACAAATTTTGCAAACAGCAATGTAACTTATATCAATAACTGATGTCACTTCTAGTTTATCCTTATAGTAATAAAGTATTAAGAATATGGTGCATTATTGTACACATCATGGTTGATACATTGTCTCTCTGCATTGCCAAAGTGCACTGGAAAGTTCACCCTAGTGTTTTTAATTTACAGGTTCCGTCTGTGGTCAAAGGATGGCTGACCATCCTGATGTCAGGAAGCTGGGTTTCACTGGCTCAACACCCATCGGTATGCAGATCATGAAAAGGTAAGCATTTTCTCCTAGAAATGCTAAATAAACCGAGTCCAGTTTTATCTATTTAGCAACTCTTCCAACTAATCGTAAAATATTTTTAATGGAATTCAAGGTTGTAGTCTCGACCTACGATGCCAGAGACTGAGACAAGGTCAAACACTTGGCTACAGTCATTAAATAGCGAAAGGAGTCTAATCGAAGAGACCTTGAGACCAACTGATCTCGGTACATCACACATGGAAATGTTCTTGTATAGCGGAGGACATGTCTAGTATCATCAGGGATAAACCCTGATAGCTAGTTCGGAGACATATTTCTTAATTCACTTTCCCATGAATATTGAAGCAGCATAATCACCAGTCAGTGTGCCTGTTGATCCAATCTTCCTTGTTTGAAGTGCTCATTCATTTAGTTTCATAATACAGACAAATATTTATAGCTAAATTATTTTTCATTGATCCAAGAATCTTAGAGTTCTAATCATTGTCTCTATCGATCCCATTCTACAGCTGTGCTGAGAGCAACCTGAAGAAGGTGTCCCTGGAACTGGGAGGCAAGTCTCCTCTCGTCATCTTTGCTGATTGTGACATGGCTGCAGCAGTCAGACAGGTTCGTGAAGCAAGACCAATTGGATATCTAAAGAGGGATTTAACATACTCCCAGTACTAGAGATTGATAATAATAATAATAATAGATTTTGTTTCTAGACCCAGTGGTGCCGTTGTCCCAGCGGCCTTTAAGTGAAGCGCTGTCCTTACACAAAATAAAAGCCGGGACGACAGCACCATGGTTACACAATAATGAAGGCTTTTTTGGTGTTTTTTTGTTACCATAAAAAACATTCACAAGCTGACATATATAGGTGAAGAAAAAAAGGAAGGATATTATATTTATCTGTGGAAGATACAGATTTGAAGTGATACATACCTTACACTGGTAAGAAACTGTATGGTAACCCTATTTTAACTGGGCTATTTCAGACCAGGTTTCAGACCAGATCTTGGCTGTTTCACTGCCGATCGCCGCGAAAAATTGCGTACATGTCAAGTGAAGTGTATAGAATACTATGGTAATTTCAATTTTTTGAAAAATTCACTCATTTGCATATTTATGGTAATTTATGCAAATAAGGTCATAATATTCACATTTTTGCCCATAAATCATACATTATTCATATTTAAGCATTCTTTTTCACTACATATATTTGTTAGACCATTTGGAATAATAATACAACACAAAAAATTGGAAGAGCCAGGTTATTCTTTATGTTATCTCTTGTTTTGATAATTTCTTTTTAACTTATCTATTTTATTGTTTTTGTTGTTTTTGTTGTTTTATTTCATTTATAACTACAATTCAACTATTTTGACCCAAAACAAACACCTAAACTTTAAACAAGACTAAATAACCAATGTTTTATCTCTTTTTAGGAAAAATGACATTTCCATATGTTTTGTACACAAATCACAAAAATGAGCGATTTTCGGGCTGACATGCGAAGACAAAAGGTCACGTGACTTTGTAACTATACGTCCGATTTTCAAAAAAATTGTTTTAAAAGATGCGTAAGACTCAAAAGAAAAAAGTCATGAAAGGAAAATTTTATATCTGCCGCGGTTTCGGAGAAGTCGCGAAATTTCTACAGGGGGGGGGGGGTCAAATTGACCCCCCCCCCCCCCCCCCCCCCAGTTAACGTAGGGTTAATGATGTTTCTAAATTGTTTCTTGTAGGGACTCGGTTCAGTGTTCTTCAACAAGGGAGAGAACTGCATCGCTGCCGGAAGATTGTTCGTTGAAGACACCATCCACGACGAATTCTTAGAGAGAGTGGTAAGTCTCGTGAAGTTTCCTGAATAATTAGTATTCAGTTGTTCAAAGTTTGTTTTTGTTTTGATTTGTTGTAGTGCTCAGTTATTTTATACTATTTAGTGGCAGAATTTTGGGAAGGGAGGGGGCCTATGCTCCTGTGATAATCCTACCTTCCACATTTTTATTGTCCTTTCCAACAAATTGCACCCCCCCCCCCCCTTTCTCATGCTGGAGTATAATGGCATTTGTAAAGCGTGGAAATTTTAATCTTTGACAACTTTTGACAAATCTTTACACTTTCGAAATGCAAAAAACCATACACACAAATGTCGGCTATGTGCATGAATGGGCGATTCGTTGAAATGTCCCATGCTCATTGCAAATAAATATGAATGTTGATGAGTGGACTTTGGATTGGTTGATGAATGATTCAAATCAAATGAAATGGTATGCCTACATGAGGTATTATATCATGCATCAATGACACCTGGCTGGAATGCTCCCCAGGGAGTGGAGAATGTGCATACATTGTGTGCGGGTATGCCTGAATCCAATGACCGGGGTAATAATATACTTATCTGTAAAGTGCTTTGTGAGGGCCTCCGGTCCTGTAAAGCGCTATATAAGAACGAGCTATTATTATTATTATCAACAATTTATTGGTTTTTGATTGGTTGAAAGCTCGTCCCGTGACCAAAAATATTTTAAGGTTTCTCTGAAAAAGTACTTTATGAGAGTACTATTTGGGAGTTATTGATTTTTTTTCTTTTCAAATCTTAATTTAATGAAAACAAAATATTTTAAATCTTTTTTTGATAAAAATTGACATTTTTTAAAATTCTAAATTCAATTTCCCCCCCCCCCTAATTTTTTTTTTTTTTTTAAATTAATTTTTGATGCAGGATATAAAACAAATATACAATGCCTTCTATTTGAGGTACTGGTTTAAACTATGGGCCTCGGCGACTCCAATAGTACCATTTGCTTCGGGGCTGCACCCCTCAGCAAATAGAACTATTGGAGTTACCTCTTGCACCCAGTTTTAACCAGAACCTCTTAAGACGGTGTATATTTGTATATTGTTGCAAGTATGTACTTGTAGGTAAGCAACCAGAGAGGCCTCTGGCTGTAGGTCTTTTTGATAATGAGGATTAATGGCTCACGGAATGCCACCAGTGCATCAACCTGGTTTTTAATCCAGGATCACCTATTTATGAAAACACTGCTTTACCTCTGACCCTTCTCTCCTCAAGGAGATCAATAACTTATCAGAGGTAACACAATAATAATAATCATTACTTGAATATTGCTCTTTTCTGTCACATTTGATAACCCACTGTTATAACTCCGGCTTTAGCATGACTCACCTGGGTTGAATGTGGCATATATACAGTTGTCTAGCCCAGGGACATAAGTGCCCTGGCAGGGACTCGAACCCAGTTCCTTGTGATTGTTATTCCGGTGACTCATCCATTAAACCAGAATTTATTTTTTGTTTTTGTTTGTTTTACCAGGTTGCAGAGGTTAAGAAGATGAAGATTGGTGACCCCTTGGACAGGTCAACATCCCACGGACCTCAGAACCACAGAGCTCATCTTGAGAAGCTGGTGGAGTACTGTGATATCGGAGTCAAAGAGGGAGCTACACTGGTTCACGGTGGAAAGCAAGCTGATAGGCCAGGTCAGGAAATAGATTGTTAACATATACAAGACTTTAGGCCTTGTTCACACATAACTGTCTTGAAAAAAAGACATGCTTGGACAAATAAAACACATTTTACATGTAAATGAATGGCAAATGGGTGGCGGGGGGGGGGGGGGGGGTGGCACAGGTGCAAAGATGTCCGAGCTTACTAAATTCTCTATGCATTGCAAGATCAAAATGTGAAACGTACTACTCTTTTGTCATTTATTTGTTACATAGTACACATGTTCCATGTGCTTTCAACTTTGTATCAGACATTTTCCTTGTATTTGATAGTTGAAATTGAGCACCTTTGATGATTTTTTTGCTCCTCTCTAAATAGAATTAATGCCCAAGGGTTTTAACAGTGAGATTGAAAGTCATACCCAAATTGTTCAACTTTTATGAGTTTCAAAGCAAGATTCACTGTGTACACTGTTCCTAGTTCAAATGTTCATTATGAATCCCTCTTTAATAATTCACATTGTATTTTGTGTCTTGAATTTGCACCTTCAGAATGCAAAAGGTTTTTCATGATGTAAACAAGTTTTGCCTGTCACCCTCTTTATAGGTCTGTACATGGAGCCGACTGTGTTCACCGATGTAACCGATGATATGATGATGGCCAAGGAGGAATCGTTCGGTCCCATCATGATCATCACCAAGTTCTCTTCCAGGTAAGAAATGAGACTCTATACTAGATACCCATCTTTGCTCCCAAGTTTTGAAAACTAATCATCATAAATGACCTCTAAAGTGTAATTTTTATATTTTATATTTTTATTGTTTTATTGTTTGAATAGGCATGAAATATATTCCATGGGATTAAACTTCATATTGAGGGCACCTACTTTTGTTATGGACGGAAAATGTCTGCATTGTTTTTTGAAACACATAGTTCTGTGGAAGCTCACATTTTTTTTTGCCGATGCTGCTGCCCATGACGTGGAATGGTTGAGCGATGAAAAATAAATGCCTTACAAATTAAAAAATGAAAGGTATATGCCGACATAAGCAAAATGCCGACTTTGACTACTCCATTTTAGATGGTTATGTGACTGCTAAATGTCATGTGATCTTGTAGCTAATGTTCCAAGTTCTACAAAACGTATTTCAGAAGATATACTGGACTTCAAAACAAAAATGCCATAAAGACTGTGCCACAATATGGAATCTGGAAAAGGTCAACTTGATAGTTAAACTCAAATGCATAAATTGGTATATTGTAATTAAGAATGAAATATAAAAGAGAAATAACAAAGTTAAATGTCCCTCTCTTCTATTTCTTCTTCCAGTGATATTGATGGCATGCTCAAGAGTGCTAACGGCACAGAGTTTGGTCTGGCCTCCGGTGTCTTCACCAAGGATATCAACAAGGCCATGTACGTCAGCGAGAAGCTTGATGCCGGTACCGTCTTCGTCAATACCTACAACAAGACGGACGTTGCTGCTCCCTTCGGTGGATTCAAGCAGTCTGGATTTGGCAAGGATCTGGGTGAGTGATTTGTTGAGAGCTTGGGACCGCAGAGTTAAAAAGCTAATGTGATGCCAGTGAAATATAGTTGCAGGCACAGACTCGATTTCAAACTTAACAAATTCCATTGAGACTACAGCCCTGTCTTGGTCTAAGAGGTGTGTTAAATTAATTTTTGAGATGGTCCACATAAAGTTTAGGGCATATATCTGGATCCTGTCAACAGCCTTACTTTTCAAACCCTGTGTTACAATTGACAATGGGTTGTGCCTGCAAAACTATTTGAAATAAGTGAAGAGTGCATAAGAAGGCTATAAGAATATTTATGCATTATAAATGTTAGGTTAGTAGCCGCAAATGACATACATGTAGATGGAGTCATTATTCTTGGTGTCTTGAAATTTAAAAAAAAGGGAAAGAATGTTAATTTTATGGTTAACAGGTAGTAGCATACAAGAGTTTATATTGTATCATATATAAGCTCAGAACTAATGTAAAACCAGGAAATGTTTGCAACATGAAACGTTTGCAATTTGTAATGACAGCCATTTCCCCCCCCCCCCCCCCCAAAAAAAAAAAAAAAAAAAAAATTTTTGAAAATAAATAAAAAATTGTTGTCAGTTGTTATTCACTCATGTCATGGCATAGAACTTTCACAATTCTGATCCTTGCCAAATTGTCAACATTACACGTGCATGAAAGTCTCTTGTTTTACAGTACAGTTAGCTCAAATTTTCCCTAAGTTGGATCAATTATTTGGACCAAACAATGAGTTATTTACACTTCTGCAGTCCGAACAGATTCAACCTATGCAGAGAAAGCTGTCTTATGAACTCGTACGAACATGTTTTTAATATTTTTCTTATATCTGCTTTCTCATGATCAGGTCAAGAAGCTCTGAACGAATACTTGAAGACCAAGACCGTGACAGTCGAGTACAACTGAATAGAATGCCAACCAGCCCTGTAGCCCAACAACACATGCAGGTTCTAGCCGGACTCATCTCAAAGATCTTTTTTCTTTTCCGTGGATTAGAAACTTGTAAAGCCTCACAATGAAACTACAATCATAGCACTGCTTTGGCAGGAAGAAAAATGCCACATGCTCTTTTCACCATGCCTACATATGTTGGGGCAGGTACCTCGTATGTTTCATAGCGAATTATAAATCCATTACTGGAAGTAGATCTACTTACTACTCTACCACTTTTCACCATTTCCTACCTATTATTTCTTTAGCAAGATTACTGATCTGTGATTAGAAAAGGCAACAAGAATTGTATTTGTCTAGGCTGTGAAATGCGTATGAAAATACCTGCACAAGAATGAGTTTGCTTTAGATTTAATGGAACTGCAACATTGGTGTTTTTTATTCAATTTCTTGTAATGTTTTTACAAAAGATTAAAAACGATGCATTGTTTAACAATTTATATATCAAACATAACATTTCTGAAGAACAGCTGCTGTCCAAGCTATACCATTTATCTTACTTGTTACACTTCATTTTATAGTTCTTTTTAGGACCATTTTACTTTCAATTTTAAATTCATGGAGTTCAGTAATTTGTTACCAATTTCACTTTTGGATAATTATATTTTAATGACCATGTGTCAATAATCATGATGGGTAAAAGGTTATTAACAAAATGATTATGGAAGAAATTAGCCTTTTGACAAGATCAATATTGCCATGGATTTTCACCATGTATGAGTGATATTATATCGTATACAGTTTTACTCTTATCATATTCACCATTATTTTGTATTCTAGCAAAAAGCACACATGCATACACGTGCAGATCATGTTTCCATATGATCATGAATTTCAGTGTCTTGTAAAGAGTTGCAATTGATTTGAATGGAACATAAAGCCTTCTATCTTCAGATTGAAGCATTTGATTGGGAATTGAATTTTTATTTGGACCAATACCAACTATGGAGCATTGAACAAAAGTGTTGGCTTTTTTTTTAATAGTTTGTAGTTGTGATGCTGTGTGTTAACTAGTTACCAAAGATACTGGTAATTCAAGGGAGTTCCTTAATTGTATTGATATTAGTATTATCAATTCTATTTTCTTTATCTCGGTATAATAATAAAGCATCACAGGAGTTTAATCGTACATGTAACTACCGCAATATCTATCATTATTTTTCTTTTTCTTCGGGTTTTCTCTATAGAAAAGATGAGGTGACACTTAAAAGATGTACTTATGAAAAGCTTCATTGAGAAGTTCTTGGTCTACTCTAATGAGATGTCAGATGTGACCAAGAGTTGTACCCTGTGGGTCATCTTTTGACCCCCCCCCCCCCCCCCCCCACAAAAAAAAAAAAAAAAAAAAATGTATGTTACACATAGAGACAATGCATGATAAGATACAATTAATTGCTGCTAGATTGGCGATACAATAGAGTTTTACAATTGATTGAAAGTCAGTTTTTATGTTACAGAGCCCTGTTTTGCCTTCTATATTGTACTTCATGTATGGGGGCCTGTGCAGCTGAACTTGCCTCATATGATTCATTTTTACAATTAGAAGAATTGTAATTATTTTGATTGTGATTGTATTATTGATGAGAAGAAATCATGACTGATATGATGAAAATATGCTGAGAGTGCATGAATGTACATACAAAATGAGAAAACATTTTCAAACATGTAGATATCAAAGGGCTCGTGAAAACAATGCATGTATATTTTTATCACAATTGTATTATTTCATCATGTTAATTTCATGATGTATTTTGTGTGAAGTGTAGACAAGGATGTGTTAATTCTTTCCTTCTACATTTTGTTAGCAGCTGTCGTTTTCATGGATTTCTAGATATATTTTATGATATTCATGCAGTATTGTCTATGTTGCCATGGTGAAGATTTCAAGCTTTAAAGCCCCATTCACAATTTAGTTTTTAATATCAATCCACAAAGATCAGGTACACTATTTTTTGACGTCTATTCTGTTTGCAGCAGAAAATGGAACAAGACCGCCAAGGTATAGCAGTGTACTTGTTTATTTACTGGCACCGACTTCCCATGCAAATCATACAAATCAGCTTTACTCAGGGAGGCAATTTAAAGCAATTTGAATGATCATACCTGTACTTGAGCCTTAGTAAGCCAAATCAACTAAGATATATATGTATGGTTCTGAATTTATTTTAGCCACTACTTGATAAGGTGCTTACTTCACTCCCTGACAGATAATTTGAAGAGGATTTCCAAAATTTACCTTGGAATTTTAGATGCATTCTTTTATCAAGAGAAATGTAAATGTGTACTTGTCCACCTCCCTGATACTATCTTTATAACATATACTCTATATTCTTTGATTTTTACATTTACATAATACTGGTTTTTCGTATGTATTCTGTATTTCTTTTGTATTAAATTTACTCTTTTGCTCATTCTTCTGTCATTTAGATTTATCCAGATGAGTAACTTCAGAAGTAAACTATTTCTTGTCCTCCACATGCCATATCATTTCTGTCTTTAAAGAATGTATGCAACAATAACACGCTTTTTTTCTCTTCATTTTATAATTATTATTCTTTCCTTTTTATAGATATTCTTTAACTATAATTCTTTCAATTGAAATGAAAGAAAGATGGTGATAAAACTGTTATTTTCATTTGTTGCCCTGTGATCAGTAACAGAAAATAATGATGTGGGTGTCTTTAAGGACTTAAATACCACCAATTATGAGATGTGATGTGTATCATTGCCTTAGTAATATATGAGTACATAACCTCCTGTAAAAAGCCACTTATTTGTGTGAAAAGAACATAAAAATTGACAATAAAATCAAACTTGATCTCAATTAAAAAAAGTCATTTGTATGCATTGATTTAACTCTGTTATCCTCTTTATTTCCAGCTTTTACTTGATGTTTATATCCCCTTAGTTACATACACCTGTCACACACACACTCACATACACACCCAGGCAAACTGTAGAAATAATGATGATGCGGTGATGTTGATGGTGATTGGCCTTTATTTCGTTTTCTAATAATAGAACTATATCACAGCTTTTTTGTAATAAAAAATAAAAACAATACCCGGTAACAATATTTAGCTCTAGAAAGAGATGTGATCTAGATTATATAATTGATCTATGGAAGTTGCTGATTTGATATAAAGAGGGTTATTGACGGACTATTTGGTTCCAAACACCAGCTTTTATATGGGTCACTTAATTAAACAGAAATAGATCCATGGCAGATGGAATATTTAGGACGAGGTGGGTTGTAAGATCAATGGCAAACTTTATATACTAGTAGGGTTGCACCGTGTGAGTGAGAGGAGGGAGGATTGGGGAGTCCTGTGTGTAGTCCTGAAAATCTTTCTTGAGAACTATATAGCGCCGGTTGGAGTGGATGGGTAGTATGAGTGGCTCGACGTTTCGAACAGGTTGACTTTCCGTCGTCAGGAGTGGGGACTAGATTACCGACAGTCCTTTTCGGAACTCCCCAATCCTCCCCTTTCTCCCACATAGTGCAACCTGAAGCCTACTGTATATCTACATCACCATGCAAGCCGATACTTATAAGCAGCATCATTTTTTTATGAAAGGCTTTAAAACAAATGATATCGTTTTGAAGAAAATCATTTCTTATACAAGGAGCCAATGCAAAGATTTAAAGGACAAGTCCACTCCAAAAATAACTTACTTTCAATAGAAGCAGAAAAATCAGACAAACAAATCAAAAAAAGTTTGAGCAAATCGGATAACTAATAAGAAAGTTATGGATGTTTGAAAAAGTATGCAAAACTATGGAACTATGAAAAACACAATACAAATTAGGAACTCACTCATCAGTCTGTGACGTCATGTTCTTACTATCCACTAGTTATTTTGTTTATATTGATAATATAAATTTCCTATTCACCCCCTAAGAATCTTATTTCTTCACACCAGCATCCAAGTTAGATTGATAGTAATGTTTTTGTGTGGATGCACTAATATAGAGTAATTTTATTCTCCCATTAAATCATGAAAAATGTGAATTTTGATAAACTATTTATATAAAAATCAATAATTATGAATATACAATATTTAGAAAATAGTATTAATTCTTCAAAATTCATAAAAGATTTTGTGAAATGTCATTCATGCAATATGATACAAATCATATAACCTTGGCAAAGGTAGGGTAGGTGTAGGGAATTGGAGACCGTTAAGCACATTTGCATAATTTACATAAACATGAAAAATGTGACACATACAAAAAGTTTTGTATTTTCTTCAGTAACTTCTTCTCTTTATTTGGTAACAAAATTGTGGTCATGGTGTAACTGATTAATAAGATAACAATGATTAATGACGTCATCACCAAAGGTCTCTCATTACCTACATGTGAAGGTAATAAGGGACAGTTACAAATCAAGACATTTAAAATACAATTTGAATGAAAATGGGATTGTTATAGTTAGTTCAAACACTTTTTGAAAGAGATACATGCAGCCAATGAACTTACTGTAATTTTGAAACGATTTTAAAACAATGTGTCCCAAAATATTTCTGTACAAGCATGTTAATTGACAATGCCATTGATTTTATCAATTTGCTTTCTCTTCTTCTTCTTCTTCTTCTTCTTCTGCCTCTCTTTCTTCCACTTCTTTTTCGTCTTCCTCTACTTCTTCTTTGTTCCCTTATTCACCTTCTCCTAATTATCATTATTATATTATTTTCTAATTACTCTTTATTCTATTTTTCTTTTCTTCTCAAATTCACTGTCCTTGTACGTCTCTAGAATCTCATACTATACTACACCGCTTTCGCCTCGTATAATACCTTTTAAATTCAGACCTACTATATTGTGTTACTCAGTTCGGGAGCCTATTCACATACAAGCTATACTTTGTATTTAGGCTCAATCCCCACATTTTACATTGTATTTTACCTTGCCTGTCTTATCTATATATTTCAAAATTTCGTCCTTATTTTCAGTACATTAAACTTGATTAAATTTTGTTTTGTTTGTTTTTGGTGTGAAATCTACTTTTGTACGCCTGTATGAAAAATACATTTTTAAAAAAGAATTTAAACTGTTTTTTAATGTAAAATGTGGAATAAGTAAACTTCAATTAACCCACCAGCATCGGATCATTGACTGTCCTCGGCATACTCGACATTCACAACCAACGACCCCTTGGACCTTGGACCACGTGTGCAAAAAAAAGTCTTCCTTGGAGAAGGAAGGCATCTGGATGATTATTCAGTGTGTTGGATGAGTTCCCTAGGTGTCTTTATAACCCTCTCTGGGAAAAGAGGGCCATAACACCAACATTCAGAATCGCACTACACGTTTAGTTTGGGTTGGGCTTCTTGATAAAGAACTCTACTGGTTCCCTTTTTCTCAACGTGTTTACTTCAAACTCTGCCTCAAATCAGTCGAAAATATACTGCTCTCGCTTTCATTTCTGACACAATAATTGTTCCTTACCCCACCCCGTACCCCTCACGTAATCTTCGTTCCAGAAAAGACGCTATTAGCTGCTTTGTCATTCCCTGATCTTATCTTCTTCCCGACAATCACTTTGTACCGCTTTTATAAAATTTGGAATAATGCCCCATATTCGAACAATATCAGATCTCTTCATATTTAAAAGACAATTAAAATTCCATCCACTTTCAGCAGAGCTAGTCTTTTGTAGTATTTGTCTGCCTGTGTGTTACATCATTTCGTTTGCACGTTTGGTATACTGCAGAATTAATTACCATGATTAGTATTGCAGGTGCTACGGCCCGAGGGTCTCAGTCATGTAGAAGTATACTGTAAGCATGCTTGTTTTATCAGACACCCCCTAAACGACGATTTCTTCTGAAGCCAAAATACACTCTAAATGAGGATTTCCAGCGCGTGTTTTTTCTCTTTTGTACGGATTATTTGGCGGGGAGAGAGAGAAGTGAACGGTCTCACGCTTACCCTAGTAAAAAATAAATAGGAAAAATATATTTTAAAATGGGGAAAAATAATTATTTTTTTTTTTTTTTAATCCTATTTTTTTCGTCCCCCAAAAATATATTTCAAATAGCATAGATTTGGAACAAAAAACAAAAAAAACGACGTTGTATTTTTATTCTTATTTTTTCATCGTCTTGACGATGCCCTTAGAATCAAAAACAGCTTTTATGTTTAGGCTTCCCGAAAGAAATTTCAATTGTTGTTAAGAATTTTTGGTTGCACTCTGTTGATTATGATGATGTGTTTGATCTTGTTTGCAATAACAAGTTTCAAGTTTCAAGTTTTATTTCAATTAAAATCCATAAAAAAACATATAAGATACAGATTATATACAATATAGAAAACACAGAACACACACAAAATGGAAACATGTCTAAAAATATACCGGAATTATACAAAGTTAATCAGCAATAGAAATGAATTGGGGAAACTGCAAATAAAACCATAAGGTTCTGTCGAGGCAGTCCCTGTTATTAAAAGATACATACAAGTTCCAACAATTGGCTATAAAAAATATAACAATAACAAAACAGTGTACAAAACATAGGAGACGTATTAACATGCAAATATTATTATAGATTTAAAAACAGATGAAGTATTTTTTAATTTTAGATTTAAAAGAGTTAAAGGTACTATGTCCCTTTTGCAGCCAACCTCAAATGCTGTATAACTTTGCAGGAATTATGAATATGTCATGAATGTCCTATCTGTGAAATTTAAACGTTAGCAGTGTCCTCATAGTCAAATTATGCAAGGAAATCCGTTTACTTGCTAGACTTCACTGTCAGACACTATTGAGTGACTGACTGGCTTTTTTTCTTCTTTGGTAATAACATACATGAAAAGAGTTGTAAAGGGTACATGAGCATTTGTCTACATCAATAACCCACTTCTTGTGATGGCCAAGATTAAACTGATTGAATCTTGGCGCAGCATAAAAAGTATGACCATTCGGTACAATAGTCTGAAAATCAAGACCATTACTTTTGGGCTCTATAGCCCTAAAGTCGATTTGACAACCAATAGTCGTTATTTTCCCACTTGAAGACATTTTCAAGCCCCACCTTTTTAAGGGAAGTTCTAAATTAGTATTATCTTTCAAATGCAGTTGGAATTTAACTTTTTCATTTTTTTGGCCTGCAAATGGGACATAGTACCTCTAAAGGGAGGCTTTACTACTTCAGCCAGAAGGGATTAGACCACACAGCGAGCCATCGAGGTCACTGTGACAGGTGGCTATCTCATTAACTCAGCTCTCATTTAACATAAGAAAAAGAGGATCATGGGGGAACAACAGGCACCGATTGGGGAAGTTTTCTATATAGAGGGAGCAAGTAGCTGCAAGTAGGACAGTGTACCTTTAAAGAAAGTAGTATCACGGATATTTCTGGGGAGAGAATTCCATATTTTCGGGCCAGTGTGCAGGGGCGGATCTAGCTTTTTGCTAAGGGGGGGGGGGGTTGACCAATAATGACGATGCGGAGCATCGTCCACGAGCCGCGAAGCGGCGAGCCGATTTTTTTTTAGGGGTGTTTATTTGAACCCCGTAAGTGATGTTTTCCTGGCATCTATTAACACAATGGAGACCATAAAAAGCAGTGCATGATAACGTCTTTTTAAATCAAGTAACAGTTAAATACACAGTTATATCCAGAGTTATCATGTGTTTGGTTAAGTTACCAGATGAGTTGAATATCTTTTCACAATATTTGCACTTGAAAGGGTTTCTCTCCAGCGTGCGTTCTTTTTTCTTTCTTTTTTTCTTTTTTTTTCTTCTTTTTTTTCCCCCTTTTTTTTTTTTTTTTTTTTGGGCCGCCCAAGGGGGGGGGTCTGTTTGCTTCCATATTGCTTGTCACTACACTCAGATCAGACTGATAAAAAAGTGAGCAACTTGAACAAGTAATCCAGGAAATGAGCAGCCCAGCTCAGCGTGCGTTGCCAGGTTAAATCTTCACAAAATCCCCACCCAAACGACACTTAAAATATCCCCAAAGTTGCCAAATTTTGACAGAAAATCCCCAAATTCGTTTTTCATAAAACTCAATATTATTTTCATTCCCAAATATTTATTTTTCATCCCCAAAGACTTCAACAATCCCCCAATTTTTTTTTTTTTTTTTTTAATGTGGGGATTTTGGGGATGAGAATCGGCAACGCTGGCCTAGCTTGTCACTTCGGCGGTGGCCCGTGTCCTCAAAAAAGCTGATGGGGGGGGGGGGGGGCAAGGGACTCTGTGACATTTGTTCGCCCAACCCCCCCCCCCTCCCCCCAAAAAGAAATAATAATAATAATAATAATAATAATAATAATAATAATAATAATAATAATGAATGAAATAAATACATAGAAATAGAATAAAATAAAATTACAAGTTTAAAAAAAAAGATAAGATTTTAAAAAATGGTCCCCGGATTTTTTTTTTTTTGGGGGGGTTGCAACCCCCCAACCCCCCCTCTAGATCCGCTTCTGGTGTGTCGAAAAGTAAATACAAAACTTGTTGATGGACATTTTCTAATAAAATAGTTATCAGGATTTCTGGTATTATAATTATGAACAGATTTTTTACATTTCATCATAGTGGTAAGATTAATCGGCAGTTTATTAGTTTTATGTTTAAAAACCATGAGTGATATACAATATTGATTCGATTGAAAAATATTTAAAAACTGTAGTTGTTGAAATAACGGTATTGAATGGGCATTGAAATCAGACATAAGACATATTCTTACTATACGCTTTTGTAATATATGCAGTCGTTGTAATCGCGTTGGGTATGTGTTACCCCATACAACATTACCATACATTAAATACGGTAAAACCATTGTATTATACAATAAAATCAAAATATTTTGTGGCAAGATATGACGTAATTTGCTGATGACACCAATATTTCTTGAAATTTTGTTTGAAATGGCAAGTATATGAGCATTCCAAGTTAAATTTTGGTCAATAATTACACATAAAAAGCTAGTTGATTGCACTCGTTTTATCGGAACATCATTCATCTTTATATGTAATGCATTCAACGAATCAGCTGAAATAATATTTTGCTTATAATGAAAATATATAAAATTAGATTTTTAGATCATGACATAAAATATTAATATCTTTATGAGAATAGAGGATATAATTGGTGTCAGCAGCAAAAAGGACAAATTTCAAAATGTTTGAACAATAATTTAAATTATGTACAATAAAAGACCTAAAATTGAGCCCCGAGGGATTCCACACGTGACTTCCATTGGGTCCGATAAATCATTGTTATATACAACTATTTGGTGTCGATTATTCAAATAATTCCCCCCCCCCCAAAAAAAAAAAAAAAAAAATATATATATATATATATGTATATTGTGTTCTGTAGAATCAAAGGCTTTGCACAATCTAAGAAGAGACCTACAGTGTGCAATTTATTACTTAAGGAAGATACTAAATAATCATGAACATCAATTAGAGCCATTTCAGTTGATACATTTTCGGTAAACCCATATTGGCAAGAATGTAATATTGCATTATTCAATAAAAAATGTATTCAAACGATTATATACAATTCGTTCTAAGATTTTTGAAAAAAGGTTAAAACTGATATTGGTCTGTAATAAATACTAAAATTATGAACATCATCTTTTTTGGATATTGGGTTGACTCTGGTTATTTTCATTTCAGATGGTATAATTCCTGTACATAAAGACATATTAAAAATATGAATAAGAGGATCTAAAATATAATTAATAACTTTTTTAATTACACATGGATTAAAATCATCTACTGCACAACTTTAAGTACTTTTTAATGATTGCACAATTGTAGTTATTTCATTTGCATTAACAGATTTTAGAAATAAAAATCTCTATAATTTACAATATTAGGAATTGTATTGCATATATTCAATCGAATATTAATTTAAAAAAAATCATTAAAAGAACTTGCAATATTATGTGGATCATAAATATTATGTCCATATACTATAAAATATGAAGGCAAAGTCTTCCTAAATTTACCAAGTATCTCATTTATTACAGACCATGTTTTTTTAATATTACCTTGAGTTTTCTTAAATGTATGTGCATAATATGCCTTGCGTGCCATTTCCAATAATTTACTTACCTTGTTGCGAGCTTTAAGATCAAACACAATGATGAAAATCTACTGGCCCATGCCAATAAGTTCTTTACAACAATAAACAAAATGAGGTGCTATTTGGTGTGGCGTACACATGGCAATCACATGGTAGATAAAATTATGATCATCAGTACTATGGGTCTAATAAATTAAAGAGAACTGAATTTGAACCCGGGCCATAGGCTAGCCCCCCCCCCCCCTCTCTTTCTCTTTCTTTTGTCATTGCCCTTCCTTTCCCTCGCTTATTTCCTTTTTGCCACGGAGTATGTACATGTAATGTGCAGGCGCGTGCACCCCCCATCATTTTTTCTTTCTTTTTGCCCGGGGGGGGGGGGATGTGCTCAGTAGGGAAAACAAAAAATGTATAACATTTGATTCCCCTCGGTTGACTCTTTGTTCGGATTATTTGGAGGGGAGAGATAGAAGTGAACGGTCTCACGCTTAACGACGTTGTATTATTATTCTTATTTGTTCCTCGTCTCTACGATGCCCTTAGAATCAAAAACAGCTTTTATTTTTAGGCTTCCCGAAAGAAATTTCAATTGTTGTTAAGAATTTTTGGTTGCACTCTGTTGCTTTTAATGTTGTGTTTGATCTTGTTTTCAATAACAAGATAAACACAATGATGAAAATCTACTGGGTGCATGCCAATAAGTTTTTTACAACAATAAACAAATGTGAGGTGCTATTCGGTGTGGCGTACACATGGCAATCGCATGGTAGATAAAATTATGATCATCAGTACTGCAAGGGTCAAATTAATTAAAGAGAACTGAATTTGAACCCGGGCCATATAGGCTACCCCCTCTCGTTCTCTCTCCCTCTTCATCGCCTTACTTTTCCCTCTCTTAGTCTGACCTCCCTGTGCATTTGTATGCCTCGATAATACAGAAAATAAACAATAAGATTCTTTCTCTTCCCCTCCTTCTTCCTAGTGACATGTAGTAGGAGAAACAATCTTTACAGATGGGGATTAGCAGACGACAGATACTGTCCCAAGTGCCATGTCATAGAGGACATAATGCATGTGTTTATCGAATGTGAAAAGAATATGAATTTCTTTGATTATATCAAACATGTTGTGAAGTACACTTTTAATATTGATTTTGTCATGGACATCTCCTGTTTACTTAAAGCTTATCTGCCGTAGTTTACAGGAGGGATTAGACCGCTCTGCAAGGTCACTGGACAGGTGGTTATCTCATCAACTCAGCTCTCAGTTAACATAAGAAAAAGAGGATCATGGGGGACCAATGGTCACCGATTAGGCATTGTTTGTTATAGAGGGCGCAAGTAGCTAACAGTAGTGCAGTTGGCCTTTAAGATTAATATTGACAGAGAGATAGACGTTGTAACAACGATCGCATTCTGGTGTATATACAAAATGTTTGTCACCTCCTTTCTTTCGCTTAGTTTCTTCCTCCTTTTTTCCTTCTCTTTGTTTTTTCTCGCCACCAGTAGGGGGCCGCGCCCGTTTCGGCCATCCCCTGGATCCGCTACTTCTGGGCTAAACTTGGTGCTTTTAGAAGAATCTGCACTAAAATACCCCTAATTGTCCCGACGTAGATGGCGGCTTTACAAAAAGCTCCATGTAGTTTGAGAGTGGGCGGATGGCGCCGCGGTTCAGCTCCAACTTTTACCTCGGAGTTGACAAATTAGTCTATATAATCAGTCTCTTACCACGACACATGGATACACTATTACAAAACTGGCAACTAATCTCCTAGATGAGTCAACTTGTCTTCATTCGAAGTAAAGGTCAAATATTCAAGATAATATCTTATTTTAGTTGCACTTTTTTTGGTGAGGACTTGCGTACTATTATGAAAAATTATTAGAAGAACTACATGTAGACTACTACATCATCTGGTATTTGCAGGAACCCACTGCGTGTAATGCATGTCTGATCACTGATTGTTGGTGGTTCGGCGGATAGGTTTGATCGCGGAGCGCCAGTATAGTCACGTCAATGATGCACTCATATACTGATCCTTGTGAATTATTTGCGGGTAGCAGCAGTAGGCCAATTTCACGGGTTAACGTCTATTAGCAATGAAAATGTTTCTTTGCTAACTTTCAACAAATGACACATGGAGTCATTACGAGAAGAGGCTTCTCTTTCACATGTCAACACATTTCCTTCACGACTGAAACAGAGATCGAGAGGTGGTTTTATTTCCGGGCTTTGGAAGTACCCGACGGCACACCTAGGTTATATGCTAACTTTTTCGCACCCTGTAGTTTCGGTAGACCTGCCTCTCTGTAGCCCGCTCTGAGTGAGTCGATCTCTTCAAACATTGAAGCAAGTCGCTTCTAGTTTTCCGTTTCTTGCAGAGTATCTTCGAATTTCACATCAACATGGCTAGTATTCAGGACCCCAATTCAAATGTGGAAAGGACGAATTATCAAGATGATTGGAGTGACGAAGAGAACGAAAGACCGAAAGGAGAAAATAAAGAAGTCAAACACACTGCCAAATCCCTTTTTCAGGACAATCTACTCAGTACAATCACATACTGCAGTGTTTTTGGAAGTTTTGGAATGTGTGTCGCGTTGCTTGGTCCGACATTGGAAGATTTAGGATGTCAAACGGGAAGTACCCTGATCGAGATGAGTTGGGCTTTTCTTGCTCAAGCTTTTAGTGTCCTCATTGGATCAATGGCGGGTGGATTTCTAGTAGACAGGTGAGTTTAAAGCGGGTTTAAAGTTCTTTAAACTACCGGTAAATAATTATTGTATCTTATAACAAAAAAGTCTCTTAAAAAAAAAGACACTCTTTATTGCTAGAAATGTTTAATATATACCACCAATTAATTAAGTAAAGCAAAATATATATCAAATTGAAGAAAATTAATACTCTACCAAGTACCAACATCAATTAAGATAAAGTTTTGATCATTCACTCTTAGATGGGCACATTAATTTAACTGTTAAAAGGTCTGATAAAGAACTTGCAAAAATAAAGCAAGTAGCCATTCACTCTTAGATGGGCACATTAATTTAACTGTCTGATAAAGAATTTGCAAAAATAAAGCAAGTAGCCATTCAAATTGTTCTGTAAGGAACAGTAAGACTTTCTTATTAAACAATGAAAACAAAGAATGAGAAACAACAAGGAGGATTGAGCTCTGGATGTTAACCATAATCTCAGGGCTGCATGGTTTTGACAAGTATGGTCAAGATGCCTCTCCTTTCATGTTTCACATGATTTTCTTTTTCATCATAAGATAATAATGCTCATCTACATTTTAATTGCAAGATGCCCCATTTTTGCAATGGTATGATTCCAATGGTATATAATCTTAAAAAGTACTATTTATGATGTTTATTTTAATATATGAAAGATAAATTTTATATTAGTTATTTTATTAGAAAATCTTAATTATAGATGGTCTGCACCTTTTTGTCCTTGCTGAGTATAAGTCCAAAGCAATAGTGGACCATGGCAAAAGAAAGTTTTTATAGTCCAAATTATTTTTTGTATTGGATGTGAAATAAACTGAACTTGAACTTGATATTATGGTCAGCAAGTTGACCATCAGAAATTTAGAATACAGAAAAAATCATAATGAAATAGACTGATTCTTAATTTTGTTTATACCGGTAGTCTGATTCAATCTGTTGCATTTCTCACATATTTGAAAAACAATGGGGAAAAACACCACAACCACCACATGACCACAACAACCAGAAGAAGGTTTACAATGTAATATACTAAGGCTCTGAACAAAGGTTGTCTCTCTTTATTCTGTGTAAACCTGTCTTTTTCTCTTCTTTGATAAATTAGTCAAATAAGCCTTTTCTAATAAAACCGGTCGAAACATAAATAAGTTCCTTTTTTTAAACAAGTTATCCTTCTTCCTTTTTTAGTACAGACCTCTAGATGTAAATAAGTCTTCTAGGCTTTTTCCCCTCACAGTATTAAATTTTATAATTTTATTCTTATCATAGATTCATCAATTTGTCATCAATTTACATCAAAGATATCAAGACTGTTTGAAGGGAATTAGAGAAAAAGAAGGAAAGGGAATGTAGGAGGGAAAGAGAGAGAGTGAGAGAGAGAGAGAGAGAGAGAGAGAGAGAGCGAGAGGGGGGAGAGCGAGAGGGGGGAGAGCGAGAGGGGAGAGCGAGAGAGTGGGGGAGAGAGAGTGAGAGAGAGAGAGAGAGAGGGAGAGAGAAGAATAAGGGAGAGAAAAAAGAAAGAAAGAGGGATAGAGAGAGGGAGAGAGAGAGAGAGAGAGAGAGGGTGTGAGCATTTTGGCAAATATTAATGTCAATTGTAGACAGAAAGAAAACACAGCATTAGGATAATAATATACAAGAAAGAACAGAAAAGGACTAGAAAGATTCTTGTAGAACAAATTTAGACTGCGTACAAATAAATGAAAGAAGGGAATGAATTAATGGGTGACAAGTGAGAAAAGAAATGTATAAAAGTTGGTTAATGAAACCCACAATTCATCCTTCAATCTAATAATATAATCTGTTATTATCCAATTGTCCTTATATATTTAATTGCTAAGATTATGTGTGCAAAACAACTTATTTATAGAAAAATGACAAACATGGTTTACATCTTAATGCGTTTAAAAGAAATTTGAGATACTTTAAACTCCTACATTGTAAATGTTTGTGAATTTGGATTATATAGAAAAATAAGCCAACTATAACATTGATAAAAAGTGGAAGTGTATATGGAAATTATGAGGTAAATCAAAACAGAAAGGAATATTAATTAGCATGACAACGATATGTGCATGTCCGCAACCAGAGCAAAATACTTTGAAGATCATATTGTTGTTCTTGATATACCGATACCGCCATACCGGTAAGGTGAAAGAGATTTTTATTAGTAGGCAGTTTTTCCAGATCCATGAGAAGGGTAAATGTCAAAAGGAGTTGATTATACATTTCACGGTTGAAATCATGAGTTGACATTTCAAGATCTTCATCATGGAGATCATGAATGATTGAGTTGACACAAAGAACCCATTCAGACTAGACAAAACATGTAATGAAACGTATAAAGAATCATCGTCAGGCTGATCATCATATTGCAAAAGCAGCATACACATACAAAAATGTCTTGAAACAAAAATACACAAGATCATAAAAAGAAACTTGTTTTGGGGGAGTGTTGAGTGTTGGCTGGCATAAGTTTAAGTGTCAGTTTATTTAATAGGATTGTTCGAGGATGCAAGATGACAAGTGACATATCAAGGTGCATCCCAGATAAGCGTCGCCCAGTGACACGTTTTTTGTACAATATGTCATTCACAGTAGAAAAGACCCTGATTCCTTGTAGGATGTACAAGGATGCTCAAACCACTGTTAGCTTTCGGTATACAGCATTTTGTTATGCTGTTATGCGACGTTCAGACTAAAATAATTGTCACCCACCGTATAGCTACATGTATGAGCTAAACTGTTTATAATTTTCAAATAGCCGTAATTATGTTAAAAATTTTGCTAGTCTCAACAGGAGTGTCCATTTGAAAAACAAAACGAAACAAAAAGCAGAGATAACACTTGCTGAGTTGGAAGCATGTAGTAAGGTACAAGGTTATATATATTGATTTGAGAGCGGTGGAAAGCTATGCTCCTATTGTGATTATGATAGGTCAATGTCATAGCTGTTTAATTCCCCCTTGTTTGGTTTCTTTGTCTAATTGCAAACTGATTTTCTTCGTGTCTGCACAATTGCTTAGTGAGCAGGGAGGATTTTCTCATTAGATTGGCAATATTTATCTTTCTTGTTACCATGGCAATTATGCAGCACTGTATCACTTCAAAGGAGAAGCCTGACTCAATATTAGTTTTGATAATAAATGTGACTGAAAACTGAAAGAAAAAGAGGAAAAGTTTGTGTTTTCTAATTTGTTATATACATGTAGATATACAGTGTAGATCAAACACGAATTGACAAATTCATGAAGCACATTTCTATTTTCTAGCATCTCTCTCATTTGCTTTGTACTAGAAAATTGTATAGTGCAATAATAAATAATTACCAAACAATGTAGATGGCTGGTGCATGTATAACTAAATATTCCTCTTACATGGCTTTTATATGACCTAGGGAAACTCCAGCCTGATATTAAGTCCCTTTTCCCCCATTATTATTAAAACCCCATTATTAAAAACCACCTTAGTATCAGAATGGACTTTCCCTTGATATCATGTAATGTAGGCACAGGCACTTGCCTCAAATTTTGTTTGAAAACAAAAATGACAAGCAAAAAGTACATTATGTTACAGGGGATGGGGTGCCCCTGGATACTCCATTGTTTTACACCTATCCTTTTTTAACTTGAAAATATGAGAAATAGAATAATTCTGCTTATTCAGAACAGCTGTTAGCCTGTTACCATTATGCATATATCCTTGTTTACTTGTTACTGTGTTTACATGTAGGTCCACCGCAGTTTGCCAGTGCTAAAATAAAACCTTTGTGTGTAGACATAATGGAGTGAATACAGGAATTTATAAATCAATAACTTGCTCAGATAATGGAGATCCCTGTTTAGGCATAAATGAAGTAAATTGTATACTGCATTCAATAGAGGCGTACACCTGTACATGTATATAGCGTTGTATTCATGTATTTCAGTCCAGTCTGGATGCTCGTTATTTTCCCACTTAAAGACATTTTCAAGCCCCCCTTTTTTAGGGAAGTTCTAAATTAGTATTATCTTTCAAATGCCGTTGGAATTTAACCTTTTCATTTTTTTCCCTGCAAATGGGACATACATGTACATGTACAGTAGTACCTTTAAAGGTTTACATGTAGATTTCATTATTATTTAAGTCAATGCTCCTCACTAAATTATTTGGAAGGGGGTCAGTGTGTACATCATGTCTCCAACTTCTAGCAAGTAGTCTGGATAAAGTTTAAGATTTAAAGATGTTACGAGACCTGTGATACATGTACCTGCCCAACATGGGTGTCGATCTGTAACTGATACATATTCATCAGGGGGGATGATCTATTCATTCATCCCCCCCCCCCTGATGAATAGGTATTACGTAAGGATCGACACCCATGCTGCCCAACCCCCCTCTCATGATAGAACAAATGCTACTTCTGAGCTGAAATTGCAGCCAATTTGAATACTGCTCTGTGTGCCCTGTCTTCTCCTTTCCCTCTGTTTATCAATTTCATCTTTGTACTCCTCTTTTCAAAGTACCTACTGTACTTGTAGCATCCTTAAGATGTAAGACCAATTAAGTGATGGTTGTATAAAGTGCTTCTACATTCTTGTGAGAGTTGTAGCAGCTGAGGTCCTCATCAAGTTTCCAGACCAACATATATAGAAATCACTGCCCTTTGTGTTAAGCTACTTTGTGTATCATCACCATAGTCATCATTCTTTCCTTGTCATTTTGTCAACCAGATTTCCAATGGTGATCTTTATATGTCATTCTTGTGGCTTAACTGTATAAAATGATATGAGTTAATGCCCTTCTGGCTACAAACGGATGATGCGTGCAACACCAGTGAAAAAATTGTTACAGGTATTTCCCTGTATTTAAAGTTTTGTCAAGACACTGAAAGTTTGTTTTTGCTGCTTTTTGTCTGAGTACCACCTCAACTCAAGTATTACCCTCCTTGAACTCCGATAGATGGCTGAACGTCTCTTAATAAGGATTATAAGCTGTAATCATTCATTTAATGCCCTTTTGG